ACCACCTGGGAAGACCAGAATGTCGATCGCCCTTTTTTCAGCTCATTTTTGAGCAGTGACTTTTTTTTTACTATAGAACATTTTCAATTAAAATAGTAATCTTCAAAAAATATTGTGATTAGTTTAAATAAATTATTTAAGGAAAGTTGTAATATTTATTATGAATTGCACAATAGGCGGGAAGGTTTTGACATATTTTTCACTGAGAAAATGACCTAAAACAATGTGAAGAATTTGAATTTAAAGAACAAGAAATAAGTAATATTTTCTATATATAAAAAATAGCCCAATTAGTTCCAAATATTTTTTAAACAAGTTTCAAAATTAATTTGTAATTTTTACAAAAATCTTGGACAAATTATCTTATGGTAAATGAAACCTTCAAAAAATTTCATTTTATATTTTACCTTGTTATATCCTTTTATTTAGTGCCAAATAATAAATTAAACTGAGTTCCAGGAATTTTTTTGAACTTTATTTCATTAGAATTAAAAATAGTTAATAAAATAATAATCAAAATATTCAATTTGACTAGACTCTCAAATCTTAGGATCTCTGTTTATTTTAAAACAATTGTTATGCTTTAGCCATGGATTTGTACTTGGAGATTTTTTTTTTGAGATCAGTTATCAGTTTGTTTATATATGTAATTTAGAAGATTTTTTTGAACAATGAAACTAAATAAAATTATTCCTGGTATAATATTATGATGTAATTTAGGGGTAACGTCAGCAATCGGCCATACTATATCGAATATACCGGATCCCATCAGAACTCCGAAGTCAAGCGGTATAAGGTTCGGTTAGTACTAGGGTGGGGGACCACCTGGGAAGACCAGAATGCCGATCGCCCCCTTTTTAAAGTTTCTTGTTTTACTCATTATATTCCCGTTTTTCAGCTTACAATTATATCTATTACTGATAATTTAATGTTACTCCAAATCTCTTAATATTTCCTTTTTATTTTGTTTAAATTTAATACTGTTTATATTTTGTATAATGGCGGGACTTTCCCAAAAAATTATTGAAATTCTTTCTGCATAGATGTAAATTTATGTTTTCAGTTTTCCTATAGTGCTTACATGTAATTATTAAAAATTAATCAAAATATAGTGGAAGCCCGCTTTTTTTTTTTTTTTTAATAAAATAACAAAATAATATTCAAGTTTCAGAATAAAAGATTATATTCAAATACAAATAAGATGAAATTAATAGTTTATTATTTAGTAAAAAAAAAGTCACTGCTCAAAAATGAGCTGGAAAAAGGGGCGATCGGCATTCTGGTCTTCCCAGGTGGTCCCCCACCCTAGTACTAACCGAACCTTATACCGCTTGACTTCGGAGTTCTGATGGGATCCGGTATATTCGATATAGTATGGCCGATTGCTGTCGTTACCACCAAATTGCATCATAATATTATTATTTGAACTTTTAAATATAATAAATATTCACAAGATTTAATAAAAGTTATAATTACTTAAATTGAATTATCCAAATTTCATACAATAGAAAAAGCTAGAAGAAACAGATTTATTGAACATGGGTAAGTAAAAGTAAGGTAATAGTAGAAGAGAGTGTATCTGAGAGTTTAATGTTTATTGTTTAGCCATTTATTATTAACAAATGAAAAAAAAGAGGAAGAAGAGTTAAGAAGAAAAAATCACATTATTCAAGTCTTTCCCTATTTTTATTTATTACCTACAATGAGTGGACCCCACTAAAATGGATACTTGTGATATACAAAAAAAAAGGCGCCATTATATGTTAAGCAAAATTGTGTGTAATACATACAGAAAAGAGATTTGAGACGATTCTCATGAAAAAAAGAATCAGAATACATTTATTATTTAGTGAATAAGTTTTAAGAATTTAGATTTAAAAGTAAAACTAACCAATTATTCCAAAGGAAACAAACCAAGTAAAAAGCAACTTAGAAAGCAAATAATGGGGAAAAAGTTATTATTAGGCCTTCTGGTCGTGTTTATGGCATTGCTCAAAAGAGTGGAGAGTGGTACAGATTATTCAGGGATATTTGATCCAACAAGTTTGTTATCAAAAGAACAAGTCAATGATGCTTTGGTTGATTCGTGGGAAAAGCCTATTGATATAGCAGAAAGCGCTAATTACACTACGATTTTCGGAGATTTATTGAGTGTTAAAACTTTCTCAGAAGTTAACTCACTATTCCCACTTTCTCCATATAACTCGGTTTCTGATGAAGTCTTAATAAGATGTATACTCTCAGAAGGAATAGTTTATAGTCCAGAAACCTGTCCAAATCTAAATTGTGAACAATATCCAACATCTACAGACTTCAAGTACTATAATTCATCATCATCATCTACAATCAGAGTTGCATTATCCAGTGAAAACGTAATCCTTGGTTCAGCTATCTACACTTTTGATACTTCCATAATACCAAGTATTTCACTAGTAAATAAGTTTGTGGTTGTCTTTAAGATTGAAGACCCTATTTTGCATTCTAAAATAAGTATAAGATTAGTATCTGTAGTAAGAAGAGGAGAGAGTGGAAAAGAAGGTATTCCAATTCTTAGAGGATCTTCTTTTCACTCTATTGAGCAGAATATAATACCAGGAAAGACTTTTTATTCTGTTGACATTGTTGGATTATTCAATTTCTTACCCAATGAGTTTGAGTTAAGCCGAGTATCAATTGTGGTTTTACCTTCCTCTCCTTCTGCCAATGTAGTACTAAGCATGGAGTCTTATGCTATTGCTAGATTTTACATGTCAGTAGATACAATTCCAATATATGGCAGCGGAGGAGTTGGAGAAAAGGCAATCCAACAAGATAAGTATATTCAAGTTGAAACAACCTCAGTTTTTGGGAGATCTATAATAGACTATAATGATAAGGTTAAAGCACGATTCAATGATTATTGTCCAAAGACCTTTGGAGGGCAATGTCTAGTTCAAATAACATCCCTCAAATCTACTAATGCAATAGGTATTTTTGGTTTCCAACTATATCTAGCAGGAGTAGTCTTTGCTATAAAGAGTGCTAAGATCTACATTCCTATCTCAGTGTTTAAATCAGAAGAACAGGTAGTTACAAACATCAAAGTGTCTCTTTTGAAACCAAACTTCTCAATTACAAAACTTAATTATGAGGAGTTTAGTAAAAGCTTTGAAAACCCAATAAACTCTATATCTTTACCATTATCCTTGGAATCTGGTATAAAAACTTTAATTGTAGATATTACAAGTCTTTTCAAAAACTCTCCCACATTAGCCATTGAAAATGTATTAATCAGTATTTCTCTACCAGAGAGCTACGTGGGAGCCATCTTTACCCTTAATAAGGCTAAGATAACCTACAAGTTTGATCCTTCTGAAACCTTCCAGTCTATGGATCACCTAAATACACAAGTATTCTCGAACCCAAATATTGCTTCCATTGAAACCTCTTTCTTTGACAAGAATGGAAAGGCCATCAATTTTGACTCTTCACTAAATTTCGAGGATATTACCCAAGGAAACAATACCTCCATTTCTGGTAACTCTGCATTTGTTTCACAGTTTTCCGTCCCTTTTATCACCACTGAAAGTCTTCAGGGGATGAATATAACAATCGTGGAAAAGTCAAAAGTCTCCTCAAACTCAGAATCCAAGTCCCCTTCTTCCTCGAACCCCACATCCAACTCCACAACCAATTCCACTTCCTCCAAGCCTACATCCAACTCCACGTCTAGCTCTACCACTAACTCAACATCAAACTCTACCACTAACTCTACCAATACTGAGTCCACGAAAGAAGAGGGGAATAATGGGAGTGATTTAACTGTAGCCTATGAAACGCTTGACTATACCATTAGCATAGTAAAAGCTCTCAGAATAACTAATCTGACAAGCTCTAGTGGCCTAGAAGTCATCTCAAGCAAGGACTTTAAACTCAATCTAGGAGGAGTTACCAGGATTGATGTAATGGAATTGGTAAAAAAGGCTATTAGTGGATCTGGCCTAAATCTCGGTCTTATTACCTTCTATGGACAGCCGAAATCAAAAGAATCTAATCAGAATCTAAGCCTGGCCCTTCCTTTCATGGAGATTAAGTGGAATCCTGGCTCTTCTCTGTCCAATGGAGTCATTTCTGGCGGAAGCTTTGAGACTAAACTTAAAAGTTTGAAGCTTGGAGAACTCAACAAAACCAGTTGGAACTCCAAATCCACAGAAGCAACTGCCAAACTGAACAGTGTAGCCTTAGCTGCATTCGATTTCTCAAAAATCCCCTGTATAAACACTATCACATCAGCTGAAGCCAAAATCGAGTTCTCCAAGTTTACAGCTAATGGCGAATTTGAAGTCTTTCTAATGGATAAATTTGACTGGAACTCCTCCTTCACTGTTGAAAGTCAGACCTTCTTCAATAATCCTATTGTAAAGTACACATCAGATAAGTCAATCCCTCCCACTCTTCTGGCTGTTCCCTTTGTTGCTGATAGAAAATCCTCCTTTGCTGTGGATGTCTCCCTAACCAATGTAATTGGAAACGGAGGAGTTTCCAACTTGAAGAATCCCAGTCTAGGAGTTATTGCTTTCTCCACAAATTCGGATGACAGTGAAATGATAATAAAGTCAGTTGAAATCGACCTTAAGTGTTCCTTTAGTGATGGAGTTTACTATAATACCGCCATAGTTTGAGTGATAAATCACCAAAACTACAATTAAATACTCCAAATAATTCTCAGAAACTTAAAATTTCCCTAAACCCCACAAAAGATTGGTAGAGATTCCAATCAATGGCAATACTCATTCATTTCAATTTTTATCTTTTTTTTTTTTGCTTGCTTACCTTGGAATCTGATTTTTTTATTAGACCACATTTTCCCGCCAAATGATCTATTCTAATTTTATATAAAAAATTATTTAAGTTTTGTAATTTAGTAAATTCCTTTTATTAATAAATTTATTAAAACTAGCAAAAACTTGAAAGATTAATTCTATCAAATATTTTATAACATCTTAACTAATTAGAAAACTATCTGGCTGAATTAACATCCATGTGTTAAGAAACTTGGCTAAAAAGTAATTGGTCACATTTTAACGGTAAATATTTCCAAAGGGAATGTAAATTATTACAAAACTAACGAAGAGAATGAAAGTATCTGGTTTATTAAGTATTTTATCAGTATTACTGGTTCTAACTGTGGGAGTTTTTGCTGAATCTAATGAAAATAAGCCTTTAGAAAGAAGTACTTTAGAGATTTACAATAATGTAAAGTTAGTATCAGTAAATAGCACAAGATTTTCTTATACATCAGGTTCCCTTAAGAAGTCTAAACCAGCTCCTTTCAGACTGGCAATTTTAGCCTTGTTAGTTTCTGATTTTGTAACTGATAATTTTGCAGAAATAGGTAATGGATTCCAAGAATTTGATGTAATTAGATTCTACGAAGAAATCTTGAAACAGGGTGGAACTAGGGGAACTAATAACTACAAGGATTGTTGCTTTAATTCCTGTTTAAGTGGTTTGACGTCTCGTAACTCTGACAATGTAAACACTTTAGACACAATGTCAAATAAATTAACCCAAAACACTGTTTGTGAGGCTTTATGTGACCACACAATCCACTTTCTTAAGTCTATGGATTACTTCTTTTCACCAACCTCTGAGCTTTTTGAGTTAAAGATTTTAGACAAAGGAATTACTAGTCATCTTTTCGAGAAAGAAAAAGATTCAACCCAAACCCAAAATCACATAAGACAACAGAGAAATTCTTATAGAGAAACTGAGGAGAAGGATGATATGGCTAAAATTCAAAGCTTTTCTTCTGATAACAAACTTCTACTTGATGACCAAAATAATCATTATTTCCATAATACTAACAAAGAAACATCTTCCTTTATATCTTCTGATCGTGATGAAGAAAACCCTATTAAAGATTCTTCTGTTATGAATTTTATTGATGATAAAGATTTTGAGAGTGAAGAAACTGTTAAAATCAATTCTAGGCTTTTATTACTTTGGGATGTTGATAAAACTCTATGGGACAGTTATAATTTCATTCAAAAAGGGGTAATTTATGGTAGAGCTGGTAAGTTTAATCCCTTTTCTATGAGTTTATTATTTATGATTAAGGAAAGACAACAATATGATCCAAGAATCTTGGACCAATACATAATAACATATGGAAGAGGTACTATTACTAAGCTTCAGTCACCTTTTCTTAAATCCCTTTGTTTTTCTTGTTGGGACTTAATGAGGATATTTGACAGGTATTTTGCAGAGAAACAAGATTCTATCACAACTCAGGATTACAAAAGGGTATTTGAGGCTAAAGAACACAATACTATTTCATTTCATGGAGATGAATTTAAATTTAGAAACTGTCCAGGAACTTTAAAGAACTTATTATTTTGGAAAGCCAAAGACATTGAGTTGATTAGAAACTATATTGTTTCATCTGATGAATTTTTGAAAAGAGAATATTGCAATGGCAATATGACTGGTAACGTATCTAATTTAGAGATTGAATACAATTTTAGATATCCTTTTAAAACAAGAAACAAGTCTAAAATTGATGAGATTGTTACAGTTTTGATTGATGATACAGTAAATCATTTAAAGTTGACCTGTATTGAAGAATATCATTTATTTAATATGATAGTGATACCAATAATACCATTTAAAGGTATAAATATTGATGAGAGAATTGAGATGGAATTTAAGTCAGGAGGGACATCGCAACTAAATTTGTTAACTAATGATTTACTTGAAAATGAATTGAATCAAATAAGAGGAGTCAATTCTGTTAATGTTCCATTTATTTTAAATGATGCTTTAAACCAAGTACCGCTAAATGCTAATGCTACTGAACTTTCTAGGGCAATAAGAAGAAGAATCTCAGAATTTGCTCCAGGTGAATTTCCAGAATCACAGTGTAATTATGATATAACAAATACTAAATCAATATATTTCATTTTCCTTTCATCCTGTAAATTCTTTTATGACGTTATTACATTATTTAATAATTTACCAGAATCACATCCATCATTTAATGATATTCATTATTTACTTACAAATATTGATTCTTGGGGATTTGATGATGCAGTTAGTACAAAGATGTGTTCAATTGTAAATGATAAGATTAATAATTTGATTGAACTATGTGATAAAACAAAGAGTGGGAAATTAAGAGATTCAAATAGAAATGAATACAGGAATAAGATGTTATCTAAAAAAACTTGTAATATTGATTGGAAGAATAAATTTTTCTTTGGATTTGCTTTAAGAGAACATTTTGGTCCAATACCTTTAAATGCTTTAACTACTTCGTTACTTCCAAGAAGAAGAACAATAATACTAAATATTGAAGCAGATCACTTATTTAATTCAATTCCTCCAAGTATGTATGAAAACAAATTCTTTTATTGTACAATTAAAACAAATTTATTTTCATCTACATTTGAGACATTAAGAAAGATTTCAATAGCCACAAGATCCACATTAAAGTATGCAAGTAATATAAAGAATTCAAATGAAATTGAACAAAGTAATTTGATGAGTATTTTAGAGGCTACTAGAAATACAACAAAGGTTTTCCATTCTTATTTGAGTAATTTGTTTGAAAAAGTTGACCTAGGAGGATCTGCAAATAATAAACTTCACTACAAGATATATAAAGAATACACTAATTGTATTTTTATAGATTAGGAGGAGAAAATGAGTAGAATTTATAATTTAATTTTAATCAACAAATAACATTGGGGCTTTGGAAGTTGAATTGCATGTTTTTGTTTGGATGTGGTGGCGGGCTCTGGCATGGAGTTCATGGCGGGCTCGAGCCTCGATTTACAGGTAGCTGTTGGCTTAATATTAGAAATAACCTCAGAGAGTTTTAATTCTTAATAATTTCTCTGAGCCTAATGTTACTTCAAGCGTAATACTAATTACAACTTTAATAATATTTTTGAGCCCAAACCTACCTAGAAACGTAGTGACTTCAAGCCTAATGCTAGCAACAGCCCTACTATTAGCTGAAAGCCCAATACCAACTGCCACCCTATTACTAGCTAAAAGTTCAATACTAAATACTCGGCTATTACTAACTATAACTCTAAGCCAAGCCTAAACCCCCATTAACTCCTGCCCAAAGCCCGCCACTAACTCCAAACCCAAGCCCGCCACCACATCCAAACAAAAACATGCAATTCAACTTGCAAAAATTTAAGACGATAGATTAAATCGGTTTTAGTAAATAAAGTTAATATCTATATAGATAATATTACTCAATATACAAAAACTAGAAGTTACGATATCTATAATGCTAATATAATTTATCAAAATCCTAATTGATAAAATAAACAAAAAAAAGAAACATAATAATACACTCACGATCAAATTTGAGATCTTAAAGTGTCCAATATCTCTTTATACTGAGAATTAACCTTATTTCTTACAATCTTCATAGTTGGTGTTAATAGTCCATTAGAAGTACTCATTATTTCTGGAATTACCTTAAATTGATGTATTCTCTCAAAACCGAATAAATTTGAACTTAATTCAGCTTTATGAAAAGAATTGTTTAATTCGTCAAATAACTCAGGTAATTCACATAGCTCTTCTAATGGTAATGAATCATTAATACCTTTATTCTTTGACCATTTTCTTAATCCTTGTTCATTTGGAAATACTAGAGCTACTAAGAATCTATCAGTTGATTTGCCATATACATAAACTTGTTGAATTAATGGTGATGATGATAAGTATATTCCCTCAATCCTCTCTGGTGATATATATTCTCCTTGAGATAATTTAAATAATGATTTCTTTCTATCAATAATCTTAAATGACCCATCCTCTTGTCTCTCTGCAATATCACCAGTATCTAACCAGCCTTTGTCATCAATTAATTCTTTACTATTTACTGAATCCCTAAAATAACCCTTGCACACACTATTTCCTCTTATCTTTAATAATCCTCTTCTTGGTTCCTTTGTTGAATCATATCCCATTTCCAATACTGATGTTAATTTTACTTCTACATCACTAAATGGGCCACCAACAGTTCCTAAATGTGCATATGAATATTTGGTACCTAAAGTACCGATACATTCCGACATACCAAATCCTTCAATTAGTCTACAACAGAAAATAGCTTGTATTTTATGATTAATGTCCAGTCCTAATGGCGCTGCTCCACTAATAATAGCTTTCAGTCTACCACCCAAAATTTGTCTTGTATTACTAAAAATAATCCTATCCCAAAGCCAATGTGTTGGATCTCCTTTAGTCTTAATAATAGATTCTTTCTGTGTTAAAGCTTTGCGAAATACTGTTCTTACCAAAAAATTGGAATGACTTATCTTTTCATTCACAGTTTGAATAATACGTGTTAATACTTGTGGTACACAAACCAATATAGTTGGTCTCAATTCTTGTGAATCGCTCATTAATCTAGTTACACTACCACTAAAAATACCAATAGGGATACCCAAATAATAAGAATTCATAACAATCAATCTCTCAAATATATGTGCCATAGGAAGATATGATAAATGTGCATCATCATCTAGATTGATTTCATTTTCTGAAAATAAATGTTCATATGAACTTTTTACACATGCTAAAAAACAACGATGTGTTAATACTGCTCCTTTTGGATAACCAGTTGTTCCTGATGTAAAATGTATTGAACACATATCATCTGGTTTAATTTTCTTTGGTTTATACAATTCCTTGTCTTTTTTACTAACTTTTTCTCGTAATTTATTGAATGAAATTAAATTAATATTTAACTTCTCAGCTCTTTGATTAATTTCCATTGTAGGATCATCAAAACATATCAAATTCTTGATTAATATTGAATCTCTAGTTGAGTCAATAATTGATCTTTCAATAATTGATATAATTTTATCTAGGCTTTCATTTGTTATACATAAACTTTTTAATTGTGTTTGTATCAGGATATATTTTAAATTTTCTTCACCTAGTGTATCATATAAAGGAGCCAAGCATATTCCAAATGCATTGCATGCATGTTCTGTTAAATACCATTCTTCCCTATTCTTACTTAATATGCCCATCATACTAATTTCTTTCTGATATTCATTATCTTCATATCTTTTTATTGGGCATAAATCCATTTTCATTATATTAATACCAATATTCAAAGCTTCTTCTTTTAACTCCTCATAACTTTTAAAAATATACTCACCATATGTTCCATCCCTATTTAACTTTCTTGTTCCTAAACATTTTTTATCTTTATATTTGTTCACAGAATTCACAAATAATTCCCATAAATTGTTTGCATTTAATCCTTCTAAGTTGGATAATTTTCCTTTAGAATAGCTTGGATTTCTATATATTGGAGAACAATTAGGTTCAATTTCACTGTTTTCAAGTTCTATTGAAAAATAATCTTTCCTGTTAACTTCTTTCTCCATCTCTTTCAATTATTTTCAATTTTATTCTTACTTTTTATATAATTACTGAATTCTTATTTAATTTCTTCTTATAGTTTTGATAATTTAATCAAATTACATATGATTATTTTTTTTTTTTTACTTTGTAAATTATTTTAAAAACTGATAGAAAAAAGGAAACTTTCAATCCTAATTACTGTGTAAAAATTCCGATTTCTTTGATTACTTTTTTTTGCTTTTATTTATTAAATACATTCAATTCCTTCTCTTATTGGCTTACTTTATTATATTCATCAATTTATTTCCTTTCAAGTTTTTAAATTCCAAGTTAATTAATTTTTACCCCAATTAATTTTTTTCATTAAATTAGTTTTATATATTATTTTTCATTAATTATAAAATATTAATTAATTATATCTTTCCATATATAACCGCTGAAAAAAAAAATAATAGTATTAATCCTTTTAAACTTAATACATGCACTAATAATAGTTAAATTAATTGTTTTGGCGGCCATTTCATGCAAAATAAGCTAATATCTAAAATATTTTTTGAAATTTAGTTTTAAAAAAGTTTTAGTATGAATCAATTTTTACCTTTAATAATGATATGAAGTTTATAGTATTAAAATTTTAAATTGTTACCTGTTATCTAATTATACAATTCTATATATTTCATTTTCTAAAATATTGTAAGTTTTTTGTAAATGATTAAAATGATGATGTATTTTTTCAAATAAAAAAATATTACTATATGGCATCATTCCGATTTTTTTGAAAAACTTGAATTAAATTTTTGCTATAAACATGATTTGGCGGTTTAACCAAATATTATATTGTAGTATAATGCACAAATAAAAAATAGTTTAAGTAGAAAAAAAAAAAAAAAGAATTGAGTCAAAACATGTATACAAGAAATCAAAAATACTGATCTGTAAAATTTTAATTTACTATAGAATTAATTATATATATAATTTTATTTGATTAAATATATATGGTGGGGTTTTTGGCATTAAGTTAAATATTATATATAATTTTTTTTGTATGTCTAATTTTGCCTTAGATCTATAAATGTAATAAAATATCGAGAATACTAAATTAGCAATTTATTGAAAATAGAAAAAAATAATAAAGAAAATAAAGAGAGTTTATTAATGGTAAAATAGCTATTAATTTGAAAGAATTTGGATTATTATTATATAGTGGGATATAAACTATTCAATTATTAGTTATTAGTGATGAAATAATTTGAGGTGAAGTGATAGTAGTAAAGTAATAGTAGCAAAAAATAACATAAGTTCGCATTTAAGTTGTATAAATCAAAAGAGGGTTTTTTTAATTTAAATATTAATAATAATAATAATAATAATAATAATAATATTAGATTATAAATAAAATGATAAGATTATACACTATTAGATTTGGCAGATTATTCCTTCCCCTTCTTATTCTCGTAATATTTAATTCTATAAGGTCATCTAAAGCTGTTAGATTGGAGAATTATGAAATTTTGGTTGAAGATCAAAAAGATGGAATTGAAAAGTCTCAAAAACAAAATGAAGTTTGTGAAATCAACACAATAGGAGAATCATGTAGTGGGAGAATATTAAAACTAAAGGAAAGCATACAACAAGGAGTAGTATTAAACATTAAGACTGAATTTTCAATAGTTGATTTAGGTTCTAGTGGAAATGATAATACAACAATGGTAGGGTCAGCTCCTGTTTCTAATTCTGTTGGTCATTCCTCTTTATCTTCTCCATCCAAATTATTTAGAAATAGTCAGAAAGATGAAGGCAAAAATGCTGTGAATATAGAATTGCAAAGTGAAATCTACTCTTTACAAGAGAATATTAAAGAGAACAAAGAGAAAAAACAGGAAGAGAAAGATATTGAAGAGGAAGACAAGAAGAAAGACGAAATGGAGAAAAAGAAAGAAGATATGGGGACAAAGAAGGAAGAAAAGGAAAACAAGGAGACGGAAGAAAAAAAGGAGACAGAGGAAAAAAAGCAGACAGAGGAAAAAAAGCAGACGGAAGAAAAAAAGGATGAAAGTAAGGGAAAGGAAGAGTATAACCAAGTAAAAAAAGAAAGTAATGACAAAGAAAAGAAGGAAAACAAACAGATCCAAAGTCATTCTGAAAAGGAAACCAGTAAAGTAATTCAAGAAGTTGGTATTAAAGATGCCAACTCTTCAACTGGTAACTTTACCACAAATATGACTATTTCTGCAGATATTGGGACTTTGATGCATGGAGCAGACGTAGAAAAACATTCAATTGATTTGGATCATCTTGAAACTATGGATTTAAAACCAAAAAAAGTCAACATTACAGAAAACAGCTTATTTTTGAACAATACTAATGATCATTTTAATGTATCTAGTTCTCATTCTATGAACTCTATTAAAAATACTAATTCAACCAAAAATGGAACTCATTTTGAGAACTTTATTAATACAGGAAATAACACTAACTCAACAAATTCTGTTATTAACTTTAACCATACTAGTTCAGACAAAAATGTAACTCTTGGCACTATTAATCCAATAAATTCAACTAATTATACAAATCCTTTGAATATAACTAATTCCACAAGTTCTAATATTTTTGTTAACTCTACAATAGAAACGGGTAAAAACAAACAAATTTTAGGTTTAAGAAATAAAAAGAGTGAAAATACAACCGAAAAACCAAAGGAGATAAATAAATCAACTAGTGATCAAGCTATCAAAGACTCAAATAGTACAGGAGAAGAACTTTTTGACCAAATTAAAACCAGTTCAGAAAATAATACAGAAATAAATGAAAAGTATGACCAAAAATCTAAACGTCATCATATTCTAATTGATGATGATGATATGGATCAAGATACTATAAATAATCAAAAGGAAGTGAATTCAACAGAAAATCATATTTTAAAAAACGAAACAAAAGAAATTTCATTTGATTTGGAGAATTATATGATCATGTATAACATTACATCAAGTAATGGAATTCAAAAATACTTGTTATTATTAAATAAAGATGAAATTGTTTTGGTAAATACTTTATTAAATGATATGGCTCCTCACGTTGGTCATAATAGTAATACAAATAAACTACCATTATTTATAGAAGCTACTTTAAATGGTGTTAATAGAGCAATTAACATGAATAATAGGATGACTACATTACAGTCTAATATTAACAAACATTTTAATCATCAAAGAGAATTATTAGAAAAAAATGATACATCATATAAACAAAAAAGTAATAGTTTTGTAGGGTCAATTTCAAAGTTTAAAATTCCAAGTGAATTATTTCCTTTGAATAAAAATCAAATTATAATTGATATTAATTTAATTCAAAGCAATATATCATTATATGCATATATTCAATTGGAAACAACTTCTAACAATCAAAATGAGATGATAAGACTAACCACTACTTTAGGTGTTAGCTCACTTGGAGTTGACGATGTTACTGATGTAATAGTAAAAGATCAAAATAAAGTAAATATTACATCAACAATATTTACTTTAAAGGAAAACAATGATAGCAATGATGAAAATAACAACTATAATAGTAGTAATATGAGTCCAAACTATGAGATATCTAAACATCCAGTTCAGAAATCTTTCTGGAAATCAATTCTTAAATCTTATAGTAATAGAGGTGAAAATAACTGACTCAATTAATCAATACTCAAATAAAGAACTTAGGATTACTTATTAGAAACTAATACTAATATCAATCTACTCAAAAAAAAAAAAATTCTTATTTTATTTTTGTGTGGATAATTCCAAAGGTAATTGATTTCTCTCTAGTCTTATGTTATTACTTTGTTAAAATAAAAATGACTAGTGCAACAAAAAGATTAAAACCCGCCTAGAAATATCCACATAATTACTAAAATAGTCAAACCGGTATATGTAAAAAAAATGCATGCATGCATGCGTAATAAAAATATAAATCTCTATTTTAAATGAATATTAAGCTAGAATTAGTAATTGATAAAAAAAAATAAATTAACTTAAGAAAACAAACAATAGTTAAGATTAGTATTTTTACTAGAATAGTAAAATTATCAAATATGTATTAAAAAAAAAGGTAGTATAGTAGTGATTATAATCAATTTAATTGACTTTAATTATATAAATAGTGTAGAAATACGAACTAAACTCTGGTAAAATTATCAGACTTTAACGCACTTTATCTCCGTAATTTCCCATTTTTACTCTACTATTTCTTTCATAATTGATAGAATTTTTCTTTTCCAGTATTATTTAACTGCAGCCGATACAAACGTAAATCTATATTTATATACATATTAATCATGCTCGGACTAAATTACGAAAATTGTCTATAAAAAGTACTAAGAACTGGGTTTGTTAATCACGGAAATACTATAAATTCTGAAAATAGTGCTAGTATTAGTATTGGTGTAATAGTAAATAGTAATATTAGTGGTTGTGATGGAAGTATTAGAAGTAGTGGTTAAAACAGAATTTCGGCGGTAATATTTATTCTTAAAAAAATTGTTTCTGAAATGTTGGAAACTTTAATATTAAAATTATTTGGCTAAAACAAGTTAGTAACTAGTAGCCTCTATATTGTTGAGTATAGTAAGGATAATGCTGTCCATATGGGTTATGTTGGTTTTGGTAATATTGTGGATAATGATTACAATTATTTTGATTCTGATTAGCTTGATAATAATAAGCAGAGTTATCAAAAGCAACATTATTCCCATAATTTTGCCCAAAAAGTTCCGAATAACCCAAAAGTTTCTTTAACTCTTCTTCTTCAAAAGATGAATCTTCCATTACTTCAATAGCATCCGAACAAATTTCAGATGGTATTGCACAAACTGACCATAAGGGCAATAAAACAATCCAAATCATACCAAAAGCAGCAAAAGCAAAACCTGTTGATAAATCAAAAGTTCTTGAGATATCAACAAAGAAAAGTCTTGCAAACATGCTACTACCTATTCCAAACATAGAAGAATCTCTAAATGGTTGTACAGTAAGACCACCAACAAGAAGATACCCAACTATACCAAGAACACATGTCAAAGCTGAGATAAAATGAAGCATAAATATACTCTGTCTGACACGTCTTGTACGGTAACAAAACCAGAATGTTAATAAGAAAATTGCTGCAAAGAATAACAAAATAATTGACAAAATAAACATTGTCATAATAACTGATGAACCAATTCTCAATAAATGGAATTTATTACATCCAAGATTTAAAAGTTGTAATGTGCCAGCTTCAAGACTACAAATAAAGTTTGTAGCATCTGAAATACTTAAATTATCCATTCTGGAAACTATAAATCTGCATATCTTCTTATTTGCATCAAAGCTAATAAATGAATCACAGTTTGAAGAAACATGTACTGTCCAAAGCCCAAAGTTTAAGTCTATATAATTATCAATTGGAAAGACTACTCTAGCATAATGGTATGCTGGTAATGTTAGTGCAAAGAAGAGCCATAAAATCCCAACAACTGTAGCTATAAAAACACTAAAAACTGGGCACCCAGGAATTTCATACGGAGCAGATTTTGAATCATTTCCATTATTATTTGTATTATTTGGGTAATAGTTAGTTAATTGACCGTACTCAGGATAGTTCTTTCCACTATAATATGGAACTATTGAGTTTTGCTCCATTAATATTTGAACTTTACTATATACTGTTGAAGAATTAATGAAGTTGGAGAAAAGATTCTTTTAATTGAAATTAAATGTTCAATCAACTCGAAATATCCTTATTTTTTTATTGCATAAATATATTTAACTAGCAAATCTTAATATACAAACTGTATAGTTTTTCCTGATAAATTACTTCTGCCTTAAAATGTCACTTCCTTTAATAATTATTCCAGTTATTCAATTCAAATATCTTCTTATATACTTAACTTCTCAAATAACCAAAATATTCACCTTACAGCGACCTATTAACTAACTTCTAAAAAAACTTAAATCAAACTCCTCACAATAAACTTTCGTATTTCAACAAGTAGATATAAATACATATATATACAATATATATATTAATATGTTTAAATATATATCCCTGTATATAAACAATACTTTCTTCACCAATCCTTCCTCAAATTAAACAAAAATAAGCCTTGACTTTAATGGTCAATTCTTTTTATTCCACCTATCTTATTTTTATTCTAATTTTCAATATTAATATTTTTTTATGTATTATTTATATTTCTTTCAAATGTTTTAATGTCATCTTAAGCCTTTAAAATTTCCCGCCTACTACCTCTTTCGCTAGAGGTAGTAAAATTCCAAATAAATAAAAGAAATTTACCGCCTAATAGACATAATGATATTTAAACTATATTAACAAAAAAAGCAGTTACCTTGGATTCCGACGTAGTCTAGTCGGCTAGGATACATGGCTCTCACCCATGCGACCCGGGTTCGATTCCCGGCGTCGGAGCTCTTTTTCCAAAAAAAACTGTTGAGAGCCTTAAGAAGGTACTAGTGTTTTTATATTATGAATGAACAGAAAATAAATTATAAGTACTGTAGGCTCGGCGAGGATTTCAAAGAATACTAGATTTTAGCACAAAATACTGTGCTAATGAAATGAAGCAAAAAAAAAGCTACTTTTCAGTTAATAAAAATCAGGTTGAGAAATTTATTAAACATTAATGTGAAAACATCAAGAACCATCATTACTCTCACTCATCCCTTTTACATTTTTTTCATCCATGAAAGTAGTCAGCCAAAATTAAAATTAGATATAATTATATTATAACCTTAAAAATGAATAACATTTAACTATACTGGCAAAAATTATAATGAAAAATACATGTTCGCAAGTCATTACATGCATGTAAAATACATACATAAACAGATAGTGCGCGCCAGTCATAAAATTTATCTATTGGGATTAAATCATCATGCTGAACACAGAATAACTTCAAATCTGCCTTGTCAATTTAGTGCTCTTTCCATGTTCTCTCCCCCTTCCTTTTTTTTCCTCTCTCACTTTTCTCTCTTCTTTCACCCTAGACAAATGCCCACTAAAATATAAACCCTATATTTTCCTCAGATTCTTCTGTGTTCACAATGGGACGATAAACTATTCTAATTCTGAATATAATATCGGTGTCAGGGTCGTATTCCACATGTATCCCTGAAGCATAATAATTCCCAGAATCAGGAGCATTCGATTGCCAAGTTATCATTGAGTTATTATTAATTAAAACTTTTTTCTGCCTCTTAACGTGACTCAAAAGCTTGAAACCTGCAGGAATACCTCTGGCATCTATGGCAACTTCCACATTCTCTATATAATCAGCATCACTCTCTAAGCAATCACTTATCTCATCAAAGTGGAAATTTGGTCCAACTAGACCTAGATTTGCTTCTTCTAGCCAAGAATTCCCACACTGTAGAGCTATACCTTTAATGTGTTCCCCATCATTATATATTCTCAATCCTGTCATTCTTGAGTTCTTCCAATCATCCCAAGTCATTCTTCCGTCTAATTTTAGTCTTGAAGTTTTACACCAAATACCATCCATTTCCAAGTTCCCAACGTCCAGTCCAATCCAATCAGTAGTAATTGTTGGAGAACTCATCATTCCCCTTACTTCTCGGTCATTCATCTCCTCTGAGGTTTCTGCTTTTCCTCCTGGTAGTTCAAATGGAGAACTGTATTTCTTATCTTCTGAATCTTTGCTCTTGGTGCTAATTGAGGTTGGCCTAAACAAAGGTAAGAGCATTGCTATAGAAGTAGTATAATCCCCAGTCTTTTCAAAAAGTAGTTCAAACCCATATAATCCATCTCCTCTAGTCTTTGCTTCCACATAATAATGTTGCCACTCACCAAACTGTCTCAAAAGATTGGTTTCAAAGTAAAGTTTTCCAATACTGTGGGTTTTATCAATTCTGGTTCCTCCTACTGCAATTACAAACTCCTTATCCCTCAATCCGAACACCTCTTCTATGAGAATGGAATTATCATTAGAAACATGCCATTTTCCTACCTCCTCATATTCTTGGTCATCACAAGCAATTCTTAAACCTATTAACTCTTGTTTCTGTTCCACTGGGTCTTTTTTGTATGCCATCGTGATTTGGGTAAGTCTAGTCCCTTCTTCACAGGAATACTCATCTCCAGTACTTACATCCCCATCTGCATTTGCATGACCCCATGGGGTGTTCCTGTCTGTAAGAGGAGCTGTTCCTGCTCCTGCTTGTTTCGATCCTGGTAAAGTCCTTACCTTTGGAGGTGGGCCAGAATCACCAAAGTTGGTATATATGGCTGACAAAGCTGTTATTATCCCTTTCCTAATCTCCAAATCAAATCCACTCAAATATCTGTCATGTAACTTTCCCATCTTTTTTTTCATGTGGTTCCTATTAAATAATTTTAACCTACTGAGAGATCTGTCCTCACTATTTAACACCACTTCTACTTTTTCTATTGGTTCATTCAGTGGGATCTCATATCTGGCAACATCTCCTAATGTACTTCCAACTGGGTTTAGAGGCTGACCATCACAAATCAGTGTCAAACCAATAATAGGATGGGGAATCTTTGTTGAACTATATACCAAAAGACCTGTTAATCTGCTTCCTGGGGCACAGAATGTCTCTTCAACATGAGATCCTGCTAAGTTTCTACGTCCAAACCATTCTTCTCCTGGCCTAAAGTTCACAACTCCTCTATTTGATAATCTTTCCTCCTCATCCGTAGAATCTCCTGATTCACCTTGTATATCTGAAGCTGAAACGTGATAAGGAGCAATTTCTGGATCATCAAAGACTGGGTACTCATTTTCATTTGCTCTTCTTTCCAGGAACCCAATAGAAACCAGTCCTTCAGGTGTCTCCTGTCCAATAAACCCATAAATTTCTGTCTCAACATCTCCAGACGCCAATTTCTTCATGATTTCTGAACCTGTCTCACCAAAAGATGACTTTCTGTTCCCTATAGTAACTAGCATTACCCCACTTACATAGAAAGGCTTTTCAGATTGGTTCTCAACAAAAGATCTTGAAAAGAAGTCTCCAGACTCTACTTCTGCTTCAAATCTGTCTCCCATACTACTTCCAAGTTTAGTTCGTCTCCATTTTGGTCCACAACGAATCCTGAGACCAATCAATCTTGAGAAAACAGCATCTCCTTCATTCTTTCTTACAAACCACATCCTAACAGCTGTGATAGGAATTCCTGTTGGACAGGATGTCTCTAAGACTACCACATCCGGATCAGATTCAGGTCTAACAGCTCCAAATAAACGAATGCTTATGTCTTTTGCAGTTATTGGATATTGATCAATAGGGGTTGCAACCCTATAAAGAGGAGCTATTGCTCCAATTCGGTCACTTTTGATCATCATAGCAGCTCTGAAGCCATACAACTCATAGCTACTCACTACATCATGTTTAAAGCGAATGTCAAAAAGATGAGGAAGGCCAAGATCCCCAAGGTAAACCCTAAAATCAACAACTGGGTCCTCCTCATGAACAAGAATATCATAGGTTCTTTTCTTTTCCCTTTCTATCAGGTTTGGATTCCCAATCGGCTTAAAGAACTCATCCCCACACTGAATTGCCAAGGAAACTAAGTACATTTTGAAAGGCTTTGGACGAGCTTCTCCCTTTCTCATAATCAGACGGAGCCCAGTCAAAGGAACTCCTGTAGGACATCTGGTCTCTTGAATAGGGCAATCCTTAGCCACTCTACCATAGAAAGAGCTTCTTGGAACAAGCTCTTTCTTAGAAGAGGAATCTCCAAGTGAGGGAGAATCTCGTCCCTCCAAGGAGGGAGACTCAGAAACCTCCAAATTACCATAATCCTCCCTATCCCCAGCCTCGCCTGCTCTTGGAGGCTTCTTCCAGTGAAAACCAATACCAGAAATAGCTCCAGTTTTGTCTAGCTCGGCAAAGATTCCCTGCAAAATCTTTCTTCTACCTCCTCCTTCAGACCTAGAAGACTTTATTGTTGGAGTAACCCAGTCATCCCCCAACTTTTGCTGGCGTCCTGTAGTAGAGAAGATTACCAAACTCTGGATAAACTTCTCAGGTGACAGATGCAAAGTCACAGCACTGATCATACTCCCAACCAAAGCCTTGTAGTCAGTTCCTTCAGTAATTCCTAAGACTACTTCCTGCCATACTCTGTCACATTCAACCTTAATCCCAACCAATCCTCTGTTTCCCATGAAAAAAGCTTTTAATCCGGTGATCTTACCATCACACTTAATATCCTGGAAATCATATCCTCTCCTACCATATATTATCTGAGGACGAGACAGGATATCTTCTGTCTTAGAAAATAGAAATCCCAGAGACATTGAGTTTCTGTATCCCAAAGTAGCAAAGTCGGTTCCTCTCCATTTACCTCTTGGATATCCTGAAATTAGGACTCTGAATCCAGAAAGCTCGTGTCCATCTGGAGCTTCCTCTACCACAGATGGAAGATTCCCTCCTGTCTTACCCAAGTAACTCAAGTGGTTGTTTTTAGTCCTGAGAGTCATCCTTCTGATGAGGTATATTGGACCCTTCTCTAATTCATCTTCTTGATTGTCAATATAAACCAATCTTGGTCCTTGATATGTAGGAATAACTAACTCCTTTTGTGATGGGTGTTTTACTGGGTTTAGAGTTTCTACAAAAACTCTAATCTTAACGAAAGGATCTTCTGGACGTGTTAAAACTGTATACTTTTTCAAATTTGGGCCAACATTTCCCATAATCTTACTCCATGTTGAAGAGCTAGATCTTCCTCTTCCTCTTATATCTAGGGGTGAGGAACACAAAAACTGTATTCCACGAAGATCCTTCTTTCCTCTACTCTCAGGGTTGGGAAACCAGGCTCTAATCCCTATCAAACTTTCATATGGTTTACATAAAATATCTAAAACTCTTGGAATCGGCAAATCATCAACCTGAATTGGGCCGTAAATTCTAGTAGGACCAACATAAGCTCTTGGAGCTTCCAGTTCTGGACTTAAAGGAAACAATGGTGTGCCATCCTGGTTTCTCAGAGGACCCCACACCCAATTATTAGATATATTGTCCCACTGCCAACTCTCCATGGGAATTTGCTTCTTTTCTCCCTGAATACGGTTCCAGTAACCGGAATCATTAATTTTATTAAAAAAGTAAATACCATAATCCTTTGGATATGAATACAAATATCTTTCAAATGTTGGATGTTCTTCTCTAGAAGGCAAACGAGATGGAATTCTTTCTTTTTCTTGGTATCTGCCTCCAGGTGCCTTTAGAGACCCTACCTTCAATAACCCACCACCGTCCCATCCTCCTCCTAAAAAAGCTGTCAAAAATGCCAGGAATAATATCTTCATTTTCTTCCTCCTGCACTTTTTTCTTTTACCTAATTTCTTTTCTAAAGTATTGCATGCACGAACCCGCCAAAATTTTAGATCCCGCCATTAAATTTTTAGATCCTGCCGGTAGGGAAGGGTTGGGTAAGAGGTAAAGAGAGTACTGGGAGAGGAAAAAAAGAAATAAGAAAGTGGAGGGATACAGAAAGTAGGAAACTGCTATTAAACGTTAAATATCATCTGAGATTTGTGAAGGTTAGCTCGGCTTTTTTCTTGCTCAACCCAACAAAATGTTTTGTATTCTTTTTGTAAAATGCTACAGGAGGGAAGGAGACGAGGAGGCAATGAGGCAATGAGGCAATGAGACAAAGTAAGGGGATATCCCAGCTTCTGGAAAGCCAAAATAAAAATGTAATTTTGTTTGATTATTAGTTTTTTGTTTTTAGATGTGAAAAAGAGCTCCTGAAGACACTTTGTTCTTTATGTTGAGCTAGGGTAGGCAATAGAATAATTCAGAGATCAGAATACACTATAATCTCTTGAAGAAATAATTATATAGTAAACTAATCGAAAATGGAGGTTACACAAGAAGGGGCAATTCTGTAAACCCAGACATTGCCTTCTCGTTTATCCAACCTGGTAGACCTCTGATAGGCCCTCTTCCTACTCACCACTAGCTCTCTCAAATCCTCGATAACTTCTCTGTTTAAATTCCAGTTGTTATGACGCATGGTTCCGACGTTCTGTTCAATAAAACTCTGGTCAATTACATCCATATCCAAATAATTTAATCTTTGTTCAGGAGTATGCCTATTTGCATATAAACTGGATGTGTCAAGAATTCCAGAACTACTGGCTCTGGGAGAACATTGCTTAGGACTATGAGATGCGTTAAAGCTGTTAATTAACACCTTCGAAGGGTAAATTAGAGATAATGCATTTTCATTTCTTGATCTTGGCCTTTCTAAGGTGTTTTGTGATTGTTGACGGTTTTCTTCATCTTGACTTGACCCAAATCCAGGTTCTGTTCCTACTCCACCCACTTTTTGGTTGGAGGAAATGTCTATTCCATCTCCATAAGCAGCAATTTTTGGTGAAGAGACCGTCTTTTGGAGCTTATTAGTGAGCTCCACATCAGACCCCCTATACTGGTCTAAATCATTTATTTGAGATTTCATGGTCTTGCTAAAGCTCTCAGCCAAACCGTAATGCAACCCAAAAACGTTACAACCCAAAGCCTTTCTTCCCTGTATGATTTCACTCCACTTAAGGGCCCCATCTTGGCTGTCTCCATACATGGTAATCAAGTTACAGTATTGTCTTAACATCGGAAAAGCCTTATTAATAAAGTCATCCAAATAGTAATCAGGATTTAAAAATGTCATGGAAACTATTTGAACTTTCTCGTTAATTATTGGATTGATTCCATCAACAAACTGAGTCTCAGAATGGCGGATACCCAAATAATTACCTGGATCAATGCCTGACTTATGATCGTGTTGTTCACATCTTTCAAGCAAATTCTCCAATAAAAGTTTGGGAAATGACTGGATGAATAATCTGGTCCCCATTGAATGGGTCATTATGTGTATATGTCTAATCCCTCTGTTTTTTAACCCCAAAATAAGTTGGTATAACGAATCATGAGTGTGAGGACTTTCCGCGTTCTTTCTTGCTTTAAAGTACTGCAAGAAAGAGTTTCCTGATGGCCACGAAAAGACCATAGGTTTGATATAGGAGGGAAAGTTCCCAAACGCAATCATCTGCCCAACTTGTCTCAAAGCATCCATTATTGAGTTATTGTAACCATGAATAAATATGAGTACTTCAGCTGCATGAAGACCGTCACTATGTATCCAATTCTTCACTTCTAGCTCGGGATAGTATACAGTATTGTCTCGGATTTCTTCATCTAATTCCTCCTTTGAATAAATAGAATCACGACGATATCTATCTACTACTCTAACTTCTACCGATTCCAAATACCTATTGTCCTGAGACCTATTTAAAGGATACTGAGAAGCCCTAACAATTGAGGAACTTGAGAATGAACTTGAAAATGGAATCAACCCACTAACAGCACCATTGGGGCTCAATATTGTACTTTTTAAACTGTTTTCTAAAAAATTGTCTTGATACTCGTCACTCAAAGCCAGTCTTGCCCCAGTTTGTTTTGTGTAACGTAATACCTCTGAAACTGGAAAGTATCCTGCTATATACAAACCTCTTTCTGCATCAACCAAAATAGTAACTTCGTTTTTAGGATGAATTGTGAACATCGGAATATGAGGCGACAAATTTTGGAAAACCCAAAGAAGAGATATATCTCGTTCTTTCTCTTGTTTGCTTTGATTTCTCCTCATCTTTTGCCTAACTTTACGAATCATGTGAACTCCTCTTTTTTGAAAACCTAAGTTAATCTCACTCTTGAACATTCCAGACAATTTAGTCTGTTCTTCTTTGATATTCTGCTCACTACCTGATGGAATATCAATTGATAAACTATTTAAATCATTTGACTCAATTTTTTCACTATTCTCTTCAATATTAGCCACATTCAAATTAACCATATTTTTACAATTTAAGTTATTCTCTTCTTGCGATGTTTCTTTTTCTTTGTCTTTTTTCTTCATTCCCTTAATCCAGGTACTATTAAACACTGCTCCAACCATTTTCTTACCTTTTTGAGTGGTATCATCCAATGCTGCTTTTCCCTTAGCTCCAAGTCTTGCAAATATTGACCCACTCCTATTAATCCCTAATGATGGAGCTGGATAAATATGGCATAAGGGAAATCCTCTAAAGAACTGGCCAGAAACACTACACTCAATATCTGCGTATCCATATAAATTAGAATTTAAATTTGCCTCTGTTCGACAAAATCCCAACTTCAAACAGATAAAACCACTACCTGATCTACACTCTCTTGTCTTAAATGGGCCAATTGGATGTCCGTTCTTCCAAAACCCGACCAAAATTTCGCCATAATAATCATCCTCTCTCCATCTTCCAAAACCGTGAGGCCTACCGTCTTCATTAATCTCTCCCAAGTACCAGCTAGTTATGCTACATCCCTGGTTTTTTAATGAATTCGGTCTCCTTGCTCTGTCCTTTCTCGTCCTAAAAGTTAAAAGCAAATCCAGCCTTATTGGATTTAACTTTTTGAAAAGCTTTCTAACACTAAACCTCTTTATCTCAATGAAGTAACCCGAAGCTAACCTGACATTTTGGTTATCAGAATCCCTCTTCCAAAACATCTTTGTATCGCTTGAATAATCATTTATACTCTCAGATTTCAACTTCTCTTCAGACTCATTTCCTTCGCAATACTTAGAGCTCGTATCCTTGGGACTCATGTTTTTGCTACCATCAAATTTCTTCCCAAAAGAAAGTAGTTTTAACTCTACTGGTTCAATGTTTACAAATTTCCAAGACTTGAGAAACCAGGGATGTTTAAAATAATAAACAGCTATTAGTGGTCTTAACTTTGAATAAAAAAATGATACCAGTGAAATGCAAAACTGCAACGAAATATATACGAATGGAATTACGTTGTAAACTACTAACTCCCCATTACTCAAAACATGATCACATTTTTGCAAAAATATTGAACCTTCTGGATCTGAAACCGTTGTCCTCAAGATAAATAGTAGAAAAGTAATGGCTGTATATAAAACGCTTAGTCTAAAAGAATAAACCACTCCTGTCTGGAACTGAGTTATTAACAGCCAAAATGAGGTAATTACTATCATTCCAACTTCAACACACAATATTATTAAATTATAACCCTTATAAAATAAACCATGTGTTGCTATATATCCTAAATTTGGGCATGAAGAAAAAAATAGTAGATTTGAGAAAAATCCACATAGTACCAACAAAACCAGAGTCCAAAGCCTTGCTACGTCTCTAAATACCCCCTGATGTTTTCTGCTAAACTTTCGGAATTCCATGCAACCTACTGTGTCCAAAAAATTGTGTTTTATCTGTTCGATTAACTTTACTTCGGAGTCCAAAAATTGTCTGCTTGACCGGAATACATCCGGGGATGGTTTTTCCACAACATCTCCTGCTTCTATTACATCCATCCTTTTTTATAATTCACCTCTTCATGTTCTGTCAACAAATTACTTTTTTTGTTTTAAATTGCATGTACTAATTCCTACACCCCTCACTACGCCTTGTCCTTAAGCGCCTCTTACATGCATAACATCTATAGGAGAAAAATTATAAAATTAATCTTTTCCTAATAAGTCTTAGTTTTCCCATACCTCTCTCTCCTTTATTTTCTCTAATTAGAAACTTGAATTAAAGAGATCTATATAAACATTTTCGTTACAAAATCACATTTCTCATATCTTCATTTACATTATTTATTACACTTTAAATTTCATTATAGCCCGCCTCCTATGATGACTATTTGCATGACTTATATTCCCACTTGAATGCATGCAAACCCCGGTATGCAAATTTTAAATTGGTTCAAAAAAATGACTGAAAAATCAATAATCAACTTTCGAGCAGATTGGCTGAAAAAAACTGATCAGATTAAAGGGCAATCAACTACTAATGAGCGATTTTAAATCGCCAGAAAGGTAAAAGTTAAATTATACTATAATTATATAAGAATTGAATGTGGCAAAAAATTAGTCTATATTCTGAACATTCTTAAAAAAATAAAAATTTTTATTTTTGTTGTTTTAAAATAATATTTCCAGATTTGCTATCAACCTTATAATATTTATTTCTCTTCATCTTTTTTTTATTTTCACTACTTAACGAAGAATTGAACTCAACCTCATCCAAAGATACTCTTGAACAATACCTTTCGTAGATTTTATTTTCCTCTGAGTTAACCTTTTTCACCAAGATTTTTTCTTTATAAATGTACAATATTATTGCTAGTACTAGTAGACCAACAATCACTGAAATCCTAATTATCAAATAACCACTAGTGCTCTGAGACTTCTTAAAATTTCCGACAGTTCCTGGAACGTATATAAAATCTTCATCAGAAATTGATTCACCAAGAATATCGGTAGCATCACTATCCTCTTCAGTCTCCTTGATAGTATCTATTGATTCCTTAACTGACTCTAAATCTTTAATCAGACTTTTCATATTCTTACTTGAGTTCATATTAACTTTTCCTGAACGGTTTGAAGTTTTTAAAATTTCATTAGCTACAATCTCGTAAATCATGTTTCCAGCCTGAGATGCTGAAAAATACAAAGTCTGACAATCCATGCTTGTACTTTCGAGTTCACTCAGAAATACAGTTGACTGTCTCACAAATTTTCTATACCTAGACTCTACCCTATCCAAAGAAAGATAAAATTCAATGTGGTCTTCATATAAGTTATAATTTTTTAAAACCTCTTCTTCAAGTTCAGAATTTACCCTCAACTCAATCATATGTTTAAATACTTGACTATCTTTCGATTCCTCTTTTACAATTTTCTCAATTTCTTTCAACTTTTCTACTTCCTCTGCTTCATGTTTGTCTTTCAAAGATGACATATTATTTTCCAGCTTCTTTGAAATGTCATACCCTGTTGAAAAGTAACTCAAAAATCCACTCTTCTTCCTAGCCACTTTACTCCTTTTCCTATAAATATTCTTGTCTACAATCAACTCTATCTCTCCGTAATGTTTTATCCTGTCAAATAAATTAGTGGCTAAAGTTCGAATATCCAAACCCTCAATCATTAAGTGAGTATATAAGTATTGCAGATCGTCCAAAATTAAAGTTTCTCTCATCCACCTATTTATTGCTATTGATAAATTATCATATATTTCCAAGAGCTGGTCCAGATACGATTCATTTAAAAGAAAAAAGTCAATTCTATCTTTAATCTGGTACAAATATTGTAGAGAAGTTAGTGAAATTGAGTGTACCATTGTATTACTTGCTAATTTATATACCTTATTCAAGAAACCGTCTAAATCTATTATTTTTATTGTCAAATGAATTCTCAGCCAGATCAATTTCTGTTTGTATATCATGTTTAACTGTTGAATACTATATTCATGAAAAAGAGTTACTAGTTTATAATTATTTAAGTGTCCGTCCCAAAACTTGTTTGAGAAATCCGAATTATAACTATCCATATTAAACTCCATTTTCTTAGGAGTGTCTACTATTACAAAGTGATTCATTATTGTTTGGTTAATTTTTCTTCTCAATTCATAGCTTGTCTTGTTTCCATTGTTTTTACTCAAATCTAATCCATTCAGTAGGTGGTTCCACCTGTTTTCAACTTCATCTAATATCTTTGTATCATTTCTAAATTGATAATTCATAATCTTTTTCCCTATTATCTCAATTTCGTTATGAATCTTAAAAGCCTTTTCTAGCCCGAATTCTGTATAATATTCGACAAGATCTTTCTGAAAATCCTGAAAACTTTCAAACCTATTTTCACCAATTAACCCTATATTATATTTGTCTCCTAAGTTTAATGTTTTTGCTTCCATCCAATCTCTCAACTGATTTACTTCCTCTTTAATATTTTCAAACATCCATAAATTTGCTGTGCCTGGTAACTTCTGAATAATGTTTTCAAAAGAATTAAAGAAATTTGTGATAACTTTTTGTCTCCCCATCATCAGGAATAACTGAGGAATAAATGGATAAAAAGTCTCATCTATTCCTGTAACATAGGAAACTGCTAATCTATCAAACTTTTCATCTTTACCCAAAACCACCTGAGTAATCAGGAAAACCGAAATTAATATCCAATACCAATATTTAGATTTAATCATAAAAAAGTGTCACTTTCTGAAAAAACACTATTAAATAAAAGTCTGCATATGTGAATACAATTTTATTTAGTAGAAAACCGATCTATTTTCTCTATAATTATGATTGTCTCATCATACATTTAAATAATGTTATCGATAGTTAATCTTGCCATTAAACTTTGTATAAGAAATAAAACATGGTACATACTTAGTTTTTTCACACTTTATCTAATTTCCTAAGAAATAATATATAATTCACACAAATGTACACTGAAATAATATAATAAGGGATTAGTTAAAATATTTCAGAAGATTTGCACACAAAAAAAAAATTGAAAAATAATATAAATAAAAAATTAAAAACTCAAGGCTCAAAGAAGCTAATTCTACTATTTCCCGAGCATAGATTTTTTTTTCTTACTCCTTTTCTTTTTTCTACTAACAGATGATTTTGCAGGCCTTTTCTTTTTTTTTGTGACTTCTGTGATGGAATTAAGGCCCAGAATAGACCCATATTTGTCTATTTGAGGTATCCCAATTAATGCTGGGATAATAATAAGAGGATGAGCATTCTGAGTATAGGGATTTGGCTTATGTCTAACTAGAATTTGCATTAGATACTTAAATTTTGTAGTGTTTGAGATATCGTAATAATGAATATGGAGGAATGATTGTTTTTTGGACTTAAAAAAACACAAAAGTCTTTTTTTTATGGATTTAGTTCTCTTCTTTTTAGAAGAGTTCCATTTACAGTGAGTCTTTCCAAGATCTGAAGGAGAACCAGCTTTTTGAGAGGAAATAGAATCTTGGAAGGAATGAATAGTTTTGCTAAGTTTTGGAAGTTCATGATATGACTCATTTAGATCTGATTTTCGGTATTTTTTAGGAATAAGTTCAGGAGAGGCTGAAACAAGAACTATGTTTACTTTTTTTGATTTTTTACGTAGACTCATTAGTTTTTTATAAGAGGCTCTGTTTACCACCAAAATTGGCTCACTAACATAAGTTGGTTGGTGCCTCCACTTTTCTGAAAGATGGATTAAAGATTCAGCAGAATTCAAGGTTGATACTAAAAGTTGGAATTGACTGTTAAACAGTCTCCTTGCAGCAGAGTGTTTGAGACTCAACATCTTTTCAAACTCTCTAAGTTTAAGTAGAGCCTTGGTTTTGCTTCCTCCAAACCTTTCAACGTACCTCTTGGCAAAGGTAGATCTGATATGTGAAGGACTGTACTTTTTAAAGATGAACTTTTTTAATCCCTTTCTTAAAAGTAGCGAGAATGAGATAAAGTACTGATTCAACAAAGAAATTTCTTCTGGAGAATACTTTGACAAAATTTTTTGGATAGAAAATAGGTCTTGAGATCTTTTTCCCTTTTTAGGTGACCAAGAGGGGTCTGAAGATGAGGTTTCTTCATACCTGTAATTTTTATATTGTAAAGGTCCAAATTTGGTTTCTTTTCCAGTTAAATGATTGTTCTCGGTAATTACACTTCCGATAGTCGATGGTTCTAGAGGATCTTCAAAAGTCTCAGGGAGGACTTGGCTTTGGGTGTCAAAAGTTGTATCCTCTAATGACTGCTGCTGACCAAAATTTAGCATTTCTAAGTTACCTGAAGATTCAACAGAGTTTTCTGAGCTTTCAAAAGTAGGAAAACCAGAAAACTCATTTCCAGTAGTTTTTATAAAGAATACAAACACCAAAAACAAATAGAGAATTTTTAACTTTAATATTTCTTTCATTTCTTAGATTTCTAATACATGCAAATTGTCAGCATTTTCATGCTATTGGATAATAGGCTTCTTATCCACGCCTTTACAATTGTTCTTCTGTTTTCTTTCCTTTGACAATTTTCTTACAGTCTACTTTTTCCAACCTTTTTGATGATTTATTCACAAAATTAGCAACTCAATACCGGTGTGCATGCAGTGTGTATCGTAGTCAATATTTTCGGCGGGAATATTAAACATGAAAATAATCAATTTAATATCAGGCAAAAATTTACAACAAAGTCAGATATATCAAATTCGTAAATAAATAGCAATAATGAAATTATAAGGAATTAAAGCTAGGACTAGACAAGGAAATACACGATAGAGTTTGAATTCCTATAAATTAATTTTCTCTTTTCACAATTCCTGTTTGCCATGATCTAGTAATTTAGGCGCGCAAACGGAGATCTCATGAATAATAAGAAAAACAAGTTAAATTGATGTTCCAGGAAAGAATATAAAGACGATTTTGAGGTGGGAAACACAAGTAGAAATGGATAAATAAAAAGTAGTGTAAACAAAAAAGTAACTATTTTTCTTAAAAACGAGAGAAATTGGTGTGAGTCACACATTACCAGAAAACATTTTGATGCACGCAAATTTGAAGAGGAAAGTTAAAGTTAAATAAAATTATTGTAAAACGAAAATTAATTAGAAAATTTGAAGGAAAAATTCTGAAATTACACATTGAAATTATTACTCAGAATTTATTCAAAAGTTTTCAAGATTTGAATTTTAAATTGCATGAAATATATATTAATAAATCTAATAGTGCTATTTTATATGAAAGCTGAATAATAAATTTAAGTCTATTTAATAGGCTTAAAATGAATTTTATTAAACTATCCAATTCAGTTTTTTTACTAATAATATGGATTTATTTAACTGGTGGATTTACAATAATTGAAGCTGCTGACTCCAAAACTGGAAACAAAAGCAGCTTGAGGAAGAGATCTGGATTAACACCTCAAGGTACTTCAAAAGTTTCGTCTGACTCCTCAAAGAAGGACTCAAACTCTGCGGGAGAGACGGTAGTAAACTCAGTGGAGGAGTTAAAAGGAATCAATCCGATGAAGGCACATAGTATAAGTAGAGTTGTGGAACTTTGCAATGGCCAACAGCTTTTAAAGGGAGAAAACAGAAAGAAAACATTCTTTTTAAAATGTGAGAGCGACAAAAACCATAAAATTGTATCGGTTCCCCAAATTAACTATACTACCAGAAAAGCAATAGAAGGAACTTCAGAGAAAACTGTTCTGGTTAACTGGAAGTTAAATTTGGAAGGAGCTAATTCAGCTCTTGTTTATGGATTACTCTTTGTTACTTCAGGTTTACAGCATTCTATAATGGAGAATTGCCTAGTTCTCCCACGTAATTTGGTTTTAAAGGGAGATCCAAAAAATCCTGTTCTGGCCCAAAGGCTATATGATTGTTCTATAGGTAATCAAATCCAACCAATAACATCCTTCCATGTTTTGGCAAAAGTCGATACTTACTTTAATTTACGTCCTTTGAGGCTTTACAATGAACTGGAACGAGCTATGAGAATTTCTCAAATGAATTATATTTATAAAGCAAATTCCAAAACTCCAGAGGTCAGAGTGGACCTTCATCCAAAATATTATGTTATCCATGATAAAAATGGAAATGAGTTATTTAATGATATTCTTTTTATTGAAAAGCTTGAAGCCATTCCTTATATTAAGGTTATAGTTGTCTTAAAAGACGAAAACCTTTTACATGATTTATTAATTGGAAAGGAATTTCATGAACAAAAGGCACAGTTGGGTAGATGGTATAGAAGGTTGCTTAGAGGAATATGGCTCCCTTTCTATACAGCTGCAATGTTTATGTTCCAGAATGGTAATAAAGTTCACTGTGATTTACATACCAGGAACATTATGATCTCAATAGATCCAAACTTTGGTACTGAAAAGTGGAAGACTGCGAATACAATGTTTGAACTGGCTGCAGTTACCCCAACTTCTATGAGAGTTATTGATGTTGGAAATGCAATTTCAATGAATAGTCCAGAAATCCAGATGGAAAATGACCCATGTAAAAAATACGAGAGAAGGCCTTATGAAGATATTAGTCTATTAGATTTTAGAGTTCTTGACCCTCTTACTGCTCCTGCCAAAGCACCATCATTTTTACCAGAAGAAGATAAGATTTATGGTGATGATGCTAAGGTTGATGATATAAATAATGCAAGGTCGCTCATTAAGTATTATAATATGAAACTTAATAAACTCAAAACAAGTATAAGAAATATCTACCAGTGGGAGTCCTGCAGAGTTAAGAGAGTTAACAAAAAGACAAGAAGATTACATCCAGAGGTCGATAAATATCCTTGCAGATTTATTGATCAAAAAGAAGCCTTGCTAGAAGCCTGCAAAATACTTAAACGATATACTGCCGAACAATTTATGGGGGTCCCATCATGTAATTTAACCTCAAGAAGAAAGTAAAATCTATAATTTTAGAGTTTCAGTAATTAGGGTTATTCTTAGAAACTTAGTCTTTTTAATATACTAACTAAATTAAGTACATTGCCTATACAAAAGAAAAAGAATAGTAATGCATGCACGCATGCATTACTGCATGCATGATGATTGTATTGGGTTGATTATACAAAACCTAAATGAAAGTATATAAATTCGTGTAAATTTGGTTATTTAAATGCAAAAATTTCTTCAGTAAACCACTTGTCTATTTAGTGAATAAATTAATATAGCCATGAATAGTTTATAATCTCTTTAGGATTTGAAAGAAAAATAATTACACGATTTGAGTTAAAATCTAATGATACAAATGAGCTGATTTACATCTTTAGAGATAACATAGCTTATAAAATGTATCTGTAGATGAAAAAGAACCTTGTGTCAATATTCTGATAATTCCCACAAAATAGGCGAAAAAAAATATGGTAAAAAGGTTCAAAGAATAAAAGGTCTATACAAATTACTTGCTCTTTCTGACATAAATCATTCTCAAGGCAAATAAGATAACAAATATTGCAATTCCAACATACATAACAAGTTTGTTAGCAAGATTGTAATCTCTTCTTAAAGTGTTTTCCAAAAAGCTCTGCCAGCAATTAATTGACATGAGTGAAATAAATGCTGAAAGAGATGCCAAACCTTGAACAACACCAAAGTTATCATAACCAAAGACTCCTGCCACAAAACTATAAGTTAAGGAATTAGCAAAACATGTATAAAGACCAGCAAATACACTGGATAAGATTTGGGGAATTATGTTACCAACAGATTTGAATCCTGCACAGAAGTAAGCTCCAATAAGTAACGAAATCTGGTATTGCATTGTAATAATAAGCCCATTATGATCTACAATGTATCCCCAAGCAAGGGACAAGTAAGATGCAAGCGAATAGATGATATTTCCGATATCTGCTGCCTTCTTGGCACTGATTTGGTCGCTTATATTAATCTGACAAGTACTTCTGAAAAATAGCTGGTAATGGATTCTGGAAAGAGCAAAGAATAACATATACATGAAGAAAGTAACAAAAGGTAATGAAAGGATTTTTCTCATGCAAGAAAGTTCCCTATATCCTTGAATTCCATCTTGTTGGGACTCATCTGCATCCTTTTGAATAAGATCGGTACTCTCGTCTTCAAGGTCATTTGAAATATTGGGGTTCTGATAAGACATTCTCTCTGGGAGTTTACCAGATGGGAAAATAAATGCATGGTGAATAAATATTGCTAATTGCATAATTACCATGGCAATGATTACAACTCTGGGGCCTCCAACAAAATCAGAAAGCCTATCCTGGAGAAGAGGAAGAAGCAGAGCAAAGTCCATACCAATTGTGAGAAGCATTCCAACAGTGTTTTTGACCTTAGGGAACATTTGCATAAATCTGGATCTGGATGCAAAAGTACATGATAGAGATAAACCAAAGCATACACCGGCAAAGTAATATGCATAAGAAGAGAAGTGGAATAAAAACATCAGGGTATAACCAACAGCAGACAGAAAGTGACCCAAAAGTGCACATGGAAGTAGTCCAAATCTATCAATTATAGAGCCAGCGATCATGTGACCAATGAACACTGACCCATTTGCAACGGACATGACATTGTTAATTGTAAAGAAAGCCTCTCCAGACTCAAGCATCTCCGGAGCGAAAGAAAATGCACCGCTTTTAAAGAAAAGCTCTCTTGATGCATCTGGATTAAGAATGTGACCACCAGTTAAAGTTGCTGTAATTGCGATTACTGGGAAGTAAATCTTTGGGTTTTTAATTATGGAATTAAATGGAATGACTGTAGGATTCTCCCTAGTTCCGAACATTTCTTTAAATACTCCTGGATTTGACTCATTGGAACTCTTTTCCAAAGAATCAACTCTTCCACTCTCGAGACTTGCTCTTCGTCCAGAAACTCTGCGTTTATCCAACTCTGAATTTGCCATTTTGTTGTCTATTTAAATAAATAATAATAAAAAGTAATTAAAAAATTTCAAATATCAAACTCTTCTAACTATCTTTTTCTATCTTTTCATTCTTTGATATTTTCGTTATCTTTTGGTACACATTTCTTTTTTATTTCCCACCGTCTCTTACTACAATGGTACCTCTGGATTAGGCGCCACCGCCAAACCGCCATGTGCGTATTTTTATTTTAATTCGAAAGATATTAAATTAGTTAAGGAAAAAGGAGATTTAATCAGAGAAAAAATTAGTTTAAGAAGGGAAATAATAGTTGTTGTAGAGAAGAAATAGCATGAACCGAAAATACAAGTCTAATTTATTCAGTACTTTTGAATACATTTTAAAAAATTAATCAATTTAGATCTGAATCTATTAATGCAAGTATTGGCTGCGTTATCGTTTAGGCGCCACGGTATCCACTATGGAAAAAAAATGAAAAATAAAAATTTGCAAAAGGATTAATAAAAAGGAGTTAAAGTTAAACACACAAATATGATGGAAAAACCATTTACTTGCGAGAACCAGACCAAATCTGGATTTTCCAGTACCACTTTGTTGTTTTTTTATGTTATATCAGCACCAATAGTGGGAGCACCTTATTTATTACCTTCAGCCGTAAAGGAGCTATTGATGAACAACGATGCATATTATTGGCTAGATCCTGACTTAAAACTAACTACAATGAATAGTTTATGTTCTCTTGGGACATCCTCACTTCTTTTATCAGGGGTTTTGGGTGCCTATTTTGTTGAAACATTTAACAACAGAAATACTGCAATTCTTTCGACAGCCTTTCACATCATGGGTTGGATTTTTTGCTTTTTTTTGGACAAAACTTGGTTTTACTTTCCATACCTTGGAATATGTTTATGGGGAATTTCTACCCAGCTTTTAACTTTAGCAAAAACTTCAATTTCTGTTTTTTATGACTCAAAAAAACACCTTGTTGTGGCTATGGTGGGAGGATCCGTTGGTATGAGTTTTGCTTATATGCAAATTATGGTCAATATTGTTAGGTACATTTCTTCTAAAGGTCTGGATTTATCTTATTTCGGAATTAATCCCACACAATTTGTCATTATTATCAATTGCTTCCTTTCTATCTTGTGGATGATAGCATTCCACTTTATTATACCTCCCCAACCTTTTGTAACCTTGACTGTCGATTATTGCACAAGAGTTTCCAATTCTAGGTCTCAGATAATGAACTCTCTTACCGGACTTGATTATGAGGAACGTCTTTCTTTAGTTAATACCCAAATGATTGTTGAGGTAAACAGATGTAAAGAAGATATCCCTTACCAGTGGACTCTAACTCTTAAAGAACAACTCTTTTCTGCTCCAACTGTATTATTTACTATTATATACTCTTTAATGTGGTTTGTAAGGCTTTACTTCACTGTCAATATGAAACCAATTTTACTTAATCAGACAGGAGGAAACTTGGAATACTCTGAGTCTATTATCAATATATTTGGTCTTCTACTTGGAACTACTTTTATTGCAGCTATCTTAGTGGGTATCTTTGTAGATCTTCTTGGAATTTACATGTTCCTGGTCTTGTTTGTTGCATCATCCTTATTAATTCTGGTCCTCTTTGCTAATTTCATTCCATATTGCTTCTTATCACACTTAATCGGAATTGTTATTTGTATTTTTTGTTACTCCTATTTTATTGGTTGTTCTTTTAGTCTTTTTACCTCTGCATTTGGTTATACTCACCTAAACTCAATCCAAGGAGTTTCATCCACTATTGCTGGATTGTTTACCTTGATCTATAATATTTGGGATTCACATATACAGAGAAACTATAAAGGCAACTTCTTATTCCCAACTATAATTGCAATCATCATTAATTCTTTCATTCTCATTCTTTCTATTTTCTTGTTGATGTACACCAAACGCTGGAACTCCCACAATTCCTCCTACTTTTTCTCAATTAACAGAAAGACCTCTCTAATTAAGTGATTATAATAATTAAAGTGAGACCGAATCTCAAATACTACTATATTCTATCTATCACTAAGCTTTTGAGCTATATTCTCATCTACTAATAATTTAGTATATTTCATTTTTATAATATATAATTATTAATTTAAGATCATCTCTCTTTTAAGTTTCTGTTTCAGATCTGGAAATTGAATTTGATGATTCAGTTGTTTCTTCAGATTCCAAAGCTGACTCAGACTTGCTACTGAATTTTTCTCCTGTATCACTTAATTCTGAACCATATCCTTGTCCTATAAAACTAGATGTCTTTTCCACACCTCCAATAATACTTGAATCTACCCCATACCCGTATTCGGGTTTGCTTGAGGTTTTTTCTTCACCTTTTTCTGATTCTTCTTTTGATTTGGTTTCTGTCAGCCCCTGAGAGTCAGAGTTCAATTTTTTGGACATTTTCTTCCTTCTTTTTACATTGGATCTTGTTTCAGAGCTCAAACTCTTTTCTCTCTGAGAGCTCAAATTCTCTTCACTTGATAATCCACTCTCTAAACTAAGATCAGACCTATTTTCGAGAGAATTGCTTAACTCTGAGCTTTTTTGAACTCCTGTAGACCCGTTGTATCCCTTGGATTTCTCAATACCGGAAATTAAACGAGAAATTTCCTGACCATTGTTCATCACAATAGAGGAAGGAACTTGGGAAACCGGAGTAATGGTAGGCTTGATTTCAGGAAAACTGCTAGTCTGAGATTTTACCACACTTGGAGGTACTTTATTGTTATTAATATACGAAAGTCCTGCCCTACTAATAAATACCTCTACCAAATCTTCCTCTCTCATTTGTTGAATAGGCAACTCCATTCTCTGTAGTTCTTCTCTTGCAAACAAAAATACTGATTCGTAGATGTAAAAGTTTTTCTCAAGGATCTTTGGAGAATCTGCTCTGTTATTTGGTGTTGGAGGAATGAAAATAAACGAAGGTTTGAAGTTTAAGTCTGGAACAGTTGAAGAATGTTTTCCTAAAATAGAAGCTGACCATGAAGTGAACTTGGACACCAATTTTTCAGTAACTCCCTTCAATGCTGTTAGTAGTTCCTTAATCTCAAATTTCTTTTGCTCTGAAAGAACTCCTGGGATTTTTGGAAAAATAGGAAGGTCCATAAGTTTTCCTTTTGGAACTTTGACCAAGGTGAATTCATTTAGATCCTCCGGTCTGTAAGGTTTTTCTATAGGAAAGGGAGCTACTAATGTGGGGTTTACAGGCAAAACTGAAGATTCTCCTTGGCTTACAGACCTCTGATCAAAGATTTCACTCGAGGATGTTTTCTCAAATTCAGATTCCTCAGAAAGAGGTGATTCTGGTGATACTTCTTTCTTCTGAGATTCTTTTGGTGATAATTCTTTTTTCTGAGATTCTTTTGGTGAGACATCCTTTTCTGGTTCTTTTGGTGAATATTTCTCTTTTAAACTTGGTTCAGAATTTGAAATAGATACAGGTATAGAAGCAGGAATTGAGTATGGACTTAAATCTGTAGGACTTTTGCTTTTTTCTGGGTATTTTGATCCATCTAAAAACACTGCATCTGGAACAACAGTTTCTGGGATCTTGACTTCTTCTTCTTTGAGGGCTGGAGAAACCATTATAACATCGGTAATTGGCCATTTTTCTAGATCATTTGGAATTCTGCTATTTTGCTCATCCACCCAAGCAAGAGAGCTGCAGTCCAGTTTCGTGGGATCTATTTTTGAGATCTCTTGGCATATTGTCTCAAGACTTTGGCCTTTAGTTTTTCCAGATAATTCAGTAGAGCTTAAAATTTCTTCAAAAATCTTAACGGTTTCTTTTTTATCGTTGCATTCACTTTTTGTGGAATGTGAACTCTCATTAGAGTCAACCTCAAGATTGTATTTGCTTCTCCCAAGTTCTCCAAACCTAATCAGAGGAGGAGATAGGGTTTTGAGTACAAAGTTAGTCAGAGAATGTACATTTTCTTCATCTGGTCCAAATTCCAGAAACTCATCCAAAATCCTCCCTATATTCAAATTTTGTTGGCTCTGACTCCCAGTATAAACATATATTGATCTTAAATCAATATAGCAAAGTTCTACTCCTCCTATCCATAGTGAATTTAATGCAGAAGCCAAAGTCCAAACAATATTAATAAGTAAATTTGAGTTATTAGGAACGAATTTTGAGAATTCCAAAAGCTTCTGGATGGAAATGTTCCCTAAGTTCTCATGCCAAACACCTGGTAGTACCAAAGTTTTAGATGATTTTGTTATGGATCTTGAAGTTGAGGGTGAAATTGATGAATCAAGTAATTCTGAAGTCTCATATGGCTCAGTCCGACTGATTTTTATTTTGAATACTGGGGGAGTTAGTCTAATATACTTTCCAGAGTATGGGAAGTACTTAGTAGAAAGTCTTGTATAAGTTTTAAGCTCTTTATTCCACTTTGGACCCATTAACACGCTCAAGAAAAGTAAAGATTGAGGTTTCAATACTTGCCAGTTAGTTGAAGAATTTAAGGGAGTTGCAACCATAATCTCTACAATATGATCTTGTTCCAGCTCTTTTGGAGGATTTGTTACTGAGATAGAGATTGAAACTGTATTAGACCCATTACCAGCCACTTTTAAAGGTGGAAGTCCAAGCTGAGGGTTAATCTCACATAAAAAAGCTCCGTGGGGTTCTTTGTAACAGAATTCCTTAAGTTGAGTAACAAAAGGAGTCAATTTTAAATTGATAAACTTTTTGATACTTTGACTTGAAGGATCTACTAGTATAGAGGAAATCTCATCCTGATCAAGTATTAAAGAAGGGTTTACTGGAAAACTTTGGATTTGTTTCAGGACTGCTTCTTTTCTATATTTCCATAGGCTCAGATAGTCCCCAATAGAATCTTTATTTAGTCCAAAAGCAAAGGAATAATTGATCTCCTGGACCTGGCTCCTACTGGCTTCCAATGAAGATTCTCCAAGCATTGGAGACATACTTTCTGGGTTTGAAAGAGATTTCTCTGACCATGAAAAGTCGTTTATACGTTCTTCCACATATGTTATAAGATCTTTGGTAATTTCTGTATATTTCTCAAACTCTTCTGGATTAACACTTTGCTTAATTTTTTGGAATATTTGAAATTCTGAAAATGAAAAATCTTGAGAAAGAGTCAGTAGGATGAGTTCCTTTGGCCATTCAAGCTTTTCTGCTATTTCAACCAAAACTTCTAAAGTTGTATCTTTGGTTTCACAAGTCCCTGCATTAACCAGAGCAGAGTAACATGAAATCAAATTAAAGTATCCAAAAGTCTTCCAAGAAAGACAGGAATTGATTATATTATAGTATGAGACATTTTTTTTTCCAATAGAAACTGATGTATCTCTACTTAATTCGAAGCTTTGTTCATTATAACTAACTTCATCGTTTTGAATGGAACATCCTCTTGATTGAAGAGATCTTAAAATAAGTTCTTCTGCTTGAATGAAATAAGGAAGTGAATTAGAAGAATATAAATTGGACTGGAAAGCTTTTTTAATGACTGTCCCAAGGTTTTTTGGAAACTTTGAGATTGAATGCTCTAAAATTGTATTCCCAGAAGGAAATGCTGATCTATTGGTTTGCTTGTGGTAACTAATAAACTCCTTGATAGATTCCACATTTATTTTGAATCCAAATTGTCTAATTGATTCAATAACAGTAGAGATAATTCTAAGTTCGATTGCCTCTTCTTTGGTACTATGAGCTCCAATGCTCATGGAAGAACATAGACTGAATCCCAAAGTTCTTTCATTTAATACTCTATTTTTGATACGAGAAGTAATAGAATCTTTATGTCTGGTAACTACGATCATTCCATGAAGGTATTTATTTACAGAATAGAAACAGTTAAAGAAATCTTCATTTACAGTGAAACTAAGAGTTTGGATATTTGAGATGTTAGGAATGATCTCAAGCTTATTTTCAAAAACCATATAAATTGATCTCATCCAATCATTTTGTGTTGGAGCCCAGGTACCAATCTTATAATTAAGAGCGTCTCTAAGATCTTTCATTGAGAAGTTTTTGACCAGAACGGGAGAGATATGGTTTTTATACAGAACTGAGTACATTGTGATACAAAGAGTTAAACTATCAACAATACTGGATCTTGTAGAGTAAGAAACCCTCCTAAAAAAAGAGAATAGGAGAGATTCACAGTTTGAAGGAGTAAATGAATAGATTCCACTCAAGATCTCGGATGAGTTTGGGATTCTCATAGTAAAAGATAGAAAATAAAGGTGGATTGTACTCCAGTAGTTTAGTCTTTGGAACATTTGGGTATTATCTGAGACATTTCTAGTTAAATACAACTGATCAAAGTTTTGGTTTGTCTTGGGTTTGCCTTTAGATTCTTGGTTTGAGTCTATTCCAGAGTAGAATTTGATTGAATTGGTAAAGATAGTGTATATAGTGTTTAAGTATTTTATTGGGTTTCCTTGAATATAGTCAGTATAGAATTCTCTTAGATAAGTTTCAGGAATTTTTAGTTTTAATGATAGAGAAGAAATAATCTGATTAACATCTTGTATTTCCAATAAATCATTTTGTATGGTACTTGGGATATCTAGAATCCTTGAAAACATTCCCAAGATAAATTCTGGACTGTAAGATTCTTTTGTAATCTTTGTACATAGAGGAGAGATTTGTGGGAAGACTAAGTCAACCTTTAAAGAATTAAGCATCATTGAAACTGAAGAGTAAATAGAGTAACAGGTCTCCCAAGTGAGATCTTTACCATTTTTAGGAAAGTCTGGATGAAAGTATGGAAGAATCTCAAATCCTGGAGCAAGTTGTTTGGCGACTTGGTCAAGTCTAGAATTTCTGTTAATAGTAGGCATATTTAGCTTTTTCAAGGTAACTGATTCATTTAAACCTATATTTTTGAGATATATGAGACAAAAAGTTTGTATTTTAGCAGAGTTAATTCTGGCATCCTCAATTTTGAATGGGTTAACTTTAAAGAACAATACTGCTGTAATATATGGACACATTTTAATTGGATCAGAGTACATTGCATCAAGTAAAATATCCATTAATCCAAAATTATCTGCAAGAAAGGTGTTGATTAGATCCCTTGAATAAAATTCAAAAGCATGAAGTTGTTGAACAAATATTGTTCTCCAGAATTCAAAAGGAAGAGGGAGAGAACCAGAATTAGACGTAAAGTCTTCAATAAGTGAATTCTGCAAACTCTTAAATGCATTTTGATCCAAGATAGTTGGTATAGAACTTCTTTGATTGACAATACTTATTATTTCATCATTACTTATGTTATAAATACGGAGAATTAGGTACTGGAGGGCTTTAGAAAAGATCTTGTTATTTTCCATGATGGACTTTTGTATGTTTAATGAAGATCTTATGTTATCACATCCTTTCAGAATGTGAGACATTGAGACAGGCTTAATGAATGATCTTGTATGAAATAGAATATTGTCAAGCTGATAAACACATTCGAGAAAGTTGAAAGTAACTTTGGAGAATGATGGGATCTTTTCAAAAGAATTTGGATCCATCTTTGCTCCAAAGGAGGTATTTTTGTCAATAGAAGAACTTTCTAAAATAACTCTCTTTGTGAAGAGGGTAATATCTGCATTGGAAATGCTCAATTCTGTGTTGTAAAATGCTTCACTCACCAATATTTCAACCCTGAAAAGCTCTTCTGAGAAGTTAAGTGGAACACCTGATAAGGCCTGCGTTCCATATAAAGAACTTAATAAAGTCATGTAATTAGATCCAATATTAGACTCTGATGCCACATCTAGAGGAAGCTGACTTGTATCGACTGGTTCATTTGAAGAAAGACTTCCATCTAATAAGGTGGAAAACTCAGTGCCTTCATCAACTGGAGTATATGGACGGGGAGAAGAAGATTCAGAAACTCCTGAAGACTTCCTACTTGGCATTTGACTTACACTCATAGAATTATCTTTAACACTTAATTCTTCAGAGAGAGGAGAAGTAGATTCTGGAGAACTGACAGAAATTTCTTGTGAGAGGGATCCATCTAATAAACTAGATGGAGAACTTGAAGCTTCTAATATTGAAGTTGAGGTTTCACTAGGAGTGGGAGGATTGTAACTAGACTTTGGAGAGGGTGACATATCTGGGGCAGTGAGAGGAATCATATTTTCCATTATTGGAGAAGATGAAGCTTCTTGCTCTTTCAAGGAGGCATATTCTGAGATAGGAGATTGTTCAGATCTCTTTTTTGATTTGGAGCTAGATTTTTCAGTTTTAGAGATGAGAATTTTAGGGCTAGAAATTGATCTCTTTCCATATCCTGAACTAGATTTGGACCTGGAGGGAGATCTAGACCTAGATTTTTCTGATGGAGAGGATTCAGAAAACAAAGAGGTTGGGGAATGGTACTTGTTATCTTTAGGGGTTGCTTTTTTTGGGAGGGATTTAGTACGCTCTTGAGTTTTAGACTTCGAGAGACTTTTGCTTGACTCTTTAAATGATGAAAAATTTTCTTTTGATCTAGATCTAGATTTTTTTGATGGGCTTTGTTCAATAGTTGGAGAGAGTTGAGGTTTGCGGGGAGATAGTGAACTTTTAGATATGCTCCGCTCAACTCCAGAAGAGTCAGGTAACAAATTCAAGCTATCATCCAAAGGTTTGGTTTTAATTTCTGAAAGTTCTCCCAGAGTTTTGGAATCTGGTGATAAACTCGCATCTTGGCCAAAAATAATGGAATCATCCTTTAGCTCCGGATTACTAGTCTTTTCCTCCAAATCATTTATGCTTTGGATAGAACCATCATATCCAGTAATTCCTGTTAGACTTTGAGAGAGCTCACTACCATATGCTTCAGAGCAAAAAAAAAGATATTCAAAGGTTAGAAAAAACAACAGGATCTTTACTAAGAAGGATGGTCTATTTTTAGATCCATTCATTCTGGTTTGATTTCTCTTGTTTCTTAGTTTTCAGTTTTAAGATTCTGATTGAGTGTTAATTAATACTTCATAATATTTTGAATATTTTTAGGATTTGATTCTTTCCTTGAGAATTTCTTCTTTTCTCAATTTTATTATTTAAGATCTTTTATAGTGTTATTTCTATGCTACATAATATACCGCCTTTTGTTTGGTTTGAGATGAAAAAAAAAAATCTATAAAAACAAATCCTTAAGAAAAATGGTGTAAAAACAACAAAATAATTAATATTGTAAGGAGATATGAAAGCTAGTAATGTTCTCTTTTTTAGAAACATACTGGGAACCTTTTTTTGTTTTTTTTTTAATCTTCTATTCCTTCTCATACTAAAGTAGTATTTAGATTCTTTCCTCTACTCTGCTTGGTTTTCATTTAGTAGAATTATTTAATTCAAACCTTTAAAAGCTTTTTTAAGCACAGGTCTAATCTTGAATTTAACTCAAATAATCAGGAATTAGTCAATAAACTTTTCATAAATTTGGTTCCTATAATAGGTATCGAGATCCCCCACAATGGCGCCATTTATTGGCGGCACGCATGCAAATTGTGATGTGGGAATAAATTATCAACAACATTTATTTGCAATAATATGTAAAAATAACAGTAAATGTCGGGAGGAAGTGAGTAGTCGATTGACTAGGGTTTGAAAATGCAGAGGAATTTGTAGGAGTTTGATGATGGAATTGAAGACTGAAAATCAAAAATTGGATTAATTGAAAAAGTGAAAAATTATTCAGGCGGGAGTGCATCTTAGTAGTCAAAAATAGATAAGAGCAGGGCTTGCAAAACGAAGATAGTTTATCGAATCGTATTTAGATTAACACATTCTAAGCGAAAAATAATGGAATCTATGAAACTATTTAGATACCGTTTTCTAACATTTGTATTCATACTGACTATCGTTAGGTGTCAGCCAAAGATTCCGGAATATTTTAATGATGGCCCATTCCCATCTTTAAATATTCCAACTAGCAACTTGGCTAATTCTACTATGTTTGTTGCAGATATATTGGATGGTGCATTAAGTCCATTTTCATATCTTAAGCTTGCAGGAATTAGTGCTTGTGGTAAGTTACAAACGGGGACTCCTCTTCCAAGTATATGCAATATCGATTTCGAGCTTAAATGCAATAATCCTTCTGAGGGAGGACTAAGTATTAGAGGAAATCCAGTTATGACTCATCATGGAGTTATTGACGTTACTGGGGGATCTTTCGAGTTAAATAATGGAAAGAGTAAAGTTAAAGGATGGGGATATGGAGTTTTTCCATATTTAGGGGAGTCGTCATATTTTGAGCTGACTTTGGTTCCAGTTTTGAACAAGAAAGGAGAATATGTATTTGAAATTTATGGTGTAGGGTATGAAAAAGCTTATATGGTTTCTGAACCTATAGGTATTAACTGTCCATTCTCTATTGGGGAAGTAATCTTCAAAAATGTTCATTGGGCTCAAACATATATTGTTGGGGTTAATTGGATCCGAAATCAGCTTCCATTCCCTACAATTGGTCCAAGTACAAAAAATAAGCTTGTTGAAATTGAAGTTCCATTTACCGGGGGATCTTCTTGGAAACTTGGAGGAATGTTTCTGTCTTCTTTACATGTACCTGTAAATCCAAGTATCCCAATTGGCAACACTGATATGAGGGTAATCTTGTCATGTCCAAGTAATGATAATAACTTTCTCATCTCTCTTAATAGTACAGGGGACATTACTGTTTCACAGTTATATACAAATGATACAAATATCCAGTTATTAAATCAGTTTAAACCAAGTAATTATATTTTCACAGGAAAATACCCTCATATTATGTATAACGGATTAATTGTGGAGTTGGTTGTAGCTAGATCTTTGTATGCTGAATCCGGTGTAATTTACCTAAATGACTTAGTGATCCCCAGATTCTTTGAATGTGGACATAGTAAAATTACAGTATCTGTTAAACACGACACATGGGCACCATTATATACTTCCAACTTCACTAGCAATTGTTATGAGTACGGATCTTCCTTTAGTGGAGTTAACTTATTTTCGATTCCAACCTTTCTAAGTCCTGGACAGTGTCAAAATTCATGTATTCAAACCAGTGATTGTGAGTTTTGGACTTATAATAACAAAGATAATGTATGTAATGGGTATTCTAGTGAAAAATATAGTTTTAAAAGAGATTCTTCCACTCATTCAATGATTACTGGGTCAGTTTCTTGTCCATGCTATAGTCATAATGTAAACTTAATAACTCCATTACTAAGTGGAAAAGATAAAGTTAAAGTATCCAATAAAGTTGTCAACAGTCCAGCTGAGTGCCAAGCTCTTGTGATTGAAAATAATGGTCTTGGTAGCTATTTTGTTTATGATAAGGAGAAAAAAGAATGTTATAAGCAAGGAGTAGTGAAATCTGATACTGTTTCTATAATTGATACAAACACCGTAGTTGGACCTTCTGTATGCTATGGCTATATATATTCTAATGGAGTTTCTAGGTTTACCGATAAGCTTGAACTGATAGAATCTATTACAATTAGTGCAAACTCAACTGATCATCACGGAGAATTTTGCAGGTCTTTGTGTTCTTTGGAAGAAAAGTGTCAAATATTCGAACTAAGCAGCTCATATGAATGCATGCTCTTCAGCATTAAAGATAAACAAGGACTAAGAACTTTGTTTGATATAATTGAAAACAGTTGGCCAAGTTCTGGAGTAATTTTAATGGGTATTAGCACTCCTTTAATCGTATCTTACCCAACTCGTAATAGAGAGCACATTATACATGCACAAGTTGGAAGCTTATCACTGGATATAGTGAGAACCTCTGATGCATCAAGTTCCACTCTAACCATTAAATACCTTCTAATTCTACTGGCAGTATCATTGTTTCTGACTTTGTAAAGGGTGACAAACTCCGTGAGAAATGCATAGATATCGAAAACTTGGAAAAGAATTTAAACATCGAAGACGTGAAATGTTAGGATTCCTGACATCTATTCGTTCATTCATTGACACCTAAACTAAGATACATTTCTTTAGATCCAAACTTGGTTGAAAAAAAGATAAACATCACATTATACCACCCAAGCAATCTAGGTACAAACTCTCCCTATCTTGTCTTAATCAGGCCCATCAACGACTATCGACGAACCAGGAACAAAGCCTCGCACATTACCTGACCACTCGGCATCAAAACATGCAACACACGATCGGCGCCGGCGCCACATAAATGGCGGGCCCTAACGACGCAACCGAGACCCTGTGTACATTGACACAAAAAAAAACGGAGTAAGAAGACCAACAAGGTGGGTCCGACTCAGGCGATAGACACTGCGATGTCCGGAAGGACTTCAAGTTATTCTGGGCTCGTTCGAATTTACTAATTTGTGATGTGCCCCGATCAAAGCACAAAAACAAAAGGTAGTTTAATTTAAGCTTGACCTTTCTCGCACTTGTCTTCTGCAATAAGAGGTTGCTTTTCGTTTTGGTTCCCGTTCTCGGTAAGTGGATTCTCAAATGCATCAGAACCAGTTCCAACTGAGAGACGGGCTTGTTCCTTGATGGTTTCTTCTTGTTTGGTGTTCTTTGGAGTTCCGTCCCAGAGCTTGGTGAGAGTGTAGATTGCGGAACCAGTGAGTGTAAGGCATGCACCGGCAACTGGAGCTGGTTTTGGCTTGTCACCCCAAAAGATGAAACCACCGGCTGTCTGAAGGGCTTGTTTGACTAAACCAGTAACGTTGTATGTTGCTGGGGTAGTAAGAGATACGACCAAATATGTACATTGGTTCAAACATATGGCGAGGATAGCAGAACCAGCCATCAAAACCCACAACCGGATGGCACTGAGTGGAGCAGAGACGAAGGCAAATACATTGGAAGATAAGACCTTTGATGTTTCACCCCACACAACAGAGAGGATTAAAAGGATGATACATGAGAGCTCTTGTACATGAAGTAAGAGCTCAGTGGTTGAGTTGTCACAGTGTGGGACGGTGTACTTAACTGCAACAGAGTAGAGGGACTGGAAGAATGATGATAAAGTACCCATGAAGAATGAACGTGGCTCGAGACCGAACTCCTTATCTGAGATACCAACGATGACACCTCCAATAATAACAAAGCATGATAAAACGGATGAAAGCTTAGCCTTGATACCCAATAAGAAGTATTGTAAGAGGAGTGAGTAACATACAGTAGTGGACTTGGCAACAGCATACATAGAAACTTTGGCATCCTTGAGACACATGTTATTCAAAGAAATGTTCATACAGAAGCAGAAAGCTACAAAAACTGCATATTTGTATCTGTATAATCTTTTGCTTAATGGAATGCTTGCTGACATCTCCTCATTTCCACTGAGAATACCTCTAACTGTCAAGAAAGTGGACATTATAGCCATACCAATGAGTTGTTGAGCCCATGACATGAAAACTGGGAATGGAAGATCCTTTTGGTAGCACATCTTGTTGTAGTATACACATCCAATTGATGAAGCGATGAATGCGCACATGGCAATTGGAGCTGCAACTGAGTTTGGTAAACCAAAGCAGTATCTTACTTCCTCTTGGGAATTTGACTTGTTTCCGAAATCACCTGCCATTTTCGTCTTGGTTATAACAGTATCAGTACTTACTTAAAATAAATATCAGATAAATTCTTCAAAACTAGGAACAATTTTTCTGTTCTTATTAAAGTTCGTAGAATTATGGCTTTATTGTCACTGTGTCTTTACGTAATGAATATTGAATTTACAATCCGATAAATTGGATAGACATGTCACCATATACAAATTCATATTTAATTAGCTTGAATTAATAGAGTTAATATTTTTTATTGACAGGTACCGTTTACGTATTGTTCCGCATTTCTCCTTTTTCTCTCTTTAATATATATTGCTAAATTTCATACATTATTTAAATGTTAATATTCAAATAATAGTGGTAACGTAATATTATACACGTCTCCTGTCTTCAAGTTAATGATAAAAAAAATATATTTACTCGAAGGTAAACATTATGTTAACTAGTATCCAGGCACAGTATACGTAATAAATTCAAGTTATTTGTAATAAATGTTAGACTGTAGACGATCCATCTTTTTTGTCTTTTACTTAATGCATTTATCCAAGCGGTAGTGGAAACGACCCATCAAATCTGGCGGTAACACATGCACGTGGAAGGGTAAATATTGAGCGCCAAAAACCTTTAGAGGATTAAAGAGGAAAAGAATACAAAGCAAAATTAAATCTACTTGCAATGCTAATTCAGCACTAAATTCGAAGTGGAGGTTTATCAACAAAAAATAACTATGTTGGATGGATACGTTAATGTAATACCAATAAATATGGGAACGATTTGAAAAATTAGCGTTTTTCATAACTGTTGATTAATCATGACATTATTTAGACTTTGTTTGCAATTAGTTTCTGTTTTTCATCATTTGAAGTTGGTTTACTAGTTTTTGCGTCGCCTTCAGGAGATGGGGCCACATCAATATCCCCAACGGAGGCAGCAGAACATCTAGTGAGTCTTCTGATTTCTTCTACTTGCTCTTTTTTTGTTTCAGTCTTTTTGGAACCTCTTGTGATACCATATATCAATGAACCAGAAAGTGTGAGGATTACAGAAAGAACAGATTTTACGGACGCTGGGTCTTTGTAAATAAACCATCCACCAGCAGTTTGAAGAGCTGCCTTAGCAAAGCCAATAACAGAGAACGTGGAAGGCTCAGTAAGTCCAATTACCATAAATGTAAACTTATTAAGTCCTGCTGCAAGTGCAGTAGTGAGGAAGAAGACGGACCAGCAGCTCAAGAACATAGGTGAAGATAAATTAAAGCATGGCGAAAACATGAATAGATTGACAAGCTCCTTAGAAACGAGGATATATACGACGAGAAAGATGGAGGAGAGTTCTTGATTTCTAACCAAAACTTCGGATGTATCGTTGTTTGTCTTAGGAAGAGCTCTGGCAATACAAGTATTATAAAGAGCTTGAAAGATAGATGATGAACAACCAGCAATAACTGCCATAGGGGCTAGAGTGCTAGTGTCTAAAGAGCCTACAGTAACACCAGCAATAATAAGGCAACATGATAAAATAGTACTGAGTGGCAACCTGATTCTAAGTAAAACGAACTGGAAAAGGACGTTCCAGATTAAAGTAGTGGATTTTGCAACTGAGTAAGTTGAAAGCTTTGCCACAGATAAACAAGCATTGTTCAAAACAATAGTTGAGGAGAAGCAGAAGGAAGCTGGCCAGATGTACTTATATCTGTTCCAGAGTCTGTTCAGTAATGATCCATTTTGTTGTTCATTCTGGCTATTCTTTTCGGAACTACAATTTTGAGGATCTGAGTCAATTCCAAAAATTCCCGTAATGTAAACCATAGCTCTCACAAAAACGGCTCCAATAAGTTGTTGTACTAAAGGAATAAAACCTTGACAATTTCCCACATGATCTAAAAGCCACTTATTTTCATAAACACATCCAATTGAACACACAACATAGACTGCAATGGCAATACTGGCACTAGCCAGCCTTGGGAGGCCCATAAAAGAGATTTCTGATATTTCCGACTCTTTGCTCATTTCTAAGCTTCAATGTAACGATAAAACAGGCTGGGAATTCTGATAATAATATAATATTTTTCAATAGCGGCTTAAATTTCCGTTCCCTCGACAAATTTTTTGTAAAACTATTGTAAATTCCACCAAAAATTAAAGTATCTTCGCTTAACGGCGCTCTTTAAATTTTTGGATATTCCACATGGAAACTACATAAAGATCTTTTAGCGGGCAAAGGTACCGAATGGCGCTATGGCGGGCACACACCAGATTGGAATATGTATTAATCTTATAAGCTTATTAAAAGTTCAAAAGAAAGTGGGGTCCAAATTTTATAAGGCAATCCTATTATTTATGAAAATGTATTTCACATAGGTTTGGAGAACAAACTAAGAATTAGTTTAAAGAGCTCAAATTAAGCTTAGTAATTCCACCAATGAAATATTGATCGTACTCATCTTGACTTAAAAATAGAAATTAGTAAAAAAGCAGGAGGGTAGTAGATAATGAAATTTTAGAAAGTGTAGAATTCAAGAAACTATAATTAGTTTTTGTTTTCATTGTTTCCTGTTGGAAGACCTTCTTCGATATCATCTTTGAGAGGAATGGCTTCTAAGTTTTTAGAAGTGAATGGGGTGGTGGTCTCGTTCTTAGTCTTGCTTCCACTTCTTTTAAGGATATCATCCTGGGCATTTTCGAAGACATCAGAAGCAGTACCAACAGATTGTCTTGCAACTTCCTTGTATTTCTCTTCAACAACCTTCATCTCAGATGGTGACATAGAAGGTTTTGATCCGAAGTGATTGAATGCAGTATATGAAGCAGAACCACAGAATGTGAGACAAACTGCAATAATTGTTTGAGTTGGCAAAGTTTCCTTTAGGTAGAATATTCCACCGATGGTTTGCAAAGCTTGTTTAACCAAACCACAAACATTGAAAGTTGCTGGAGTGGTTAAACCAATAACAACATAAGTGCTTTGGTTGACACCAATAGCAAGGAGAGCAGATGTAGTAATAAGACCCCAGAGATAAACCATTTTGTTTAAGTTGCTGAAATCAAAACAGCCAGAGGTTGTGAAGGCTGGAACAACTTCTCCAGTTCCAAACATAGGAATGAAAAAGAAGAGAATAGACCACATTTGGACATACTTAAGAAGACCTGCAGAGTCATTACCAATCTTAGGAAGAACCCACTTGAGAGTGATATTATAGCAACTCTGGGAGAATGACGAGATACAACCATAAACTAGAGAGACCAAAACAAGGGATTTTGGGTCAAATGCTCCAATAAGAACACCAGAAATAATAATTGCACAGGAAATCAATGAGGTAAGTTTAACCCTGATTCCTAGGATTAAGAACTGTAGGCATAAAGACCACAATAATGTGGTGGACTTAGCCATAGCATAAGTTGAAACCTTGCCATGAGTTAAACAAATATTGTTGAATGATATATTGAAAGAGAAAAAGAATGCAACTGGAATAGCATACATCACCTTCTTCCAGCTACATACTGTTGAGTTATTTGCTTGCCCTTCAACTCCGTCTTTTCCATTACTACTTCCAGACTTTGAGATTGCCACTCTTATCAAACCAAAAATGCTCATTATAATCATACCAATTAGTTGTTGAGCACATGAAACAAAAACAGGAAACTTGATTTCTTTTTTAAAGACATTATTGTTAAAATAAACTGATGAGATGGAGGCTGCTATAAAAGAGCAAATCGCCAATACTGTGGTCACACTATTTGGCAGGAATGAAATAAATCTTTCAGATTCCTTTCCAAATTCAGAACCAGACGAAGAATTTCCCTTTTTATTCTTTGAGTGTCCCATGTTTACTTTGTTGCTTAAATTCTTTTCTTTGTTCTCTACTAACTTTTTCCAGCTTCATTTCAGCACTCCCATGGATCTAAAAACATTTTAGATCGGGCGCCAACCAAATTGGCGCCTGCCAATTACATACATTTACTGGCTGAAAGTTGACTGGAAAGAAATAAATTCGGAATAAGTTTGCGATCTTTACTTTTATATTTAAAAAAGTCAGTGAAATTTTACAAATTTTTATGTGTACTAAAATCAATACATTATACTACTTGATAAAATTTAAATGGTGACTCACTAGATTCATTATATTTTCCTTTTTCTTCCATAAACAGTTTTTGGCTTCTTGTTCTTATTTCGTATTTTCGTTATTTTTAAGTTTATTTTTAAAAATGATATGTTCTTCTTTTGCAGCATAAGTGGAGAAAGCTTGAACTAGCCACATAATTGCAATGAATATAAAAAGGCTAGAGACAGAGATAGTACTTGCAACTCCAATACATGCTGATTTTGTCCAGCAAGAGTTGTTCTAATGAGAGAAATAATAGGAAATTAGTCATTTAGTTGTGGGTTTCTTTGGAAAACATTCATATGAGACTAATATAGCTCATTCATACTTTAACTTACTGTAATTATGCATTCACAATTGTTTGTGGCTTTATTAGATTCAACATCAGTTTCGCTTAATTCATTTTCCTTAAAATTGATTGTTTTAAAATTATGTTTTGGTTTAGTTTTAATATTATTGAACGCGGTTTTATGATTCTCTGGTAATTCTGATCTTAAATGATCAAGATTTTCTCTTATATAAGAGTCTGCGTTCTTTTTCACATGGGTATTTATATTGTCTGCCTGGCTATTTATGGAAACAGAATTCACTTGTTCTTCCCAGTATTCATAGCTGTTTAGAACCTTATTTGCAGAAATAAAAACTTTTCCTAAAAAAAGTGTTTAAATATTAATGATTTCTAGTCAATCATTTAGCCATATTAATTACTTGTAAGACTAAACAATTATTAGATCCAATGAGATTTTCCCAGATAATCCCACAGAAAAATTGACCAATAAAGCTGAAATAAACTTACCTATTAGGAACCATAGCTGAATAAGAATTAAATACAAAACTCCTTTCATTCTTATTCAAATTACATATTTTTTTGGACGGTCTTACTAGTTAAACATCCTTTTAGGCGCCAACATGCAGTGCATTTTTAGACTATATTGCCAGGGGATGAATTTTAATTTTAAGATTATAATTTAAACAGTAAGAAAACAAAATAATTAAACAAAAATTTGTAAATTAAATTAATTAAAATAAATCGTTCTACATCGTAAACATTTTGTTACACATCCACGAAACCCTCTTTCTCAATGTATATACTTGACTTGAATTCTCTCCTATAACTTGGACTTGTCTTTCACTTAAAAGAATGCCAGATGTCCATATTACGTGGTTGCATGTTCTGATCTGAAAGTTACTTATATTCTCTCGGATATTTAAGCTGGTATCATATCTCAAGTTTGTTACTGGATCAATTCCAGATTCATATTGTCTGTTTCTGGAAGTTTTGCTTCGGGAAAATGAAAGCCATTCACCAAGAGATCTTTCTCTAACCATGGCATTAATAAGAGCAATACATGCAAGCAAAGACACTGGTTGTTTACCTATTTGATTCAAAATCTTGTTCATGTAATTGAACATGACAATCACTCTGATGTGATTTTTCATACTTCCTTTAAGAATACCTACTGATAATATATCCTTAAATTCTCGTATTGTGTTCCATACCACTATTTCAGAGTTTTGATCTGGATAAATTAGTCCATACTGAGTTCTACTTACCAGAAACCTTCTGAGATTCTCAATACCATCATGTTTTTTCATCATTCTTGAACAGATTTTGGCTTTAAAACAAATCTTTATTCTAGAAGCTTTTATTGTCTTGCGATTGCTTACAATAGAAGACCAAGATTCATCGGAATGTTTGAAGGATGAAGCCTTCATTCCATTGCTCACCATACGGAGACTTTCTCTACATCGTGAAATAAATCCCACTGGATTCTTCCATTTACCACTCAATAAAATAGTAGCAACCACGATACTCTCTTTTTTGAAGAGGCTTAAATCATTTTTCAACTCATCGGATACGGATCTATAGAGGCAGTACCCTTTTACTATCCCTTCTATTGGAAAAAGTATATCATTTACCATATACTTAATAATTTCATCCAGGTCTCTCATCCTTTCTAGGTCTTCTTTATAGACATCAGATTGCTCTGTTTCAAACCGAGGTTCTTCCAGAAACTCTTGTGAGTCCTCTAAGCTTTTTTCTTTGTGGTAGCATTCTGAAATTCCCAAACATATTGCTATTAGGATAAAAACAAAGAACCCAAATTGGGAAAAAGACCCTGTCTTTTTCATGTAAAGATCCAAACAAAAATTAGGATATCTTTTTGATTTAAGGATTTATTTTTAAACTATTTTTTTTCAAAACTTCTCACATACACATTTTTCCCAAAAGGTCACCTACTGTACACACACTAATTAATGATTATGAAAATTCAAAAATAAAATGTTTCTACAAAATCTAAAGTACTAGACATTCATTTGGCCAGCAATCTACCCGATTCAAAACAAATGAGCTGATTTCTAATATGGTATTATTCTTTTAGTCCCTTTCAAACTCTTTCTTTTCTATTTATTAATTTTATATATCAATAATCATATTTGACATGTTGTTTGGGCGGGCGATTTTTTGGGCGGGCTCTATGGGATAGTTATAGAGCCTCTTTATATACTTTGTTAAAGGACAGGATTGAAAGAAAAAGTAGAATAAAAATAGAAATTATAGGCGGAAAAATTAAGATTCGAAAAAATATAGAATTCTCGTAGAGCGTTTAATAGGTAAAGTAGAAAACGTAAATAAGCGATAGTTTTATATATTGTAAAAACAGCTTTAAGGAAAGTTAAGGCTGATATGCAAAGTTAAGTGTAAAGAGAAAGTCCATAGGTTAAATTAAATAGAAAAATGGAGTCTCCAAACGATAGTTTCAAGTATTCAAGTAAGGCTTTTGCCACTATGACTGCAGGTTGTATTGGGTCTGGAGTGGTGTTTCTGACTTATGGTATGAAAATGGCAGGTTTGGCAGTCGGAATTTCAACCTTGATCATCTGTGCCTTGGTTTCTGTAGTAACCCATTCAATTTATGTTGTTGGATCATTACAACTTGGAGCAGTAGATTTATCTACTCTATTGATGAGAGTTTCTGCATACAAAAGTATTCGAAGTTTTTTGGTTAGAAGAGATGCAAAGAAGGAGAGCTTAGAGGATGTGGAAAGGCTCCAGAAGGGCCAGAAGATGATTTTAACAGCCAGCGAAGTTGAGGAAATGAAGAGTAATATGAAGTTTCATTTTAAGTCAATTTCCATTATTTGTTTTCTTTCTATGGCTTATGCCGTTCCAGTATACTTCATTCTATTGCGTTCATTTACCCAAGATCTCGTTACCCATGCAATATTTTCATTGCCTCAATTTAAGTTTTTAGAGTATTTAAAGGACGAATACATCTTATCTGCCATATACTTCTTAGTGGTTTTGCCTTTTGCAACGAAGTCAAAGGTTTCAGAATTGGACTTTCTTGGTTGGTTCTCGGTAGTCTCATTCTTTACTTTGGCGAGTGTTATTGTAATTAGATCTGTAATTTTACCTTACTCAGGACCTATGCCTCCAGTTACAGGGGAAGTCCATATTTGGCCAGTGCATGGACCTCTCTCAGCTTTTAAGATGTTCACATTCGCAACTTATGCATTTTTGTGCCATTGTATGGTTGTACCAGCAGTCTTAAATGTTAGTAATTGCACTTCCAAAAGGTGTATTAAGGTTATTTCAGCCTCATTTACATTTTTACTGGTTTTCTCTTTGGCTCTAACAATTTCTGCTTATATGACTTTTGGAGAAGCTACAAAAGACAACATTACATTGAACTTTTCACCATGTGACACTTTCATGGGATTCTCACGAATACTCAGTTGTATTTCATTATGTGTTATTATTCCACTATTTACCGTGTCAATTTGCAACTTTATCGTAAATGATATTGGTCTTATCAATTACATGTCTGAATTAGCAGTTGAAGACGTCTTTCAAGTAATTTTTGATGAGTATGATGACAAAAAAGAATCTAGAACTCTTAAATTGACTTATGTTGCATCCAAACCCAACATTGTATTGGATGAACTAGTTAGTCTATTAGCTAAAAACAAAGCAAGAGCTATTGAATCAGATAATCAAGAAGACTTCAGTACTGAAGCAACCCTAAGGTCTACTAAGAAGAAGGAGAAGTCAAATATTTGGAGATTTGTACTTTCTACAGCTATTTTACTCATATCCATTTTCCTTTCTCATGTGGCAAAATCTTGTACTCAATATGTTGAATTGTTTTGTGGTTACATTGACGCTTTTACAGCATCAATTTACCCATTGTTTGTTTACTCTATAATATGGGGAAGAAGGAAGTCACTCTTTACAAACTTTCTCGTAGTTTTGTCTTGTTACATTTCAGCAATTGGACCAATTTTATCGTCTATAGTTACTACTTATGAACTATTTACTGGGATCCAGACTTAAGGTGGCCAGTTTGATTTTAGAGAAACAATATATTTATATTAGGCAATAGTTTTTGCCATGATAAATCGTCTTGTCTTGTCTTGTCTTATATAGCTATTCTGTACTATACATGAGAATCCTATTCAATTTATTTGTGTTTCAAGGGGCATACATCATCTTGTGAATCTTGACCTGAGTCTGGAGTGAGCTGGTCATACTTTTGGAGTAACTCTTCGTAGTTAGGGACGCCAAGAAGCTCAGCTATCTTTGGAATGAGTTCAGTTGGCTCGGTTCTTGTACCTCTAAATGCAACAACTTTTCCATTTTGATCGATCAGAAACCTTGAGAAGTTCCATTTGATTGGTGACAAAGTGTTACTTTTCTCATTATATAGCTCAGGAGTTTCTCTTTTAAGCTTTTGCACAAATTCCAGAGAATCTGGGCCATTTACCTTACAAATCTCCATTAGGGGGAATTTGACATTTTGAGAATCTGCAAATTTCCGAATTTCCTGGGGGCTCGCAAACTCCTGGCCCATAAACTCTCTGGTAGGAAGACCAATAATTTCCAGCCCAAGGGGAGCAAATACCGAGTAGATTCTCACCATTTGCTTATAGTAAGACTTTGTATAACCACATTTGGATGCAACATTTGTTACCATTACAACTTTCCCTTTCAAGTTTTCCATTGGAAAGGGATTCCCCTCGAGGGTTCTGAGTGTATATGAATACACCGACTTACTTGAAAGGTCATTGGTTATCTTGGTGGATGCCAAAAAATTCCCCATTCTTATCTTTTTGGTTCGTTTTACTAAAAAATTATTTTTCTAATCACTTTACATAAAATATAATTATTTCAAAAAAAGGCGGGAAAGTAAATATCGGTATACATTTTTTTCATTAATTTTGCGAGTTAAAGTTGGTTTAATAATTTTGTTTTTTTTGTTTACAAGCGAGTAAAGTTGGGGCAAATAGAAGCTTTAGATACCCTGCCAAACAAGTCCTTCTAGTGTTTAATTTGTCAGTTCTTTTTGATAAAAACTACCTTTTACAAGAAATAATTAGGCAGGTAGGTAGGGGTGGTGCTTTTACATAATATTGCAGTAGGATTTCCCTTAGTAGAGAAGAAAGTATGCAGGAGGACCACTCTTTGGAGGAACTCAGGTCAGGTAAGTTGGCTGCAAGATGTTATTTTAACTTTTTTTTTTTAATGGTATTCTAACTGTATTTATGCGAACAACTTATTTTTCTGATTAAATATTATAGCTGTTAAATCTGAACTAGAAAAGAAGGGAATTTTGAGTGAAATTAGGGCTAGGTTGATGGCAGAAATTTTGTATTCTTTGACAGAGGAGGTAAGGAAAAATGTATCAAAGAAGCTTGGAGAATTCATACTATTTAAATATTACTTTCAGAATGACGAGAACAAGGATAATTTGAACAATATTTCAGACGAGAATCTGATCTTAAATTCATTAATTTATGACTATTTGGTATATAATGGCTATCAGAGTACAGGGAAAGTATTATTAAAGGAGTCAAAGATGGACTCTGAATCAAAGGAAGGGAAAAGTGAATACACCAATGAGAAACAGATTTTAAGCACTGAGGAGCTGAAAAGTATCCTAAGGGTTGAAGATAATAGTGACCTTCCGATTTTATACTCTTTGATAAAGTGATAGATAGGTACAGTATGTAACTACTGTAATAGGTTAATTAGAGTTCTTTATTATCTGGAGGTAAAGGCTTTATTCCGAGTGAAATGTCTACATCATCTTTGCACAATATGTCTTGTGGTCTATTAAGCTTTAGCTTCTCACTAGCTACAGCTCTGTAAAGATAATCCCCTAGGATAGGGGTAATGGGAGAGACATATTTCTTGAATGCTTGGACCATTTCATTAGATTGTCCACAACTAGTTAAGTCCATGATTTGATTTTCGTTTCCACCTGTGTTTTGTGCAGAAACGGATTCCATTTGTTCATTTGACTTCTTATTATTAAGAAATAGAGTAATTCCAAAAACTAAATTGACAAAATTAGTAAGTAGTTTAATAAAAGGATGAGTTCCTATTATTCTCAGTTTCCCACTGTTGATATCCTCAATATATGATTTTAATAGAGGAATAAAGTGGGAGGGTTTAAGCTCCAACTCTAGCTCATAAGTTTCACATTGCCTATATCCTCTACGGCTTTCAATCTGTACTACATGAGTTGAATCTAAGACAAAGTTTGAAACCTCAATTGTTTCTCTTTCTCTTCTTCTTTCCAAAACACATGAATTTTCAATTGGACCAGTAACACCGTTAGCAATTTCTACAGGATTCTCCTTGTGTTCGAGATTGATTGCAATTCTAAAGTCTCTAAGTAATGTCCCATTCTCAATGTTATACTTAGTTTCTAAGTCCCCAGATTGGCCAGGAGAACAAAAGTCAAAAACAGCAATCTTTTCTTTCCAAATAGCTTCCACTGGCTTATCTTTCTGGTTTTTTGGAGATATATAGCTCAGTCTGATCAGAGACCTATCTTCTCCTTCGGAATTGTTTGGATTATGAATATAGTAGTCACTAGTATTCCTATTTTTGATTAGATATGGGACTTTAGATTCGTCAAAATCTTTTCTTAATTCTTCCAAGACACTTGTCATTTGCCATTTCTCTACTCCCGGCGAAAATCGGTAAGAAAACTCCTTTTCACTTGGAGGTAGTAGAGACATCCCCTCTACAGGTAGCATGACCTTTTCTTTGGTGGTCTCATTAATTAAAGTTCCTATGCGCCCTTCAACCTAGGAATGAAAAAAAAATGTATAATTAAATAAAAGGAAAAATAAATAAAATCTCTAGAAATCTGAAACTCAAGAAACTTACCTCTAGATCAACCTTTCCATCCATTTTCAAAAGCTCAGGTGAAGCCTCAACCAGATCAACCAGAGACTGCGCAATAAATTCAATCTCCTGACTACATCCTGTTGAAAACGAGCCATCCTATTACAAATATTAGAGTTATTTCAACAATTAAACTAAAAATATCATAATACGACTTACAATTAACTCGTACTCATCAAGATTAGTTTTGCTCATCTTTTTGTTACATCTTAAATTAATAATATGGCATTTTTTGGGCAAAAAGTGGCGCCAAAATGGGCAAAAATTACCAATATATGAAATAATATGAACATGCAAAATTAAAAATATAAGATTTTGAGTATAATGGGGAAAATGCACCAAAGTGAATACAAGAGGAGAAATCAATGAATTTATAGGGGTTTTGTAATATATGAGGCTGATTAATGAATTAGAGAGTTGTTTAATAGGTACGTTTAACTCAGTAGAGGCCGAGTTAATTCTAAACAAATAATTAATACATTAAATTTAGTGTTATTAAGTTTAATAGTAATTTCTGGGGGTTTTGGAAGAGAAGTTAGCAGTATAAGAGATGGTGACCATGCAAACTGTCCCGAAGGGTGGATTTCAAATAATGAGAGGACAAGATGCTTCAAGTTAGTCAATTTTGACAGACCCAGGACATTTTCTCATGGCTTTAAGGCATGTAATGATTTGGGTGGGACTGAAGTTGTGACAAGAAGAAGAAATGGATCCAAAGAAATGAATGAATACCCAGTAACATTAGCTTCAGTATATAAGTTATCAGATGAAGAGGCAATTAGAAGAACGTTAATGGAGCAAGGGGATGTTCAAAAGACTGCGAATGGGTGTTTTGTTGGGCTCAGAAAATATGCATTTTTCAGGTATCCACCAGGGTGGTACTGGATAGATAGTGGGAGTCCTGTATCTGCTCGCGATTCTGAAATCAATTGGACATCAAGTTATAATGCAAGTTGGTTATTAAGATTCAAATTTCCCTTTGAGAAATGCGGATTTTTTGATATTGGAGGGCTTGGAAGAAGGCCGTGTTGGCTCATTGATTCTGAGCTTTCTTGTGCAATATGTGGTACAGTAGCTTATGATTCCGGCGGATTAAACCCTAACAAATATTCTGAGCTTATTAAGCAGACTGATGAGATAATAAGTAGAGAACCAAAACTTGATTTACCAGGATACAATAATTTAAACTGCACAGATGTTTGGGAGAATGATTTATCTTTTGGCCTTTGCCAAAATGTCTCAAATATCTTGGACTCAGCTTGGAGCTCATACCGTAATTCATTAAACTCCCCCAGTATCAATTTTGATTGGAAAGACGAACCGAATTTCGAAGGGGACCTAGCTCGCCACAGTTCTTATTTGGATCTTCCAAAGTACAAACAGAAAAAAACATTCTATTGGGATCAAGATCCAGATTTGGTTCCTGCTTTATCTGATGAAATGAAGCTTATTGGTTTAAGTGCACAACCAACATATCACCCTTTGGATAGAAGTTCTTCTGTGGGGTTTGAGCCAGCTGATTCTGAATCTGAGGTTGGGAATAAAGAGGGTGATGATTTCACAAAGGAAATGATCTACAAACAGAGTTCTGATTCTATTGAGGGTATATTGGTACCTGTCACGAATTCCATTTCGTCAGACTATGCTTTAGTTGAAAGAAGTTCTGGGAGTGAGGAAGTTCACCCAAGTGGTGTTTCAGCCACTTTCCCTATGGGGATTATCATGCCAACCACCGCAACTTCCTACACTAATACCTTCACCAAGAATACCACTACCAACATTCCTACTTCTACCGCTGCAACTACCAATACCACCACCACTAATACCTCTACCACTACTACTACTACTACTACCTCTACTACTACCACTACCACTACTACTACTACTACTACTACTACTACTACTACTACTACTAATACTACTACTACTACTACTACCTCTACCACTACTACTACTACTACTACTAGTACTACTACTAGTACCGTTACTTCCACTAGTAGAGTTATTACTACTACCCTTAAATCCGGGTTCTACTCGACTAACAAGTTACTGTATACCCCAAAGATGGAGAATGTAAGAACTAGTGCATATGTGAAGAGAAACTCAAATGTATCAACAAACAATAGTACAGTTACGAAGGACTCCGGGATGTTATACATGAATTCTGACAAGGAGGGAGAAAATTCATTATTGGGATTTGGAGCAGGGGAGTATGTAAGTTCTAAAAAGGATGAATTGGGAGAAGACCCAGACTTGAGTTATTTGAGCGGAGCAGGTCGGGTAAAGTTAGAAAAGTCAGTAGAAAGTCGTGTTGATGTGATAGAACGAGCAGTAAATAAAAAGTTAATCGTTGGAGTAGTAATTGGAATTTTGTTGATTTTGCTTTTATTGGCGTTTTGTTGCGTCTTCTTTTTGAGAAGAAGGTCGGATGAATCCGAGTCTCCTCGACATATAGACAATTCAAACAAAGAGTTAAATGAAAACAAGACAAAAAGTTTACAACTTGCTTCAATAAAGCCAATTTTGGGGAGAAAAGGATCTAAAATTGTACATATGAACCAAAAAAGCATCAGTTATGACTCGAATGTGGCTCCACCAGAGAAAAAAAGTATAGTATCTGTAGAGGATACAGCATTCTCTCCCGAGTACATGAATTCAGGAGAATGCGTAGATGGAGTTAAGACTGTACCATATTATGTAGCTCAATCACAAGCAAACACTCTTCAGCTACACTCTGGAAAAAAAATCAATTTTGGATATGATACAAGAGCTCAGTCTCAAAAACAAGTTTCAATAAAGAGCCCTAAATACCATGACTTTTTTTATTCAGAACCAACTAGGTAGATCTATCAAATCCAAGTACTCATAAAGAAAGTCCAAAGAGATAAAAAAAGGAAGAATAACAAAAACAAAAAGAAAAATCTTTGAAAACTTTAAGGTGATTTCTATTTATTTCCGAGAATTTCTCAAAATATTGAATACTACTAGCCAAGACATTTATGTGGGTAAAATTGCATGCACACCTAATATTTGACCCCACAAACAGATTGAGTTATATTTTATTAAAAAAAAATTGAGAAAAAAACAAATTGGTTTATTTTCTCAACAGTTTGTTGTTTCCCATAGAGTTAACTTTCAAAATGGAAAGACTTTTAAATTGTTAGTGGGAGATTTTTGTGCTGAAAAAGCGTAGATAAGATGGATTAAGTGTAGCATATAATAAGCGTACTATATGTTATACAGATAAATATAATTAATTCAGACACAAATGTAGTAAAAAGTAGAAAAGGTAGATGTAAGACATTAATAGAAACAAAATTGGGTTGAGAAAGGTTACGTAGAAAAAGCTCTAGGAACAATATAAACTCCTAAATTCTTTATTCAAGAGTCTCCAAATCTTTTGGTTACTTGTTTTAGTTATTTTTGTAGTTTTTAACACTTATCACCCCACATGCAGCAAAATAATTTTTGCATGTCTGGAAACGGCGGGAAAGCAGAAAAAAAAAATTGGAAAAAACATAAAAAAATAAGGATAAAAGAAAAAATTAGGTGTTTTGAGTTTTACTTCAGAACAGAGAAAGCAAAAAAGGCAAGTTGAAAAGTTTTGTAATGGAAATAGTCTGGAAGAAGGAGGAATGAGGCGAGCAGCGTCTCGTGTAGCAGGCTTCGTGTCTAAATGGGCTACTACATTTATAGGAAAGTATTTAGAGAATGTTTCAGAGGATAGTTTTGAACTTGGGTTAAATTCAGGAAAACTACAGCTTAGAAATGTGAAGATAAAAGAAGGTTTTTTGCAGCAATTGAAGCTTCCAATAAGAGTAAAGTATGGCTGCATTGAAACTATTAACATATCAATTCCATATAGCAACATATTGAGACCTGGCAGCAGTTCTCCGTTAGTTGTGGAGATAGATGATGTAAATTTGTCTGCAAGTTTTATGGATTATAGTGAATTTGATTCAGAGAAGATTGAAAATTTGGTTATTTCAGAGAGACTTAGGTTTATCGAACATTGGAATATTCAATTTATGGCGGAGCTAGCAGAAGATGAGTACTTTAGTGTCAAAGGGAGTAGTAGCAAGGGGGGAAGCAAGGCTTTTTTGAGTAGGATAATATCTGTTCTGATTCAGGATGTTAGATTAAAATTTCGAAGGATTCATATCAGACTTTGCGATTCAACTAACAAAGAATTGAATTGTGGATTGGTATTGGATTCGCTAGAAGTCAGATCAATCCCAAATTTGAGCCAGGTTTTGGTGGACCAAGACTTGGTGGTTTCCAAATCAGTTGGTTCTAATACAAGCAACAAAAATAATAATATTAGTAGTAACAGCACTGGAGGAAGGGAAGTAACTAGTGAACTAGGTCCAGACCAGATTCATGGTTATGAAGAACATTTGGAGCTGGTAAAAGTGATTTTTGGTTTCAAAAGTGACTGCTCTGATGAGAAGTTGTTTGAGCCATTCTTTCAGAAAAAAGATTCTAGTGACTTTTCTTACAGAATATTAGATTTGGACGGTCTTTCAATTTATACAAAAAGTGGACCAGCTGAAGCTGATTTAAAAGAACCTCCGAAAGAGCTTGACCAGGTTGTTCATCCTTTCTGTTGTAAGCTTCTGCTAAGACAGAGAAGAGACTTGTTTAACACATCAAAGATGCCAATATACACAGTATATGGGGTTTTGGAAGAGATTTATGTTACAGTTTCTGAACAGATAATCACATACTGTGGAGGAATATTGAACCAGATTCAGGCATTTAATAAGCAGATTGATTTGGGAAAGGTTAGACTCGAGAGAAGATTTCTTTACAGACCAAGTGTTCCTGTTCTTGGGAATTCAAAGCTTTGGTGGAGATATGCTATAGGATGTGTTATAAGAGACAGAAAAACAGACATTTCAATCATCTCAGGTCCTCGTCGGCTTTCTAGGCCAAATTATAACCCTTCAATTTACATGAGTTTACAGGAAGAATTCACTGAAGCTAAGATATCAATGTATTGTAAGGATTATACTTTAAAGTTCCACAAATATTTTGAGGAGAAGATGACTTTCGACTCAATTGGACCGTATTTTGATGGAGGGCTCTTTAATGACCTTCTTTTGGATTTTTCAAGACAATTTTCCGAATACTACATACTCAGGGTTCCTTTCTCCAGATTTGTGTCTTTGCATACATCTTTGGTACATCAGTGGGTTGGGAAGAGATTGGAAATTCATTCTTTCAGGAGAATGAGTCAGAATGACTCTCAAAACACTGGGGGAGGGTCTGGAGGTTGGATTCAATGGCTTTTTAAGTTCCACAAAATTTCTTCAGTTCCTTTAAATAGTGGAGATGATGTTTTCTTTGATGCTCAGGAAATTGAAGAGGAGGGAAATTCAGACAAAGTCACTGGTAGTGTGGTTGAGGAATCTGAATACATAGGAGATGGCAATTACAATGCCTCTGTAGAGTTAGATGGCACTTTTATGGAAAGCCAGACAAGGGAGGATCTCCAGTTTTTCGATTGTGTTTCAGACCAATCTCTTGAAAATGTTTTTGAGAATAATTCTGAAAGCAAACAGGATTTGGGGTCATTTGATAGGTCTCAAGGTGAGAATCACTTTTTTGGAGATATCTCTCCGGCAATGAAACATTTTGGGTTTATCAGTTCGGAAACTCCGTTTATGGCATTCCGAGTGTTGCTCAGAGAAACAAAACTAGAGGTAATACTCAAAGATGAGGTGCCAAAGGAGACTGGAGTAGATCAAGAGGAATACCAGGATGGTTTAAGGATGGCTAGAAAGAATGCATTGATGGGAAGTCTGAGGAACTTTGGTCTAGAGTTTATCCAGTCGGACTCGAGAATTTCCCTATTATCTATTTTGCAGGAGTTTACTTTGGATTACTCAAGCCCAGAAGGGGAAAGGTATCATATAATATACGAGGATGAGTCACTGGTAGAAGATGACAAGATGTGGTTCACGTTTTATTATTTAAACAAAAAAAACTCAATTTGCAATGTACAGGGGTCTTCCAGAAGAAGGAGTTCTCTTAGTGTAAGCTCTGATTTCTCCATAGACCGTAGTATCTCAAAAAGACTGGACGCTTCTTTCCCAGAAAGTAACAAAACTACTATTAAGATTAATGTAGAAAAGTGTTATGTCATCTTCTATTCCAATGTAGTCTCAGCTTTGGTTAGCGTGATTAACAAATACAACAAAAGCATAAACAAGGATGGGGTAGAAAGTACCAACCATAAATCCAAAACAAGAAAGGATAGTCATATTACTGGTTCTGAAAGTGGATCAACAGATATTTCAGAAAAAAGAGATTTGGATAGCCAAGGGGTTAGTTTTCTCCAGAATTTAGGTTTAATCGATGTGGACATTCAGATAGAAACTCCCATTTTGGTTTTTTGTCACAGGAGAGATCTCAAACTTGATAGTACAATCTACAACGTAATAAGCTTTGGGAAAATTTCAATCTCCAATAACGATTCAGATTTCCTGAAGGGGTATGAGCTGGAGGAAAGCTCTCAAGACCTTTCCAGTCCTTATAACAGGCTTGAAAATAATAGTTTTGACTTCCAGTCATTTGCTAATAAAGGAGTTGGTGGTATTCAAGTATCTCCATATTATAGATATGTGCTTTCTGAAAAGTCCACTTACTGGTTTAAGTGCGTCCAGAGTCTGTGCTATTATGCTAAGATTGAGGAGATCTATTTATCTATATACAGTGATTCCCAATTTGGTACAAAAAAGATGGAACATGATGATCAAAAGATTAGAGACAGGATTCAAGATACCAGTAACGGAGAAAAACGAGACTCCAGTAAGAACGAAAAGAGGATCCCAAAGCTTCCTAAGGGAGTAGGTATGGTGAATTCCTATAGATTGTTTAGCATTGATTATATTGATATTAAACTGAACCTCCTTTCATACAAAAAGTATAATATGCTTGATGAGACATGGATGAAGTACATTAAACTATTCAGTGTGTTAACCCAACTAGACACTTTTTCAGAGGATTTGTTTGAGGAGAAGTCATTTATGAACTTGGTTTTGTCCACAAACTCGGTTTGCTTGGATTCCAAATCAATTGGAGGAGGTCCCACGGGAGAGATTCAGCTTGGGGATGTACTAAAGAACATCTATTCATCTATTCAGATTAATTCAATTATCTCCAACTTTGACCCTCAAGTTTACCAGAGTATATATTTGAACATGACTCAGTGGATGGATGACTCCTGTTTGAGTGAGCATTTCAGTTTAGGTAAGAAACTAACAAGGGAAAAAGAATTCAAGATGTTTAAGCTTGGTCTTAATATCCAGTTGTTTTGGTTTTTAAGGCTTAACAGCCTTAACTTTGACTTTGTATCGGATGACAACTCTTGGATGAACGTGGGGATGAAAGATATTCAACTTTTAAACTTCATCCATGACCACTACAGGCAGGTTAACTTTTCCATTTCCCAGCTATCCATGGACTACTTGTCCAAAATTAAGTACAGAGAAGATGATGAGGAAAGAGGAGAAAGAGAAGCAATTCAACAATCTTGTGAATTTGTGGATGAGCCTCAGGAATGCCACAAGATCAAGAAGATCCCTCTATTCAGTCTCGGCAAATCTTTTAACTTTGTCCGTTTTCAAACATCTCAGTACCACTTCATAGAGGAGGAGCTTTCACTGGAGCAAACTTTCGATAAAAAGGACAAAAAATTAAATGGATCTGGATCAAATTATTCTAAAAGCAACCAGGTACGAGTGAAAACAGAAATAGGATCTATTATGATTTATTTGAGACCTTTAATTCTTCAGGAGTTGCTTTGCTTGTTTAAACGGACTACCTCGCCATATATAGGTACCGGAATAGAGACAAGGTCCAAAAAGGACCAAGATCTAGCTTCGGAAATTGAAGTAAAAACTTCTGAAACATGGACAAGGTACTCAGTTGTTGCTAAAGTTTCTAGTTTTGAACTGGTTGCATTTCAAAGAGACACAGAATTCTTCAAACTGGTTTTTGAAAATACGGTATCTGTCTGTGATCATGAGACAAGAAGGGAAATCACGATTAAATTAATTAGGATGATGGCTTACAATACAGTTCGTGGAAGAGATATATGTTTTTTTAGGATGGAAAAATCATTAGACTCAGCTATTATGAAGATGAAGATTATTTCTCATCATAGAGCTCAGGATATTGAAGATTTTATTCATGGAAGACTCTCTAGAATGATTTCAAGCTCGGAGATGCTTCTAGAAGCTCGCAATGTCACTTTGGTCCTGTTTCTAGACGCTATTTTGCACAATATCTACTATTTCTCAAATTTGGTTGACAATATTCAGAGTTTTGTATGCTATTTGGAAGATACTGATAGAAATTCAAGTATAAGATCATTGCAATCTATTACTACTGAAGGAAAAGGAAGTAATTCAGGTATATATGTACCTCTCAGAAGTATGAACTTCAGAAATAGTAGGCTAATCATTCCATCTGGATCAGTTGACGATGCAGATCCAGATAACATGCCCTCAGTTGAAATGCTCATTGAGCTCTTCAACTTCAATAATAAATGTTTGATTGGACAGGTATCTGACTCTTCAATGACCCACCTATACATTTTCAGCATGTTTAACGTCAGGATGAAACAGATTTTGGGGTTCAAACTTGAAAAGAATGGTCTTACTGAGCAGCAATACGGCGAGGTGAAAAATAGGATAACCCATTTTGGTGTTATTCCTGATCTGAACTTTCATTTGAGGAGATATACAAGTAGGGATGAATTAATTAGCTCGTTTGACATGAATTGTTTCGTGGAGTCCAGCTATAACGATCTAGAGATACATCTTTACCCTGAGATTCTTAACCTTCTAATTAAAGCATTCTCTGGAAACTTACTGAAGTATGATTCTTTTGTGAAACAAATGAACATACTTGCAGCTGGAACTATTTCAGATCAAGATTTTATGTTATCCTTAAACGAAAAGAATAAGAATTATAAGCTTAAAAGTACCAGAAAACGGTACCTTCCTCAGTTAATTCAACACAGGTATATAGGAACAAGAGCAGCTTTAAGATTTCAAGAGGGAATCCAAGGAGGAAGTTCAAGCCTTCCAGTCGAGAAATTTGATTATCAAAAAATTCATCCAAGTAACTCAATTTCCATCAGTTTTCCTTTAATTAAGCTCAATCTAATTAGGAACTGGGATTCGAACCACTGCTCAGCTGACTCTAATATTAGAATCCTCCACGGAGAAGAAGAAGAGGATTCTGCTCATGTGGTTTCTATTGTGAGGATGAAAGGAACCAACTTGTTTATGAGCAAATTCCCTCAAAACCAAAGCTTCATTTTCAACCTTATAATTGGTTCTGTGAACTTTGTTGATGAAAAGAATCCGTCTTTCTTGCTTTCAGTTCCAGATTCTTTTCATTACTTTAACAATTTAGATTTCGGTACCGGGTATGATGCTCAAAAACAAAATCGGGACCAGGGAAATGGAGGAGAATATGAAGAATCTGAAGCTATTTTTGAGGATCACCATTATTTTACTGTTTACACAAAGGAGGCATACTTTGAAAAGTTCTTAGGAAAGTATTTTAACACTCTCAAGCTGACAGTGGAGAAAGACATGAATTTAAAGGGAGGGGACCTGAATCTAAGACAAGACCAGGAACAGGAACTAGAACAACCCATAGAGCTTCAGTATTACAGTTTGAATGAAGATTCTAGTGATAATAAGGATAAAGAAAAAACAAATACACGCCTCTCAAACTGGAAAGTTCGTTTGGAATCACCAATCTTTAAGACTGATTATGACCTTCAGACTTTGGCTGGAATTTATAATTGGTATAATGACTACTCCCAGGTTATTTACACATCTAGATCCTGTAAAGGAGAAGATAAAAATAATAAGATTAAGGGTTTGATGGTGAATTTGGTGGAAATGAACTTAAGTTTTAAGAGATTAAATTGCATATTGATATCAAGGACAGGTATAGAAACTAAAGTAAACATGATAGGTACCTATGATCTAGGGTACCTGAGTAAAATAGAAAAGGTTCAAATTGAAGGAGAAAACAAACCAAAAAAGCTTTGCGAATCTAACTTAAACATTTCTATTTCTAACTCAAAATTAGAATATAAAATGGTGAATTTTGGGAGTTTTGTGATTTGGGATAATTTGGAATGTCAGATTATACACAACAAACTGCTTCAAAGAAATGAAATTGGGACAAAAACGACTAAAAGGAGCTTAAAATTCATCTCTCAACCAGTAACAATCCAAATTCACTATCCTCATATCCTAGAAATTTATGACATTTTGATGCTAACACAAAGGTCTCTATCAAAACATTCCCAAGTCTCGACAAATTTTGAACTGTATAAATCTCTTACTACTGGGATTTCCGGGAGTTTTGTTGGAGGCGAAGGATTTATAGAAGGAAGAGGAGGGATCTTAAGAGATCAGGAGGAGCTGAACGTGAACGTGATAATACAAACTTCCAGGTTGGTTTTGCTAAATTCTATTGAGAACATCTCAGGGATCCCCTTATTCATGGTTTCTGTGCAATCTAACAATTTGATAATTAACTGCAAAAGCTATGTACCTGATCATCCTGTCTCTATAACCAATTCTGGGGATTTCTCACTTTGGATCATGAACCCAAGACATGGGTACTTTGAACCGGTAATTGAGGGATGCAATTTTAACCTGACTTTGGATAATTTGATCCAGATTGACGGATTTTCCCCAAGAAATAAGTCATCTTCTTCAAACAAAGTCACCAAGAAGCTTAATTTCAATCTACCTTCAGCCCTAAGCCTTAACATTTCTCCATGGACTATTAGGACAGTCTTGAGACATTATGGAGCTTGGAGTAACGGTGAATATCTTCTTTCCAGTTCAGTTAAGCCATTTAGGCCTATTTTGGTCATCAATAAATCAGGTTACGATATTCAAATATTAGGATACCCAAATTTCGAAAGCTTCAAGAATTCTAGAAATAAATTAAATGGATCTGGATTTACTTGTAATATTGTCAAAAACGGTACCGACGTAGTTTTGGATCAAATTAACTACTGTTTCCAGCCAAGTAATATTCAAATCTTCCAGATCAATGTTGGGAGATCGATACAGGAGAAAGAAGAATGTAAAGAAGGAGCTGTTGTTAACTTTGAGAAGCTATTTTCAACAGAAAAGGTTATTAACTTGGATAATACTGGTAGGTTTGCCGTATTCATCAAAAATCTTAAAGAACAGAGTGCAGACCAAAATCATCACTTAAAAGAGGGAACTGATAACGTGAATATCTCCGAATCTCCTCTTTTTGAAAGCCCTTATTTATTTTATGAAGTAGAACACAAAGACATCAAGAACCAATTGGGAGTTGAAAAAATTTTGAGGATCTTGAGCCCATTAGAACTAAGTAATGAGCTTTCTTTAGATCTACAGGTATTTTTAACAAGTGGAATCTTCTCTAGTAGAGTTCTTCCTAATTCAAGAATCCCAATTCCTTTTAATCTTGAAACAAATAATCACTTATGTTATAATAAGGTAACAAAAGACTTTAAAGAAGAAACTGGAAATACAGCTAAGTATAATGAATACTATAAGCTTAAAATTAATGATATCCTTAGGAATATAATCAAGGAAAATGAGAGTCTAAACAAATACAAAATTACAGAAAAGAATGAAAAGAAGCAGATTTACTTTGTTCAAAAAGGAGAATGTGCTGGAGTTGGATTCTATATTACAATTGAGGGAATAATATCAATTTTTGGTCAAGGCAGGTATCAATTCTACAAATACATCTTAAAGTTTAAACCTTTCCTGACTCTAATTTCAACTTTACCTTTGGATTTGGAGTATAGATTTTCTGCTTTTGATACTAGAAGAGGGGATAAATACAATACCCAAATAGATCTTAATAATGGTAATATAGATAATGAAGGTATTTCAAACAATTCTGGTATTTTGGAGTACTTGAAACCAAAATCTTTGTATTTACCTTGTTCCTTATTTGATAATAATCCTCAGGTGAAACTGGAAATTGGAGTTCAATCACGAAAAGATCCCAAATATGAAAATGTTGAGGCAAATGAAAACTTTACAGTAATTTGGTCATGTTTAATTGACTTGGAAAATGATATTAAACTAGGGTTTTGGAAGACTCAAAATTCAGTTGTTGACTTAAATTTAGGAGATCATAAACAGGGTACCTTGCAGATACTTGGAGAAATTGTTCCTGGTAAAAGTAACGTTTCCATGTTTTCTTTATATAACTTGGAAAAGAATCCAAAAGGAGGATATCCATTAACTTGGGTAATCCACTCCAAATATTGGTTTAACAGTGTTGGATCGGAATTGAATCTTTCACATATATTACTTTCAGATTTTGCTCCTCCAGACCCAGTAAGTAACTTTATGAGGACTAGTAATGCCTGGCTTAAGTCAGAACAAAACTTATTTAATCAATATGGAGATTTGATTAGACATTCAGTCATTCCTTTAGTTAAAAGAGAAGGTTCAATTCACATTGAAGGAGCTTTCGACAAGGTTAAATCCAGGAGGCTTGTTTTTATGGTCTTAATAAATGGAAAACAGCATAGATTTGACTTTACAAAACCTCAATCAAATACTGAAAAAGGAGTAATATGTAATTTGGATATTCTTCAAGATAAATACGGAAAAGTTGGATACAACTTTTTATATAGAGACGTTTCCTTGGAAATTCAACTTCATGGAAATATTGCAAGAGTTCTAATTGGCCACTTACTCTTATTCCCCCAAAGGATGGTTGTGAATAAATCCAAAATTACACTTGAGATGCAGAGCCACTCAAGCTTTTCTTTAAAACCTGGTTCTTCAATTCCATTTATTCCATATTTTCCAGAAATGTCCAGATTAAGTTACAAAAGTCTCTCAGATATAAGACAAAATGGACTTAATTTTCGAAATAACCAGTCAATATCACGAATGATTTCTATTAAAAATGGTTCAGTGAAATACCCAAACTTTGTTTTGAACAAAAACAGATCTTGGAAGATTCTTTTAAAACTACCAGATAATCAGGCTATGACTGAAAATGGTGGTTACAAATATATGGATAATATTCAGGGATTATCTTACTTACTTGTTAGATCAATCTTTGATGATAAGCTTGGATTTGAGATGGTATTAATGACAAGCAGAAATACTTATAACCAAGAATTGTATACACATAATATATCTTCAGTATTTATATACAATTGCTCGAATAGAGATTTACATATTAGCCAAAGAAATGATGATGGCAAAAATAATATTCTTTTATCAGGAGGTGCGATAAAACAAGTCTTCCATTCAAAATCTTTGTCAGAATTTATTTGGGAAGACTACTTTAAACCCAGAGACCTTTTGATTCATAATGACCATATTAGTAATAATTATACCAATTTGAGTGGTAACATAAACAAAAAAGCCAAGTATATTAGTATTGGTAATTATAGCAACAAAAGGAGGCAGGAAAAGAACCATATATTTGAAGTTTATGATTTTGGATCAAATGAAAAGAAGGACTGGATTATTTACAAAGTTTCAAAAATATCTTCTAAAGGGAACAACTTCGTCTTGGGACTTTTTTCATATGAAAACTTCATGGACTGGCATAACAATAAAGGTTTAACCAGAAGAGCATTATCTTTACTTCAACCGTCTAGGCCTGCATCAATCTCTTCCCCAAGTTTCAGATCAGGTAATAATTATGGAAGTCCTGAAAGCGTAGTATCATCTTCCTTAACTAGATTTTCTTCTTTCAATAGAGGTTACTCGAATTCTGAGCAATACATATTTGATATATTCTGTTCTCAAGTATTGGTTTCAGTTATGTGGGAGAATCCAAGCAGAAATACTCCTCAAGAACTGTTTCTAATTGTCTTGGATAATTTAATTTGCAGGTACCAATTTTTCACCCATCTTAGTGCTCCCCAAGACTTGCAGATTTCTGTTGCGAATATACAAATTGATCTGCAATACAAAGAAACGCTTTATCCAGTGCTTTTCCAAAGGCTTCCTTCAAGCTCATCAAGGACTCTTAATACTCTGGAGGAGAAGTTTTTGGCATCAAATAAAACAGATTTTGCTTCATTTTCATTTTCTCGAAATCAAACAAACTTTCTAGATTCCAGTAGACAATATCAACCTCTGGTCTCATCATCTTCATCAAATTCAGAAAGAACGGTACTTCGAATGTTAGTAATAGCATCGAACTTTTGTTGGGATTGTGTTAAATACTCAATTTCGAAAGTAAAAGAATCAGAGAGTATTGAACAAGACCTGGATGAGGAGAATGCCAGGGAATTTGAGATATACTCAAATAAAAAAAGTTCAAGAATTTTAAGATCACAGAATCTTTCGGAAAATTTCTTTTTAGAGATTTCTGATTATTTGAAGAGCTTGAATATTTCAAATATAAAACTTCCCTCAGAGCTAATTTCTCAAGGGTTCTTCAAAAACCAACGAAATAAAAGTGGAGACTCTTTGCAATTTATTACTGTGAATAAGTTGCTAATTAGACTTCTTGGAATAAATATATGCTTTGATACCCATTTTATCTACATTCTCACAATGTTCATAGACCAAATTAAAAAGATCTCTAACTCAATGGCTGATAGTATTAATAATAAAAGATCGAAAGGCAGTATATCAGTTTATGATTATGACAAAAATGTCAATTTAAATGAAGAGGCATCTCCTGGATGTGAAAATATTGCCTTTACTGAGGGAGACGGAGGAGCCATAAATAGCAATGATGGTGGTGACGATAATAGTAATGGGTTAAATGATGACGAAAATGATGATGAAGATGATGAATACCAATTTATAGATAAGAAAGACATAATTAAACAGTTCCCTCTCAAACAGTCACTTCTGGATAGAGTCTTTGTGAAAAACTTTAAGATCTTTCCAATGGTAATCCACTTAACTTTCAACTTAAATCTTTTAAAATCGTCAATAAGCTCAGAATTATCATCTTCGCCCTCTTCTTCCTCTTGTTCTTCATCTTGTTCATCGTCTTCTTCTAGTTCCCAAAAACCAGTAAATAATAAAGAAATCTCAAGCATTAATGGAAATAATAATATACTAAGAAATGGAAATATCATTAAGAATTTGAATTTCGGAAAAGTTCTTGAAGAGTTTGCACGCACTTTTGGACTGGTATTTTCATCCCTAATTAGGTCAATCACAACAATAGAGGATGCTCCTTTATGGATGAACCAATTTGAATCTCGGGAAAGTGAAAGCTGTTCAAAGTTAATTCAAAAAATTAGAAAGCATTACGAACACGAACTATATAGCCAGTTATATGTGATTGCAACCTCTCTGGGATCTGTTGGTAATCCAGTAAACTCTTTTACAAATATTGGAGCTGGGATTGGAGACTTATTTTATGAGCCAATTTATGCTGTAACTTCTGGAAGAAATGATAATAATAATAATGGAGGAAATGTAGTAACTGGGGTAAAAAAAGGAATTGAGTCTTTTATGAATCATTCAGTTTTTGGAACCTTCCAAGCAATCTCAAAGGTAGCTGGAACTGCTAGCCAAATAGCTGGAGCTCTTACCATGGATGAAAAATATATGGAAGAAAGAAGAAGATTTGTTCATGGACAACAACCCAAAGACCTCATGGACGGAATCAGCATTGGAGCACAGGCCTTTGGAAAGTCAGTAACTGATGGACTTTCAAGCCTTGTTGGAGAAGTTTTAGATGGAGCAACAACTGGGAATCCCAACTCTCTTGCAATCGGTATTACCAAAGGACTTGTTGCTGCTGTTGTAAAACCAATCACTGGAGTACTGGACTTTACACAAAAAACAGCTCAAGGCATCCAAAAAGCCTCCACAGTTGACAGAGTTGGTAATACTAACAGAACCAGGCTTCCTCGTGTTTTCTACACAAAATCAAATATTTTGGCGCCATTTTCTAGAGAACATGCATTTTTGCATGACTTGGTAACATGCATAGGCGGGCCAGACCACATATTAAACCAAAGAATATCATCAGCCAGAGATGTGAGCAATGATATTCAACTTGGGCAGCTTTTCAGTGGAGTTTTATATATGACAATTTGTGGAGACGGATCAAAGATAGCAGTTGTTACAAACGAATCACTATTGGTCTTGCAAATGAACAATGGGATTTTAAATTCTGAGTCGGAAAGCGATAATGTAAGTATTGAACATAGCATAAAACTTCATAATATCCAGTATGTAGTAATGGGAAATCTATCCAAATCAAATTTTAAGAAAATAAATGTTTGTGGATCAGTCTTCAGCAAACAGGACTTTAATAGTGAGATATTAAACCAAAACTCAATTAAAGGCCACGGTTATGCTTTTAATATTGAGGAGATTTATCCAATGCCTTGCAATAAAAAAGAGGAAGCTGGACTTAAAGCGACTCTTTTCAATGATAAAATGATGTCAGAGATTGTAATTCAAATGCAAAGGCAGAATGAATGCATTTCTCCATCTCCACGAGCCAGAAATTCTCAGAGGAGATTACCTTCTTCCACTCTTTCATCTTCTTCAAGTTCTGATTTAAGAAAACAAGAATTTCCGGATTATTTTCAAGTAAAAGAGGCAGAAACTCCAAGTATGGTTATTATAACACGCCCATCTACTCCGCTTCCGCATTATAGGTGGATTGAATGTAGTAATCGTTCTAATTTGGAAAAGCTGAAGAATGTAATATGTTCTTTAATATGATAATAGTAACTGGTAAAAGTAATAGTAATTATAAGTTATAATTCATTAGTGATTAAAGAATTAGTAATAGATACTGCGGAACTTATATGGTCTGTTAAAATAATGATTTTTACATATTCCTGGTATTTCTTTGAAAGTCTTTCAATCTCGTTGATTTCAAACATAGAAATATTCCCGATAATATTAATAATTAAAGTTTTCTTTGTCTCCTTAAGCCTATTTCTCAAAGATTGAAGATCTGACTCTTTATAAGTAGATGACACACTTTCCATTTTCAAATCGACTTTTAGCCAATTCTTTGAAACGTTACTTTCTTCAATAAATATTGTTTGGAGTATATAAAAACTTACTTGAGCCACTAAAGATAATTCCTGTAGTTCTTGTTTTTTGTTAATGTTCTCTGGTAAAAATGCAGAAAGCTGAAAGTTTCGGAAAGACTTATACTTAAGTAGACTTCTTGCATTTCGAATACTGTTAAGCTTCTGTTCTAATCTTCCAAGATCACCAAAACTATGCAATTTTTCTGAATGGAAATGATCCAACATTTGCCTTAAATTGAAAGATGTTAACTTACAGTCTGGGCCTTCATAACTCGAACAGGAAATTGCCAGAGATATAATCTTCCTAATACACTCTAAAGAGTAAATCTGTAAGTCATTTTGATCATTTACAGAAATATTCTCAAAAGAACTGTTTGTAAACTTTTTTCTGAGATTTCTAACAAATATTGAATTAAATGATACCAAGTCCAATGGAAACATTGGAATTATAAAATAGTGAAGAATTTGAAGTAGAGCTGACAACTCTAAAGGTAGGTCGTATGTATTGTATAATAATGGATTTAGGCTTAAATCCTCTAACTTTTTTGAAATATTTGTAATAGAATCTGGCAAAAGCTTTTCTCTAATAACCAATAAGATTGAAACAAGTTTCCCAATGATTTCTTCCTCATTTTCAACTTGATCTTGGTAAATTATTGGGGATAGAGATGAAGATGAAGTCTGAGTAGACGGAGATTTCATATTTAAATCATTTGAACTCAGGGATATATGGTTCTGAATTATAACTAAGTATCTGTATATTATGGATAAAACCATGGTTTTTTTTTTGTTTGGCTTTTCTTCATAGTTGTTGCAAACCTCTGAAACATCATTCCAAAATTTTCTAGTATACTGAGACTGTTTTAGAGTTAAAAGTAAAAACATCCATGAATGATGACCAAATAATGGGAAAATATTCATTATAGAGTCGATTCTGTTAATTATATCCTTTTTAAGACACCCAGAAAAGTTCCTCTCTTTTGATGAAATCAACCCTTGAAGATCTTCTAGAGCAGAAATAAACCTATAGGATAGGATTGGATAGTTTTGAGAAATTATAAGATCCTTTTGGAGCTTCTCAGGGTCCAGCATGATTGAAAGATATACTGGATTTGTAACTTCGTGAATACAACCTTCCTCAAAATTATTGGAAGAATTTAATTCCTGTTCATTAGAAAGTTCTCCAACTTTATTATTTAATAAATAAGGAGTTTTTTCCTCTTGACAACTTAATTCTCCATCTTCCTTTCCGGGCCTATCAGAAACATTAAATTCATTTTCAACTTTATATTGGGTATTATTTAAAATAAATTCATCGAGAAATTCAGCAATTCCATCATCAAACCTTGTGAAGGTTTCGTCCTCAGATAAGTTCATGTTCAATATTGGTGAGTAAATTGGGGAAATACAATCCAGGCTTCTGTCCATTATTAGAAGAGTTACATGGTTTTTCTTTGGCTCATCTGGATGGATTTGAGTTTTTGAACCAGCCCTGATGATCTCGAGGTAACTGTCTTGCATAACTTTTGAAATGATATTTGAAGTTGGGCCTATTGACAGAAAGTTAATTAGGGAACTTTCTGATTCTAAAAAGCTGATTTCTGTTACTTGTTGAATAAATGCCATCAGCTGCAATACTTGCCTTGAATAGGCCCTTCTTAACTTAACTGGAAGGTTATCCAGCTTGAGCAGAGTCATGTCCTTTACGTTTTCTTTACTAAACAAAGTTGGCATTACATAATTATTTAAAGTTTTGTTCTTTCTTTCGGACATTACAATGTTATAAATCCGCTCTAAATCTTCCTCTAGTATGGGAATTGATACATTTTTGTCTTCAACACATGTTGCATAAACTGAAGAAGAAGAATTATCACAAATTAAACTTGCATTAGAATAAAATATTGAAATCCAATTAACTGTTTCTATAGAAATATTCAGTCCTTCAAACCCTCTCCTAATTTCATTAAGTATACTTTCAAAGTCAAACTTTTTTATTATAACATTTTTACCACCAATACACATTTCTTCCTGCAATACCCCTACATTTTTTGCATATTCTACATGTAATTCCGAAGAATATGGCAGGTATATTCTGGTCTTCAGCTCAAGATTTGCATCCATTGTGGCTTCTAATGTAGTAAATACCTCTCTCAATACCAGTATTAGTGGCTCTTGAATTATAAAGTTTATACTGTTCACCTTTTCAAAATTCCCCACTGTATACTTTGGATCCTTATTGAATTCTTTCCAATCAATACAAAAAATATCAAAATCCAGCAGTTCTGAAAGTATTTCCTGTGAAATTAAACAACCCTCAACTGGCTTTGTTAAGAATAGAAATTCAACTCCGTCATTTTTTCCGTTCCTAATCCTTTCAGCAACCGCTTCTAGACCACTGTTTTCCATTTAGTCGAGCCTTCAAAGACGCAAGAGACTTATTCCAAAAACACTCAAAAAACTCTAGTTAAGCCAAAACTTAATCTATTCTCTTGCTTTATCTTAACTTATAAACAAACTTATTCTACAAGTTATTAATTCTTTTTTTTTTCCTTCACCCAAATGATAATCAACAAATAACTGGCGCCAAACGTAATTTTTGCCACATTCAAGACCGGTATACAATTCGTACAAGAATTTGTGCAAAATTTTTTTTCGTTGCATGCATGTATAATGTTGACACGTAATACAAAAAATTAAACAAATTGAAACAAATTAGTAATCGAAAGACAAAAACAGTCAATAATGAAACGGTTTTAAACAGCTATAGGAATCATAAAGCAAAGTTATTAAGAACTAATTACAAATAAAAGGAATTTCGCAATTCTAAAATCAAATTCCCTCTTAAAAATAGTTTTCTTCTTCAAAATTTAAACCAAGTGGAAAATTAAATTTATTCTGACTAGTATCGGAGTTATATGTTGATAGTTGCTTTTTAGCATCGTCTTCAGATTCATCCGCTGATTAAAAATAATAAAAAGTTATATATTCGAAATAATAAAATTCAAAAGTTTTTCCCATTTGAAAAAAGAAAATCTGCTAGCATCTGTTGATTGTTTATTTGAGAGAATTTACATTCGTTTACCTTTTTCCCTCCTGATAAAACCCAAATTCGATCACAAGACTTTAATGATTTGTAGTTGTGAGCCACAATGAAAACTATACAATGTTTCATAAACTTGGATACGATTTCTTCTACGGAAAGGTACTGACTATCTGAAGTATTGTTCAATGATTTTTCGTTTGAAGAATTCATGGATAAGTAACTATTACTACTGTTCTGATTTTGTAAGTTTCCAGAAAGTTCTTCTGGAGGCTCATCTACCAGAATAATCTTGTACTTGAATCTGTGAATAATCAGTCTAGCAAGAGCAAGTTGTCTTAAATGTTTTTGGGTAAATTTACAGTCTTTATTGGAATTAGAACCTCGTCTTTCTGAGATATCTCCTGCAGTATTTCTTAATACTGTCTCTAATGGATTGGAACTATTTAGAGAACGGAGTGTATTCTCCAGTCCACAAGCATTTATTCCATCCCAAATAAGCTGATCATTGTGAATCTCCTCAAAAGGATCTAAAAACTTCCTGATTGTCCATCCATCAAAGCCTATCGAATTTTGAGGCAATACACCAATGTATTCGTTTTTATTTTGCCTCATTCTTTTATTGAATAACCAAGTTCCATCCAGGAATAGTAGACTAGTATTTATTGGAGTAAGACCCAATAAAGAATTTAAAAAAGTTGTTTTCCCACTCCCTGTCCTTCCAATAATACCTATACATTCCCCATATTTGATATACTCGTTCTTAAGTTCGATTCCTAAAGACTGGCCTCCATACTCAACTCTTAGCTCGTGAATATAAAGGCCCTTGAATGCATTTTGAGGAGATATATTGTTGGATTTTATGTAATCCCTGTATTTAGATTCATGAAGCTGTTCATTAAATTCCTTCTCTTTTGAACCTGTTAAATCCTTAAGTAGTACCGAAATTCTTTCAACAGCACACATGGACTTCTCAACAGTAGTGAACATATTAAAAGAATCATTAACCAGAGGAGCGTAAGACATTGCATAAACCAGGGCAAGACCCCATGATCCTGCAGTTATCTTAATTATACTGAATGATGCGAAATATGATGTGCTTATATTCAGGTAATTAAGCACAATTGGTACCAATGTGATACCTGCTGTAAATGGTAGCATTAAAAGTTGCATTCTGACACTAATCCATTGATCAGATCCTGATTTCATGAACTTAACCTTTTGGAGATCATCAATGTAATTGATATTCCTAGATAGAAATACATCTTCACATCTAAAAGCACGAATTATGGATCCTCCCATTAATGCCTGGGTATATATATTGCATACTGGTGTGTGTGCTGACAGGTTGGATCTAAAAAGCTCTCTAGCTGTATGTCTATAATACTGAAATAGCCAAAGCCATGCAAATAAACAAATTGGTGGGATCATTAACAAAAGCCATGGAAATACAAATACTATAAATCCACCTCTAATTATGATCTCCAGTACTATTGAAACAAAGCTACATATTTTGAACATTATCTTTCTGTCTATTGATATCATATCCAAACAAAATCTGTTAATTATCTGTCCAATGGTGTTTCTGTCAAAAAATTCTTGAGAAGTTGAAAGTAAACCTCTTAACATCTCGTTATGGATCTTCTTTGCAGCTCCCATACTTGCTAAGATCTGAGCTGCCTGTACAAGAAGGTGTGTTAGCATCCCAACTACAAATATTATAATTAATCCATACATATAGTTTCTATGAGATTCCAAAGTGTTTTTTGAACCTGGATTGCTGCCATAAAACTCTACATCACTCTTTAAATCTTTGCCATCTGAAGTAAATCCTGTCCACTCAACCAATAGAAAATCCTGGCTATTATCAAGGATGATACTTAACATAATTAGTGGGCAGATAATGAAAAAAAAGAGGAATATTCCCACCTTAGATAGGTACCAACCATATAAACTAAAGCTAATGGATCTTTGACCAGACTCTGATTGAACACAAACAATCTCTTCATTATAAAAATCCGAAGAAGTGTAGCTGGCTGCTTTGTTATTACTCTTTGTCAAACTTGTTTTTCTGTTCTCAATCTTGAAATTGGTGGTACCTCTTTCATCTATAAAGTTAATATTCTTCATTTTAGGTTTTTCATCATTTACTTGTTGACTAATCACATTTTTGTAATCAGACAGTTCGGAGCTCATCCCAGAGTATCTAAAGCTGTTTTCTCTCTCTTTGCCAATCTTCTTTAAAACATCATATTTGGACTGCTCTAGTGTGTTAAGGTTTGAACCACCCGATTCTGATTTTATGTTCCAAATGTTGATTTCAACCCCAAACTTTTCGTTAATTTCTTCCTGTGAAAGCTTTCCGTCCAAAAAACATAGCAGTACTGTTGGATTAATAACAATCACAGTTGAATAATTACCTCCTGTTAATAGACCATCATTTCTATTAAAAAGATTGTAGAAGATCCTCCTTCCAACATTAGGGTCTAGAGATACGAAGATATCATCAAACAAAAATAATTGAGTATCAAACCTACTCAAACTCCTGTCATGGCTGCAGTAAACACCATAGTGACTGTTTCTTACAAGATCAGCTTCATCCAAACGATTGTACTCATCAAAATCAGAAAAAAAACCATACAAAGCTCTAGCCAAGGTTAGTCTGGATCTTTGACCTCCAGACAATATGTGACCGCCATCATCTAAGACTCTTAAATCTCCTTCTTGCCACTGCATGAAATCCTCAATTAGTAAACAAGCTTCAACTACCCGGTTATATCTCTTCTCATTCCATGGTCTTTCAAACAATATTACTGATCTAACAGTACCAATTGGAATCCATGGATCTTCGCTGCAAAATCCTATTGTGTTATTTTGAGATCTAATAAATCTCAGGCCTTGTTTAAAGTTAACCTCTCCAAGTATTCCATATAGTAAAGTGCTTTTTCCAGATCCTGAGTTTCCAATTATTAAATGACAGGAATTTTTTTTAATTACCATTTTTGGAATCATTAATTTAAAGTCACTCTTCATTGTTCTAGACCTCTCATTCTCTGACTCTGAAACGTACTTTAGATCTTGAAGATAAACTAAAATAGATTTGTCTAATACAAAATCTGCAGTTTCTTGATCTTCATTTGGTTTGTATACTTGTATATCCAAATCAACCTCATTTTTTTCACTAGTTATATCATTTACCTCGAGCATATTTTTGCCATCAAAGGTAAGGATCTTTGAGATTAAAGGCGTTTCTTCATGTTTTTGTCGTCTCTCTACTTCACTTTCATTGGATATATCCGATTTACAGATATTAGTGTTGCTTTGGGAAAGGTAATCTTCTGCAAGCTTTTTGTTATCTGTATTAGAAGGAATGTGAGAGTAACCCAAGTGATTACTGAACCTTTTCAGTGATATCCAACCTTCAATTAACATGTTCAAAGAACTTGGAACTGTTCTAAGAATTCCTGCCACATAGTTAATTACATGAATCAGAGGGATAATGTTAGAAGCTTTTAAGTCAAAACCTTCTTGATGAAGGGAGGCTGAAGATAAATTGCCAGCTTTGTTTAGCATTCCTTTAGTATAGTAAACCATTATAGCAACAACAGAGCCAGAAATTGCCAATTTGAAGAACAAATATGACAAAGATGATAATGAAATTATTCTATATAAATAGCTAATTTCACTTTTTCTATCTCGGAGAACGATTTCTTCAGCAAATGGAGCCCATCCAAGTATCTTAATTGCTCTTACTTTACTTAAAACCTCATGAAGTTTTGCAAGACGTCTGTCACGCCAATACAATAATGGATCTTTGAGCAAAGCTGAGATAACATCCAATACAATCATAAAAATGATCATTGAGATCATTACAACAACTCCAGGAATCGCAGACTCACCGATATTTCTGTACATAAGTAAGGATGCAACAAAAATCCTGAATGGAAGTAGTATAAAGTGAATCAAAGCCATAATAAACTCCTCAATATCTTCAACATCTACCATTAACAAGTTGAATACATTGGTTGAAATATTATGCCTATCTTCAGATCCTTTTTTCTTGCCAGTATGATTTATGTCAATAATTTCCTCATTTTCATGAATTTTGTCATTCTGGCATTTAGGATTTTGGTTGGAAAAGTCATAGTCTATATCCAAGCAGACATCATCTGGAATTTCAAGATCATCTTCCTGAATCTTTGATTTTACAATTTCCTTACCATTTTGTAGTAAATTCTTTGCACAAGAATTACTTTCTATAAGTCTTTTGAAAATAGAAGTTTTTAAACATGTCTGTATTTTCAAAACCACTCTGGATTCCCAAAAATTGAATTGAGTTGAAATATATACGTGGGCAGCATGAAAGAATACCAGTAATAAGGCATGCCTAAATCCAACGCCTAAAGCTTGAACTTTTTCATTTTTAATTCCACTAATTTCAGCAGAATTCTCCATCTCCTTATACTGAATAAATCCACGAATAATCGAATTATTCAAATATAAACAAACCTCCCAAAGCACCTTAAGGACGATTATCATAATAAACTGACCATACAAACATTTCCAAAGGGCCCTAATAACCAATATCTTACGGTCAAAAGAAGATAAACTTTTTAGTCTTTCTTGCTCAACGGAGCTCTCAAACAAATTTGACCAGTAGTTAGTACTGTCAGACTCTGGTAAGTTTGGTAGGATTTTAGCTGGAAGAGGCTTTCTGGATCCCAAATATATCCATTTTGTGGCCCATGTAAACTGAAGATAAGAATATGCAAAACTTAAAAATGACTGATTATTTTTCTTATGTATAGGATTTTCTTTTGAATATGAAGATTCTATACTTTCCCCCCTCTGAAAACTTATTTTTTTGTGAAAATATGAATCACTTTGACTTTTTTCAAACATTGCAATATTACAGAATGCTTCGAAACTGTCAATGGAATTGCCTTAAAGCTTAAAAACAAGATTACCAACCAATTTTTTCTTCTTTCTCTGAATAATTTAATATTAGAAGTTCTCTACCTTAAAATTAGACTATAATCCTTATTAACTAAAAAAATATTTTCAAATATGGTTTCCCTGTTTTTAAAATTCACATCCAAAATCTTAAAATTAAATTAAATATCTTTCAGTTATAGTTATTACCAATTCCTTAACCTTTTTCTTTTCTCTTTGGTAATTTTTTTACTTTAATTCATTCCATAAATTTAAGGTTTGGGATTTGGGAGAAAAAGTGGGCGCCAATTGAGTGTATTGAATTTTTTAGATAATAGACATGGAAAAGATTCGATCTAACTATATTATAACTGGTTGTGTGGAGTTTAAATACCTACAATGTTTACAATTTCTGTAAACAAAGCTTCCTTTCTACCAAATTCTCTTGTAATATTCTCAACTCTTACTTTTTATTTTTTTTTGAAAAAAGATTTCTTAGAAATTTGAATTTTTTGCCAATTAAATAAATTTTTAAAGGCTGAATATTCCCGCCATGGTCATAAATTAGTAAGTAGACTTCGGATACTCTGTCAAGATTTAACTTAGGATATAAATGACTTAATTTCATGAATAATTTTAATAGAGTTAGGATCTGTTTCAAAGACTTCAGCTCTGGAAAGCCATGCTAAGATCTTTGATGAGATTTGGTTTAATGCTACACAATATGATGAGTATTTGCACTTGAGAATAATATTGAAGGTTAGCAGATATATAGATTTTCGGATAGCTAGGTCTTTGAAGAGATGATTATTTATTAAGTCTATGGATATGACAAATTCCAGTCCAGAATAGGTAATTTGTTCGATATTTGTATTGTTGGATGAGGTATTGAGGATGATTTGGTTAAATAGCTCTAATGAGGAGATAAAGAATATGTTTGGAATTTTCTCAAAATGTTCATGGTCTTCGGATTGAATAATTAGGTCCATGATATATTTGACTAGATGAGATGACCAAATTAAAGAATGTTTATCAAATAGATTTATAATGACTTTTTTGTTAGGACGAATTGTAGATTGAGTGTTACTTTGAGAATTTGCCATGTTTTTACATGCTGATATGAGGGAGTTTAGCACAAGGATTCTTGTATCCATTGGAATTCCATTGTTCATGTTGCACGAATAGATAATCATGTTTGCTGCAACTTTATCTGTTTTGTACTGGATTAACTTAGAAAGAATGATTAGTGCAAGTATATTCTGATCTTTTTCTCTCAATGATATCAATTTGTCAATAAGAGGGGAAATTAGGTGGTCATAATTAGAATTGTCTTTTTCAATGTCTTCTGCCAGCTCCTTTAGTAAGTTTAGTAGTTTTTCGGCTTTGTCCGGTATTTCTTTGGATTTCTTTTCGTCGGTGTAAAGGTTGATAAGGTCAAATGACTTGTTTACCAGCTTATTTTTTGGTTCTTCCTTTATTTGGATAGTATTTGGAACAGAAAGTTGGCCTTTTGAGACTTTTGATTGTATCCTCCTTGCATTTTTGGAAGTGACTTTGATTGAGGGTGCCTTATTCCAAAATTCGTCATCTTCATCCACAATATCCTTGGCTTTGTTTTCATCGAGCTCTTTTTCTTTCTGACTCAAGGTCATTTCTTTAATAGATTCAGTAACATTTCTTATTTGGGTTTCAAATACATTTGAAAAGATCTTAATAACAAAGAATTTTGTGGAGTTGTGTATGCAGGCTAAGAGATTGTTTATTTCTGGGTTAAGTAATTTAAGTTCGTCAAATTTTGGAATCTCATTTATTAAGTACCCACTATCAGCTTCATTATTTGATGGGAACAATTCATAAAGCAAATTAAAGTAAAATTCTCCCAGGTACATAGCACTGGACCGAATGACTGGGTCAATATTCTTAAGCCTGAACTGTATTCCTTCTGTGATATCCATATAAAATTCAAGTAGCATTCCTTTCAAACTTGAGAGACTATCCAAATTTAAATATATTAAGATAGAGATTGCTCGGACCATTACTACAGAAAGGGTTAGGGAATAAGTCATTGACTCTTGATAAGAATTCCATTGCTTGGCCAAGAATTGAGTTATCTCCTTGAGAAAACTCAAATATACCTTCGATTTACCTGATTTTTCTATTGAAATGAATTTTTCGAGTCGAATCTTTTCTAAATAATCAAAATGTTGTTGTGGTAAAATATATATTCCAAATTCCTCTTTCTTAACAATATTAAGCACACAAATATCCAGAAATACCAGGTATGTTCCCATGGAAAAGCTTTGTTTTTTGATCAAAAACATTTCACTCTTAAGAAATCCTTTGCTATCGCTCAAGCCTTCTTCAAGAACACAAAAGTCAATTATTGACCTAAAAAGAAAAAAGAAATTGTCATTTACAATATCTTCTAAATTGAACTCTTTGTCAAAATCACTGTCTCCCAGCTTAAGAATTACCACTCCTTCGCTAATTTCTAATCTTGAATTCTCTATTTCTTTGAAGAGTTGTTTAACAAAAGATCTAATCAAATTTTTATCGCCTTTGTTGATGTTTAATATGTTATCAAAAACACGATTCAAGTATAATTCTTTACTATTAAGAGTTTTATGATCTTTAAATACAAACTTATCGGTGATTATCGGCCATTCAATCATAATGCTGCATAGAATATTTTTGTATCCTCTTAAAAATAACCTGTTGAAAATAATTTGCAAAGCACTGTAGGCTGCCTTATTATTTGGTTCTATGTCATTTAAAATATGTAATACGCATAACCAGATATACTTATAGTAATTGGAGTCATGCAATTCCATTGGAATATACTTGTCAAGTATTCTAATATCCATATTATTTTTCAGACTTGGCTTCAAAGCCAGTACTGAGTTAATTGCAAGAGTAGGAATTTTAATAATAGCATTCAAAATTTCAATAATAAATGAATTACTCAGGTCTTGTAAACCAGAAAGCCCAGCATATTCAAAACAGTCCTTAATAATGTTTCCTTCTTTTATTAAATTAGCAAGCAACTCTAGCTCTGGAAAAAATATATTTTCTTCAAGAGATTTCCCAGTCTTTAAAAAAATGCTCTTTTTTGCGATATTTACTAGTCTGTTTACAAAAATGAGTAAAATAACAGGTTTAATATTATCCTTTATGTTAATTATTTCCCTCAACTTAATGTTAACATTTTCAACCTCAATTTCAAATACTGATTTTTTTAAAAACTGTTGATTAAATTCCTTTAAGCCTAAATAATTCAAATTTACGTTTTCAAGCTCATTCAATATTATCTTATCGTAATTTGGGGCGTTGTTTTTTTCCATTTTATTTCTTTATTTGACACGTCATTTATTGTTTTGCCGGTATATAATTATATTAATCATGCGAATATTTTTTTTGCTAAAAAAAACACAAATTTTTTCAATACCGGCGAAGTAATATATTAAAAAAATTAGGCCAATTAAATTAGAATAACATGTGGACAAATTAATGTATATTAATAAAGAAGGAGAGTTTTAGAAGAGATTAATTTTGTAGGTAGTACATTGGATAAAGGAAGAGCTAGAAGTAAGACTTTTTTTCAGCAGTTATTAATACTGTGAAATGGGAGTTACAGAGGGAAGATTAAAAGGAGAAACAGCGAAGAAGAATGAGAAGTGGAAACAATCTTCATTAAACAACTTTATGGGCTTAAGCAAAAGGAAGCTGGTGGAAAGTGAAGATGATTTTGATAATGAGGAACAATTAAGAGTAAAAGAACTTGAAAATAATATAGAGGCTGAGAAGGCGCAGGAAGATAAAATAAAGGAGTTGTTTTGTAGATACAAACTCAAGGTGGATAATTTAAAACGCGAAGATAAGGTAATTGAGGAAGATGTGGCGGAACTTAAGAAGGGACTTAGATGGGGATTAAGTTACTTAAAGTTGGAGGATTATAGAAGGGGTCAGAAAGATGCAATAGAGAAACTAGTATGTGAAAGGAAGGATGTGGTTTTAATACTTCCAACAGGAGGAGGAAAGTCACTGACTTATCAGCTACCGAGTTTATTGAGAGAGTACCAGAAACAAGTTAAAGTGATTCCTTCACTAAGTAAAGGAATGGTAACTGTAGTAGTAAGTCCTTTAATTGCTTTAATAGAGGACCAGATCAATTCTCTTAGAAAATGGGGGGTAAAATCAAATGGGCTTAGTTCAACAATCATTCAAAAAAGTGATCCTTCCCAGAGCATAAACAATGCATTAGAAGAATTATATGCAGATTTGGAGAAAAAGATACCAACAAACAGTATTATATATGTGACACCTGAGAGCTTTGGGACAGAAAAAGTACTTGGATGCCTTTATAAATTGTATATGAACGGCAACTTATATTGCTTTGCAATAGACGAAGCCCATTGCATAAGTGAGTGGGGCCACGATTTCAGAACTGCTTACAGACGGCTTAATCAAATAAAAAACATCTTTTCAGATGTTCCTATTTTAGCATGCACTGCCACAGCCTCACCAAAGGTACAACGGGATATCAAGACTGTATTGAATTTGAGAGATCCTTATATTTCCATTAATTCTTTCAATAGGCCAAATATTCACTATACTGCTTATAATATTGATACAAATGATTATTTGACAGATTTAAGCCTTGAAGAAATAATTTTGAATGGGGTTTTATATATGCAGGAATACTTTAAGAGATTAGATAGTAAAGAAACTCCCATAGGAATTGTATACGTGAATTCAAGAAAGTCCAGTGAACATCTTTCACAGTACTTATCTAACAAAGGAATCCCTAGCAAATCTTATCACGCAGGATTATCACTAAAAATTAGAACACAAATACAAAACGAGTGGCTTGAAAATAAGATTCATGTTTTGGTTGGGACTATTGCTTTTGGAATGGGAGTTCACAAACCAAATGTTCGTTTTGTGATTCATTCCTCAATTCCAGATAGTATTGATTCATATTATCAACAGAGCGGAAGAGCAGGAAGAGATTCTAAATTCTCAAAAGCTATGCTATTTTTTAGCAAAAAAGACATTACTTGCTTGAAATCTATAAAGAGAAAGTCTTTGCAGTACTTATTTATGAAATCCCAACAGAAAGCCCAACAGGCTTTTGAGAAGTTTCAAGATAACTTACAGTCTATTGTGGAATTTGCTCAGTGCAATAATTCGGAATATCAAGAAATTGATAGCTACTATGAAACAGACTATTACCCAGAGAATACTATTGATAATAATAATGTAAATAGATCTTCTATTAATCACATTTCTGGATTTAATTCTAATTTAAAACCACAAGATCCAAGTAATTATCAGATCAGAATCAATAAGTATGGACAATGTAGAAGGAAATTTCTTCTTGGCTATTTTGGCGAAAAACTTAGCAAAGAAAATTACTCTTGCTCTTATTATATGCCTTGCTGTGATGTTTGTGATTCCAAAGATAAAAAACAAGATAAACAAGAATCTTTCATGTCTTTTGTTTCGTCCAAGATCCACAGGAAAAATTCTCCTTCAAAGTTATTCAGCAAGGATGAATATATTAATAGTTTCAGAAATCAACCTTTTAAACAGGAGTTCTCTTTTGAATATGACCAAATACAAGAACTAGACTTTGATTGCATACAATCCAATAAAGCCGGACCTTCCAGCTTTTCTTCCGCATTTAAAAGTGCTAAATCTTTTCTAAAAGTTGAATACAAAGTTTCTAAAAACAGCTTCCAAAGTGCACTGAAAATGAATAACCAGCTTAAAAGTAAAGGTTTATCTTATCTGGAAAGGCTTGAAGCTTTGGAGGAACAAGAAGCAAAAAGTGAAGAAAAGTCAAGTACTCTTAGTAGCAAATTTAATATTATTAGAAATTCATTAAAAAAAAAAAGGAATTAGGTATAACTGAAATACACTCAATCATTTTAATTATATGTTATAGAAACAAATATATAAGTAAAATAATCGTACAGTATATTTGGGATTTTTCCATCTTTGTGATAAATTAACTAAAAAAACCCTCATTTAAAAACTTTGTATATCTCTCTAAAAAAAAAGTAAAAATATCAAAAAGTGACTTTCGCGGCCAAATTACTTCACTTATGAGTTGGTTCTCAACATAAATTCTATAACTGTATTAAATTCAAAATCTCTAATCCTACTCTAGTCTATCCGTATATATCCTTATCTCCAATACAAAATTAAGTATATTTTAACATGATTAGCATTTAAATAGCAAATGTCCAAATATACCATTTAATGCGCTTAATAGATTTCTCAATCAAATTCGAAATCTCACGAAGATAATCTGTTCTTCTAAGAACTTCCAGCATGCTTAAATGTACATGATCATAATTAAAATTAAGCAAGATTAAAGAAAATTCTCAGCCAGGTATATAGTTACATTATTTCCCTTAGCTGAGTGTATATATTTCAACATAGCCACTTAATATTATTAGTAAAAAGGTCAAAATTAAACATCCATTAGTTGAAATTTGCTTCGAAGTTCAGCTTTAAAACGCAAGTATATGTATTCCAAGTAATCATTTGCTCTTTTGGGTTTTCTCTTATTGATACAAAAAAAAACACCCTCATTCAGTCACCTTGAAGGTTTGATCCTTCTTTGTATTATTCTAGTTATTCAATGAATTTAAATCTTTCTGATATAATCCTCATTCATTTGTTAATTATTGCTAATGCACCTCCTAGTTGTTGGTCTCATTTCCAGTCACGAACCTTCCCGCCTTTCCACATAGAAAAGTGCATGTGCAAAAACCTCGTGCAAAAATTTCATGCAAAAACCGGTAAAAAGTTGTTGGCAATGGATTTTTTTTTTGCAAAATTAAGGGCTGAATTAGTCAAATTTTAAATTTTGAATTAAAGAGTCAAAGAAGATGAAGTATTTAGTTAAAAATAAAATATTGAAGCATTAAGGCTTAGGTTTAATTTCAATACCCATACATATCTCTACAAACATGGCCAACTTGGAGAAATAAAGAGTTAAAATGTTAAGTTTTCAATGACTGAGAAAGAGGGGGAACTTAGTGCTCCAGTTCGCCTAGTTGAGTATATTTAAGCTTGGGTAAAATATTGAATTATTTATTTTTTTATTGCAATTGCATCAGACAAAGATGGAAAATTGTCAAGGCCAATTCCCTTGGCTTCCTGGTCATTGCTTCTGAGTATTTGTCCTTTACTTTTATGGCTTCCTATCTGATTAACATGACCATTACTGCCACCAGTACCATTAAGATTGCCACCAGAATGTTTTCCATGATTATTGAAGTTAAAGTGGGATTGTTCATTTCCAATTGTGCGTTTTACGCGAAAGTGGTTATTTTCATACCCATTATACTTTCCCTGGATAAAACTACCATGATCCCCTCCTACGTTTCCAGCAGGATTCATTTGCTTAGAAGTTCGTCTTCTGTGGTGGTCACTAACCCCAGTTTTGGCCTCCAGGCATTGTGGTCCATTATTACCTTCAGCATTGTTAAAAGCTTTGGATTTATCGTTGTTCGCATTAGATTGGTATTCATTATGCTCAAAGTTCTTTTTGTTAGCAGAAGTCCCATTACTATTTGATGACTTTTTACCGTTCCTTTGGCCTTTTGACTTGTTTCCAGAACTTACAAAGGATTTAAAAATCTTTCCAAATGCTTGTTGTTTACCTGGGAGCTCATTTACTGTTAGCTCTGACGAATTTTCTTGGAGTTTCTTGCAACTTTGGTTCTGGTTATTTTCATTTAAAACAGCATGAGAGGAATCATTTGTCGGTTCTCCGGCTCCAAATGGGTAGTCTTTTGCATGCCTTTCAGACGGAAAGGACTCAGGATTTTCTTTTTTGTAATTCGGGTCTTGTTTAGAGCTATTGGTGGAGCATGCTTCTGCAAGCTCATTTTGGTCTATTTCAGCATGCTTTGGAATTGAGTCATTTCCGAGAAGTTGGGAGACAGCTCCCGTTTTTGATCCTACCTTTGTTACAAAGTTTGGATTTTCTGGATTACCTCCATTTCCAGAAAGCTTTAAATGGTTATTCTTTTTAGAGTTTTGGTTGGTTTTAGTACCTGCACGACTACCACTGGAGCCGTTATTCTTTCGATTATTGAACTTAAATCTCTGGTTTCCAGTATTATTACTATTTGCAGGATTACTTACCCAAAAATTTTGGCCCTGGTTCACTAAGTTTTCAGGTACAGCAGAAGTATTACCTACTCCTCCGGCTGAAATCAAAGTACCTGCATTATTAAATGCAAAGTTTCCAACAGGAAATCTATGGCTTCCTATGAACCCAAAAGAATCTTCCCCGATATATTGAGTATTTTGGTAGTAGCCAGTAGGGAATACTGCTGGTATTCGGGGAAGGTTATGTTGGCCGTTGAACTTATTAGTCTCGGAATCTAATTTAGGATTTGATGGACCTGATTCAAAATTCACAGGATTTCCTTGACCAGATCCGGAAATCCCAATATCCATTTGGTGTTGATATTGTAATTGTGGATTCCCATGAATAAAGACGTGGGGGGGGTGAGAACCAGGATGTGGCACACCTATATACTGCAAATTGACCGGCTGGACCTCAGGCAACCCAGAGACTCCGTAGTAAAAGGGAGTTATTCCGTGAATCAATGTAGTAGCTCCTTGAGGAATTCCTCTTATAACTGAGTTAATTCCATCAATTACTGGAGAGACTACACAGTTATCAACTTCGCTTGCTGCCAAAACACTGGAGATGGTCTCTCGGCTATTTCTTCTATTACTACTATTATTTGGAGATAAGTTTCGTGCATCAGAGTCACTAAACTCGGAGGTCCTGGAACCCCTTCTCTTTTGTTCATGTCTCTTAGGGGAATTGGAATTTGAACGTGGGTAATCCGCTTCGGTAGACTCTGGTGCATCAGTCTTGCATATATTTGGTGAATTAATCTCCATTATTGGAGAAGAAGGTGTTGAAGCAGGTAAGGTTCCCGGCATCGTAGTTCCAGGAACTACTACTATTGGCGCAATCACGCCACCATTTGGAGCTCCAAGTATCGATCCATATATATTTAAATGGTTTGTAGGATTTGGAACTTCAATAGCTCTTCCTATACCTCTATGATATTGATACATCATTGGAACTGGTGTGGCCATATGCTCGTGATTCTGACTGCTCAGACTATCCATAGCTTTTTGTGGCTCACTAACTGCGCCTTGAGGTGGTTGTTGATTCTCTAAGCCAGCTCCGTTTATTTGAGGGTGTGATTGAATGAACTTATTGTTGGAATATCCCGAAATATTCATCATATATCCCATCTTGGGGCTAACACCTCCCATTACAACTCCTTTATGTGAAGGAAGACCATCTGCAGTGGCTTCTTCAACTCCTATTAGGCAGTTTCCGGTATTTAAACCTCCAAGCTCATTACCTGATATAATTGGAGGTCTATTGGGAAGAGAAGCATGTAAAGTTGCCACCATTGGAGCGATTCCAGTGCTTACTTCAGATCCAGAAATTTGCAAGTTGTTCATTCTGTTGCTTAAATATTGGGGGCTCTTGCTCATTGATAATACAGACAAAAGACTAGCAATGGGGTGTTCAGATTTGATTCCGACTTTTATTGGAGAGCTGTTGTGGTCTCTGAGTTTTTGACTACGCAACCATAAGGCAACCTTTGTGGTTAAATCTTCAGTTTTAAGTGTAATAAACCAGGTACCATGCACTTCTTTTCGGAAATCAACAACCAATTTTCTTACAGCTTCTGTACTATTTTCGGCAGTCTTATCGTTAGAAGCGGCTTCTAATGAATAGAAATGGGGGCATTTTTTCAGAAGGTCAAAAATTTCATCCTCAATTACATCGTTCTCGAGGTCACGTAAAATCAAAGTTGTACGCTCAGCTTTGAAAATTGGCTTGATAAAAATATCTTTTTCACGCCCAGTTTCTAGAAACTCCATTATCAATTTTGAAGCATCAAGCAAATTATTCATTAATTCATCCTCGTCAAGCTTCTTGTTCTCATTTGAATGGAAAACATCCAGATCTATTTCATTTCCTTCCTCCGAATATACAGAAATATTAAAAATATTGGATATTCCAGCTCCGAGGCAAATTGCAAGCATTAGTTCTTTTTTACCAGAGCTAGGATCTTTTCCAAGCAAGCTTGAGCTAATTTCCTTTAATTCTTCCAAGTTTGAGACTGAATCCAAAGAAAATCCAAGTATGTCCTTGTTGAAGCATTCTTGTATTACCGCATTGTCTAATATATGTTTTCTGCTCAAAAGTGTTTCGAGATTAGTCTTAATAATGTCCAGGCTTTTCTTTTCAAATCCACATATATTGTTGACTACTTTTTGACCAGACATCGTTTTGAATAATATTGAAAAATCCAAAGGTTGAAGTGGATTAACCTTATTTTTATATACTGAAAAAGTAAAGAGTCAAATTTTAATGTGTGAATTTCTTTACTTTTATATTTATTAATTGTATGGATTTTTAATTTATGATATTAAAATATTATTAACGGTAATGATATTTTTCCTTTTTCAAGCAGGAACTCTAGTTCAAAGAATTACTTGGTGACTTTCGGTTTAATAAATGAGTGCTTTCAAATTAAATATGGCCAAAATTCGAGAATTTATTGGAATAACAGAAAACCAAGTTTTTTCCAATTACAATAAGTGTATTATTCAGTATGTTTTTCTAAACCAAACAAATTTAACAAGAATAACTGGGCTTTAACACAAACAATACAGCCAAAATGAAAAGTAATCCTTTGGGTCTTCTCCTATTAATAGCTTAAACCCTTCGCTCTATACTGAATTATACGGTAAAGGGGCCAAAAAAAAAAAAAATAAAAGCAACAAATCCGTGAAAGAGATCTATTTTTCAGTTATATCTTTCACTTTATTTTCAATAATCAACAAAAAAATGTAAATTGAAACTATATATCGAAGCACACAGAGCTTCTTAATCTTTCTCACTCAACTCTTTCACACTAGAAACTATTTGGAGGAATGGGAAATCAATATAGTTTCAATATAAGCTGGTTAATCACAAGAAAAAATTCACTGAGTATAATTTAATCTAAATAACCAGTATAATTCCTTGTTAAGTACAAATTTTAATATGTTGTATGGTGTTCGAATTTAAGAAAGAGGGTGACTGAGAAAGAGAAAAATATATAATATATATATATTTTTCGTCTTAAGAACAGTTCCAATTATATCAAAAATCCATTAATCTTCCTTTAAAAGCTCCTCAATGAACGGTATATAAAATCAGTATCAGCCTCTAAAAAAAACTATTTAAAGGTGATTCTTAATTCGAGTTGTAAGAAGTAGTACTAGTAATTGATAATGCTCAGTTACAAGTGGGGTATGCTCCGTTTTAGATACCTGAAAAAAACCAGCAAAAACTTCATATATTTCTAAAAAAAGCTCCAATTTAAAAAAGGAAAAATCGAGCCTTTCTTGGAATATCTCGAAATCTATGCAAGAATTATATCCAAACACTTTTGTATGCAGTGATCAAACACTTGCAAATTTTTCAATGTCTGAGAGCAAGACTCCCTCCACTCTTCGAAAGTCCAAAATAAGCTGTGCACAGCTCTTCCTATAAAGTGGTACTATTAATACTCCTCTTATTATTTTTCCTGGCAACACAACTCTTTCTATTGTTAATAAAAATTATTATTTTTAGAGACGTGTTTGGGAACTAGGCGGGAAATTACTTGCAATTTTTAAAAACCTCGTGTATTTATTGCTTGCATAGAGAGAGGATTACCTTTGGCAACTTCTAATTCAATGTTTCAACTATTTAATGCTGAAAATGATCAGATAAATTATGTGGGGATCATTCAGAAAAGTTTTTTCTGCTTTATTTCCAGATATTGTCCTATTAAATGAATGGATTATCCCGCATAATGTAAGTGTTTGAATTGAAAGTTTTACTCGTAAAATTCCAGATTAAAGAAAAAATACATTCAAGTAAATAATGAAATAAATAGCTTATTAGTCATATTTATGGAACCAGAAACATCAAATTTACACTATTAAAGTACAATTAATAAAGTTAATTAAAACTAGTTATAATTTGGTGCGCATAATAATATATGAATATATTATATATATATGATATACAGTATGTAAGTTTATGAATATATTTATGCATGCATGCATGCATATACGTATTAAACATTGGAATTTTTATAAAAGTACATGAGAACTGGATTTAAAGTACCGGCTGCCAAAATAATATATTTAAGACTACAAAACCAAGTTTGATGAATTATTTTTAGTTGAAATTAAAAAGTATTCAAAAATATTACGGATTAAATATTCTCGTTCAATTCCCATTTTATTCAACAAAAGGAGATACTTGAGAATCCAGGACTTTAAATTTGTCTTCTAGAGCGGAATTTAGGATTTCAACCACTTTGAAAAGAAATTCAGAATTTGGAGAAGGATCTGAAGCAAGTTCCAAAGTAAAGTCTTTTAGTTCCTTGTGTCTTTTCTGATCAAATAAATAGCTGTCATCCCAGTTTAAACCTAAGTTGTTTTGGTCAAAGTGCTCAATAAAATCTGAATCTTCTTGAAAAGTTTGGACATTGTCACATGAATAAATGTTATCTTCTTCAAAACCCACTGAAAAAGTGGGGTGAGTTGTATCTGATTGAAAATAATAATTATCTATTAAAGGATCCAGAATAAATTCTTCACCCAAGTATTCATTAATAGAAGACTCTAAAAGATTCATTTATAAAGTCTTTGCTATACAGACAAAAATTGGTAGGTAAAATGAAGGTGATGTAAGGAATTTAATTAAGATCTGTTAAACAAATAGGTTGCAAAACTTTAATTTTAATGTATAAAAATATACCAGAAAATCTATACAGTTCTTAAAAAAAAAAAAAAAAAAAGTGAGTCTTGAATATAATATATCCAGTTTTCCATAGGATGGTTAATATTATTAATCTTACTCAGATAATAAACTATGTGATGGTATTTTTTGATATAACATAATCAATCAACACAAATATATATTTATATTACTTTTGGATCTTTTTTTCTTTATTAATTCAAACTAATTCATAAAATTTAATTTTCTTCCTATTCTTACTGTTCCACTCTAAGAATTACTACTATAATTGATTATCTCTCTACCAAGAAAATATTTAAAGTCCTGGTAATATTGAAAATTTATTGTAAATGTAGGGGGGGTTGAAAGAGGGGGAAAAGCTTGAAATTTATAAATAATAAGTAATTTCTGGATAAATATAAAAATTTGACATTAAATATTCCAATTTGGGAGAGGGGTAACGGAAACAAAGTTTTATACTAAATAATTAAATCAAGTTCGCGCTTATTTAACATCATTAAAATATGGCGCCAATATATTTCAAAAATAAATATGGACAGGTAATTAATATAATTCATTAATTTAATAAATTCAGGAAAAATTGAAAGAAAGATTTAAAGTTTCTACGTTGTTGCTATTATTTAGCAATAGCTAAGCCTGAGAGGAGCCATTATGACCCATTATAATAATGAAAATGCGACGATAGCTTCCAAGAAGGGAGTCATATATGAAGTTTGGCAAAATAATATTAATGAGGCATTTCAAATGATCTCAGAAATCATGGATGATTTTCCATATGTCGCGATAGATACAGAGTTCCCAGGCGTAGTGGTACGTCCTACAAATAACTATTATGAATATTATTACCAGACTGTCCGGTTTAATGTGGATTTGCTTAAAGTCATTCAAATAGGCTTAAGCTTTAGAAATAAATATGGTCAGGCACCTACAAATATTTGCTCAACTTTTCAGTTTAACTTTAAATTTGATATGGAATATGATATTTATTCTCAAGAATCAATTCAATTTCTTCGTCATTCTGGTATCGAATTTGACAAACACCTTAATAATGGAATCGATTTTTTGTGTTTTGGTGAACACATGTATGGAAGTGGACTTGTTCTCAACCCCAAAGTTAAATGGATTAGCTTTCATGGATGCTATGATTTTGCTTACCTTGTAAAGATCCTAAGTTCTCAACCTCTACCAGAAACTGAAACAAACTTTATAGAACTTGTTAAAGCACTTTTCCCAACACTTTATGACCTTAAATTTATACTGAAGCAACTTTCCAACCTTAGTCACCTTTCCTCGTTACAAAAACTCTCTGAACATCTTAAAATTCAAAGAATTGGAATTGCTCATCAAGCCGGTTCTGATGCACTTGTTACATGTTGTACATTCTTCAAATTATTCAAACTTCATCTTAATTCCCACGTTGATGATACCCTCTTTAATGGACAAATTTATGGCTTTGGCCTTTCTCCTCCAACTGCTGTTAAATAAGCCAATCTTTAAATTTTTATCATTCATATTTTTCAGAAAAAAAAACCCGCCAAAAATTGGTGGGTAATACATATATCAGGTCTTGACACTGTCTGTTGAGAAATTTATTTTATGTTGGGGGGGGAGGGGAAGGTATTTAGATTGAAAAAAAAGTTTAAAAAAGTTAAGAGAACAAAACTTTAATCATTTTTTTAATTATTTTTTTGTAATTTTAGTTAACAGATGTAAAACTACAACGATTGTCAAGACACCATCTTAATCATCCGAGCTATTGTTTATTATCTTACGGCTTTTTTTTTTAATTAAAGAATAATTTGATATCTAAGAAAAGAATAAGTAAAATAATAGGTGAAAGCCTAAAATAAATATGTTTATGGTATATCCTATAAGCAATTGGTTATGTTAAGAAACAAACTAATGTGAAAATAATTGTTTCTTATTTTATAAAATTATTATATTTTGCTTCATTTTGTTTTACTGCCAAGGAGTAAATACATTCAGTATTTTTAGAAGAAATAATTCTTTTGGTTTTCTAACAAAAGAGAAACAAGAGTCTTGAGGGCTGAAATATTTAACGAAGAAGAAGAGAATGGTTGTGGAAACATAAGTATAACAAGCAACAGCTATCCAAACACGAGCTGCTGCATATAGATCGCTGAAGCCATAGCTGCTTATTAATTCACTTTGGCCTGAAGGCGAGGTTGGTATTAGGTATAGATCTAGTAGTTCTCGATTGCTTACGCCTTGTAGTGTTGAAATATAAGTCGAACTAAGTTTTCTTTGATGTATTACTTTTCCATCATTTTCTTTATCTTGCTTACTTAATCTATTCGTTAATAAACTTCTAGTCTCCTTTTCCAACTCCCCAATAATTTCAGTATCTCCTGTAGACATAAGATAATTTTTTAGCATTTCCCTGGTACAAGGATTTGTTCCAGATTTAAGTTCCTGTGAATACTTACAAATTTCAGACGAGCCTGGTAAACATCTTAACTGTAAAAATGGGGATGAAACTAGTTGAGATGGATCATTACAATCCATGATCGAATTGATTGTGGTATTCTCACAGTTTGAAAAGTATAAACGACAGTTATCGACAATTATCTGAGTTGCTGAAGAATAAGAATGACTACATAGTCCTATGAGTATATATATTATCCCTGTCAAACATATTATACCATTGCAAATTGTACATAAAGCGACAACAAACGGAACATGCTTTACCAAAGCTCCAAGTATTGAAGCAAACTTACCCAAAGCCATGAAATCCGTTGTCCTGTAGTTTGCAAAACTATATAACAATCTAGAAAGCATATAACTAAAAGCTGATTTAATGGAATAAATACTTCCCAAAGATATAAATGCCGATGATAAGAGTGATACACTTGTTGGAGAACATGAAAATGTTCGGAAAACTCCACATTTCCTACCAGTGCAATTATTCATCTTTAATAAAAAAAACAATATGAAGCTAATTAATATGATCAACCCCGAAACCACACTTAACATTGAATAATACCATCCCATTCTATAACTATACCTCCTTCTGTTCCACTTGAACAAAAAATCATCTCTCTTTTTTTTTATTGACTTGAACATCCCAAATTTGTTTCTTTTCCAAATTGTTTTCCCCACTGCATGCATCCTCCTGCCACTCATTTAATAGATAATCACCCCGCGGGCGCGCAATTTTCTATTCAGAGAAAAAGGTGACCCGACAGGGATTCGAACCCTGAACCGTCTGATCTGGAGTCAGACGCTCTACCGTTGGAGCTACCAGGTCAAATACGAGGGGTGGGACTTTGTAACAAAGCAGATGCTTAACGGTAAAATAATAAAAGTTGAAATTTGAATTTTAAACTGATAAGAGAATTTATAATTACATCAATAAAAATGTACAAGATTGTGATATAAAAAAGGAAGAAAAATAACAGCACATACTAAAGACTTGTATTATATTGGCATTATAAATAAACTCAGCTCAAATAAAAAAAGAAACTATAATAAAATAAATAATTTACCTTTTACTTCATTTCTACAAAATTTAACTCCAAAGAAAAGTTGAATATAGCATTATGAAGAGAGTGAAAATAAATATATAGATTCAATTTGTAGTACTCTTTTGTGTTAAAATTCATTCACTCATCATTACTAGATGACTTATGGATTGACAACCTCTTTATACTTCCACTAGTTATAAATGGAGGTCTCCAAGCACCATCCAAATAAACAATTTCTCCTGAAATATATTCAGACTTTATCCCAACATTTATTACAGTTTCAGCAAATTCATTTGGAACACCAAATCTTCCCAATGGAATCGACTTTAATAAAGTAGAAGAAATTTTTTCACTCATTGAATGTTTTGACATCGGAGTATCAAAAATTCCCGGACTGATCGTAACTACTCTGATCCCTAGTGGACCTAATTCTCTTGCTAAAGGCAAAGTCAAGGAATTTATTGCTCCTTTGGAGGCAACATAACCCTGATTTTGAGCGGGTCCATCTCTTGCTGTACTACTTGACACCAAAACAAATACTCCTTTTTCAAATCCATGAGAATTTCCTTTGTTCATTGCCAAAAATGGAGCTAAGCAGTGAACTATATTCAAAGTGCCCATAACATTCACATTCATTACTTTTCCCCAAATTTCTGGAATATCTTCATTGTTCTCCATTATCTTCCCATTGTCATCCTTCTGTACTATTGGAGTCGGACAGTGAGTAATACCTGCACAGTGTACCACAATATCTATTTTAGAGTACTTGTTCATTATCGACTTGGCTGCGTTCTTAATGCATTTGTAGTCGGTTACATCTACACAGTACTTTTCACAATTACTCATTAGTTCCTCCTCAAAATCATCTTCTTTTAGTGCTGCGTCCATCAAACACACTTTTCTTGGATTTTCCTTTGCCAACTCATCCACAACTGCCTTACCTAATCCACTCATCCCACCTGTTACTACTATTACACTGTCCTCTATCTTCATTTATTTACTTCCTTTACAGTCTTTTCGCCTCTTAAATCTTCAATTTCCAATTAATTATAGCTTCAAACTTTTTTTTTCTCATGTAAAGTTTTATATTTGATAATATTTTAACATTTTAATTTTCCCGCCTAAACATATTGCAGAGCATGCTTACCCGCCTATTTTTGTATTATAAATAGTACAAAATTATTAATAATGGTCATTTTAAATGATTATATTGATTTTCTTTTTTCTAGTAATTAATGAAAAATTTGTCCAACTGCTTTTCTGTAGATTCTATTTATATAGAATATCTAACCATCATTGTTTGTTCTTCTATTTGCATGTAGCTTTATCTTTTTTTGTATTTGTTATAAAATTCAGAGCCCACTTTATTTTTTTTATACCCCCCTCTTATTCTGTATCAGCACAATGCCCCTCTCTAGACTTATCAAAAATCCAATTCAAAACCCCCCCCTTTTAATCTTTCTTAGCTTTAGCAAAAGCAATTGATTGAATTAATTCCTTTCTAATAATAATAGTGGTTAACCTTACTGGAAACTATCTTTATACTGTTATTATTGCCACTATAATCAGTCAAAAGAAATATAAATATCTGAATACTTTGTAAGGATGAGTAATGGAGCTCCGGAAAATTCTGAATCTTCGATCTCAAATACTAAGAAGATTACAAATCTTCTAAAAGAAATGAGTTTGGGAAATCTGATGAATACAGCAGCAAACGTAATTAAACCACATAAATTCTGGAATACCCAACCAGTTGTTCAGAATGATGATGATTCCTTGGATGATTATTCTTTTGGACCAATTGAAATTGAGCCTGACTCTTTCAGAAAGGAAATATACAAACTCCCTGATGGTTTTTCTTGGTTCGACTGCAACTTATGGGATATAGAGTCGCAAGATTTTGAAGATACCTACCAGTTATTAAAAAACCACTATGTTGAAGATGACGACTCGCAATTCAGATTTAATTACTCAAAGGAATTTCTTAGATGGGCTCTTTGTGTTCCTGGACAAAAAAAGAACTGGCTTGTTGGAGTTCGAGTTAATGAAACAAAGAAGATGGTAGGATTTATATCAGCAATCCCAATCAAAGTTAGAATCCATAATACAATCATGAGCACTTGCGTTGTTAATTTCCTTTGTGTTCATAAAAAGCTTAGATCTAAAAGGCTTGCTCCTGTACTTATTAAGGAAATTACCAGAAGAGTTAGATGCGAAAAAATGTTCCAGTCAATTTATACTTGTGGAAAAAACATTACTAAACCTTTTACTATAGGTACCTATTGGCATCGTGTAATTAATGTAAAGAGATTATTAAATACTGGTTTTATTGGTGTCCCAAAAAATATGACCATGAGTTCTTTAATTAAATATCATCGTATACCCAGTGATAAAAGACTAACAGGTTTTAGGCCCTCTGTGGATTCAGATGCAGATAATATCTTCAAGTTGATGGAAAGTTACTTTAAGAAATATAAAGATGTGAGTGATGAAACCATGGAAAATTTAGTTAATTTTGATGACATCAACCATTCAAAAGAGCTTGGAAAGCAAGCATACATTAAACTAGACAAAATTCAAGACCTTGAAAACAAAATTGTAATTCACCAATGCTTTAGTGTTGAAGATATCAAACACTACTTTACCAACATAGATAATGTTATTGTGACTTATGTTCGAGAAAATAAAAATAAAGAGATTACTGATTTGTTTAGCTTCTTTATTATAGAATCCACTGTTATTAATAATGAAAAGTTTCCAACAATCAAAATTGCATATTCATACTTTAATGTTGCAAATACCTGTTCAATAACAGAATTATTTAATGAAATGCTTATTACTGCCAAAGATAAGGATTGTGATGCTTTGAATGCACTGGATTTGATGCAAAACTCGCAAGTTCTTAAAGATCATAAATTTATTATAGGTACCGGTAGATTACGATATTATATATTTAACTGGAAAATACCTCAAATCTCACCTTCTAATGTTGGTATTGTATTATTTTAGATCTTTAATTAAATTATTAAAAATATTGATTTAAATTTTTCCTGATGAATTTCTTTATATTTGAGAATATACATATGAAACAAAGCTTGGTAGATTTACTTCAACCAATCCATTAGAATAAAGCCTTGTATATAGAAAATTAGAGAACTTGGCTTTCTTTACTTGGTCTGGAGTAATATAGAATTTACAAATGATTCTTTGCTCAAAAGAATTCTGAATCCTATAACCTGATCTACTGGTTGTGATTGTACAATCAATACCCAAAGTTGGAGTTAAAGTAATAAAAATTGTCCAGTTGTTCATTTGAGCAGTTCTTCTAAAGAAGTTCATCATAGTTTTTCTTTGTGACTCAAACAAATTGAAGATTTTTTCATCACTTCTGATTTTTATTATATTATTCATAATAAATATATTTAAAGGGAAGCATAGAAGTGGTAAGGTAATACTTTTTTTGATGATATCTGTTGTAATGTAATTTCCGTTTTTAATCATTGTCAAGTCATCTTCTCCTGTATAATAACCACTTATCATTGTGTTATATAAGATATTTTCCATTTGCCTCATTGTAGTATCTATATTGTTTCTAAAATATTTAATTAGCAAGTCAATCAGAGTTTTATCTTTATATCCCCAAAGTGTCATGTTTATAACAGACTTTTCTATAACATCTTCCCACTCACTTAATTGGTCCTTGTACCATTTCCTCTTTTCTCTAAGTTTTTCTTCAATTTCAAGTAAATGCTCTAAATAAGCTCTGTGCTTAAGTCTTTCCATCATATCATTTGTGATCCATATTAACAATGGAACAATAGAATCTTGGTAATTAATCATTGATTCCTCAACAACTTTTTTAAATTCCAACATAAATGATAACTGTTCATATTGTTTTTTATCATTCTCTTTTCGTTTAAACTGTTCTATATACTCATCAACAGTCTCAAGTAATTCAAAAAAAGTTCTAGCTGTAATTACAGGAGTTGTTAACAAACCTTTCTCAATAACTCTTCTTTTATCAGGTATTTCAAAATACCTAATAAAAAGTCCAAATTCGGACAATCCATTAGATTTTCTAATATTTGCTTCGAATCTAGGTAATAAAGATTGCGACATTCCAATTTTAGTAAGTGGACAAAACATCATGGAAGTATCCAATGGAGGTAAACATGTATTTTCTTCATCTCTCATTTCATCATAATTTTGTTCATCTAAATCGTAAAATTTGCTGTTTAATGGATTATTGGAATTTTCTCTTTCTATATTGCTAGTAATATTACTTACTCTAAAGTAGTTAGATATTTTGCTTTGACGAACATCATTATTAATTATCCATCTTGGGCTTATTCGAATTGAAACAAATACTCCTCCTCCATCTGAATTTGGAATTAAATTAACTCTTTTTACCATATCAATAAACTCTAAAGGAAAAAAAGGTATAGATAATTTGTCTCTCCTTGAAAAGAATTCAACAGAATTAATTACTGGATCCATTAAATTTAATCTCAGAAAATTCTTGTACTTTTGTATGCAATTAATCAAGACCATTATATCAACCAAATTTAAAACTACAAGATAATTATCTGAATGCAAAGAGTACTGAGAATTGTATGAAAGATAAGTCAAAGAAAGATCTGTAACATCTTTTTGTTCATTAGCCATTTCTGATAATTTTATGGTAATTGAATTGGTAAAGTTTGTTAATGGATTAATCCACAAAAATCCTTGAGAACTAGAAGTTTGATGCAAATACCCTGCTAGGTATATTTTAATAGAATGAGCTAAAAGCTGGATTGAAGACATTATTCTCATATCTGTAATTAAAGGAAAATAGAAATATGTACAGTAAGCATTAAATTGTTCCAATACTGGAAGTATTATTCCATAAAGAAGTAGTCTAATGAGTGGTTGTTGTATTGATTGGTCTTTTTGCTGTTTATAATCTAATAGAGGATTGAATGACGGAATTTCCATTAGGTTTACTAATTTGCATGCCTTGTATATTAGTCTTTCCAATATTTTTGGGAATTTTATATTGTTATTAATATTTTCAGCTATTCCAGCCATTAAAGCAACTTCAGCAAATTTGATCATGTTTAAATAATGTTTTGGCAGAGAATCGTCATTTGGGTCAATTTGTAAGTAATTAGCTAGGCAAGATGAATCTAAAACCAAAAGAATTTCCTTTGGGAATTTTGCAATTACTGATACCAAAGAAGTAGGGGTATATATATCCAATAAGTTTTGAACTAAACTTCTTAGATCTGAACCTCTTAATACTACTACACTCAAATAATAGAGAAATTTGGATTTTCCAGGCCAAAAAACATCATTAGTACTAAAAGCTGCTTGTAACTCCCTTTTACATAATATCTCGCCAATAATCTCTAACATGATCAAAGAATCATTTAATCCATGAAAATTCTTTGTTTCAAAAACTTCGACATATTCTATTTGAGGAGGAAATAATCCATGTACACAATTCAGAATAGAAATGAACTCCTCTCCAAAGGTGCATTCCAACATTAAGTTGATGATATACAAGGGTTGAGTTCTGAGGATTGTAAATATGTATTCTATCATAGACATATATTTAAGTATAAAGCTGTTGAAGTAATCGCCACAAATATTCTTAAAATAGTTATCCTCAATGAATATAAAGCTGTTTGAATTAGCTGACTGAATCATATTAACAAGTCTCCTCATTTGTACTTCAGCTAGAAAAATTAAGTATCTAAGTCTTTCTTCCTCTTCCTTCATTTTTTTGAAGTAATCAATATGAGAGGAAAATAGTACAACTAAATCCTCTTCCAACAAGGAAATTGAATCTTTTCTAGCACGAGGATCTTCCTTATACAGTAAACTCTGAACATATTCAAATGACTTTGCTTGCTTTGAGAAATGTACCGAATTACTTGTTAATTCTCCCATGAATTCTTCAAGTTCTTCAATTGTAGTAACCCCTTCATCCTTTGTATAATTTTTATTCTTTTCAGTTACTAACCCAAGAGTTGGTTCGCCTTTACCTATTGAATCTAATAAATTTTTTGCATCGTTCCACTTTTGTATAACTAAGGTAGGATCTTGAATGTACTTTTTATTTCCAATGTTTTGTTGTCCCAGTTTTCCTCCGGAAGTTTCTCCCCAAGATACAACCTCCCCTGAAGCCAATAGACAAACATGGTGTGTTGTACTTCCAGAAATTCCTATAGCATTTCCTGGCAATAATATCATTTCGGGTCTTCCAGTATGAGATTTATCATTGTATCCTAAGTCTGAATTGTTTTGACTATCCGAATTTTCAGGTCCCCAAACCCATAGAACCCCTGACTGAGTGATTGCATAGGAAACATCTCCAAAAGCATGGATTGAGTATATTTTTGGAACGCCTGATGGAGATTCTAATTTAGCAAAAATGTATGGTAAAAGGACGTCATTTTCAGATAGAACGCTTTCTCCTTTACCCCAAACCCATAAGTCTCCAACTGATGAAACAGCCATAGAGTGATAAGAACCAACAGCAATGTCGATAATTTGAACTCCTTTAATTGGGAACCTTATTTTAATAGGATTTGAATGGCTTTTTGTGTTGCTAGTTCCAAGACGGCCATAGTATCCAGCTCCCCAAGTTATAAGCTCTCCTGATGCTGTCAATACCAAAGTGTGTGAAGTTCCCAAAGCTACTTTAATGATTGGGGTCCCCAGATTCAAATGCCTGGGGGCTGCAATACAGGACTTCAATACATGATCTCCCAGTCCCAACTTTCCAAGATCTCCATCACCCCAGATCCAGAGGTCCCCTGAGCCAATTGTATCAAAATCTTTACTTTTAGTGGTAATGCATGCAGCAATGCATGCACTGTAAAGCTCTCCACCGGCCACATCTATTACATTTTTTAAAGTAACAATTCCAGTTGGTTCATATAAATTACGTATAACTCCAGTTCCTAACTGTCCTCTGTCGCCTCTTCCCCATGAAAAGCAATTACCTTTAATATCACAACAAAGACTATGCCATGACCCACATGCAATTCTTCTAATAGGCTCAGAAAACTTAATTTCTGTAGGTTCATTTAGGAAAGACTCATTTTTATCACCACTTTCAGATTTCCTCCTTCTTGTTTCTACTCCAAGTTGTCCATACTTATTGTCCCCCCATGCAAATATGGTTCCACCATAAACCAAGAGCAGAGTATGTGAAGCCCCGCAAGCAATTTGTCTAACAGACCAAGGAGGTACTTGAGAGCTTACTAAAGATCCAAGTCCTGAACTCCCTTTTGATTTATACATCCTATTTACCGAAAACAAACCCCCTTCAGATTTAGATTCGTAAGATAGTTTATCTCCTTTGTAATCAACAAGATTGAATCCCATATAGAAGATAGAGTCATCAACAAAAGCTTTACTTTGAAAGAATGGAAGTATTACTGGATCCTTACTATTCATCCTTTTATATAATTGTTCCTCACTTACATTCAATGCTTGTGATCTTTTTGCATTGACTAGTAATCTGTTATTCCACATATAAATATTATACCTAACATCCATAGCAAAAGATATATAAGGACCCGAATTAATGTGGCAAATAGATGAATCGAAAGCATCTATTTTCGTAGGAAGTAAAATGATTTCATGTTGTTTTGCCCCCCAAATATAAACTTCTCCGGACTGAGACAATGCCATTGAATTAAATGCTCCGAATGTTAGTTGTACAAAAGGAACGGAGCTAATTCCCTCGATTCTTCTTGGAATATTGCAATCTGACTGAGTACCATGTCCAAGTTTACCACTTCCGCCATTTCCCCAAGTGTAAATGTACCCAAAACTATCAATACATCCACTATGTGATTCTCCAGCAGCCACAAGTGTGATATGATATGGAAGCAAAGATTTGATTTGAGTAGGAACAGCTTTCATTCCATGAGATCCTCCAGTGCCAAGTCTTCCATTTGAATTACTTCCCCAAGCAAAAACTTGCCCATCTTCATTACAACACAATGAATGCCTAGCCCCTGCTGCTATATGTAATACCTTTTTATTTGTTGGCCCAGCCTCAATTTTGACTGGAGAATACACATCATTTAGTTCTCCAGTCCCTAAGCATCCATATTGGCCTATTCCCCATGCAAATACTAGTCCTGTTTCTGACAAAGCCAAACTGTGGTTTGCTCCACAAGAAATTCTACTTATCTTTGCATTAAATGGAAAGTTAACAATGCAAGGAACAGGAGTATACCAAGACTCATTCAAATCATTCTTATTATCCTCATTTCCAAATTCCGTATGGCCTCTAGTGTATCCTAATCTTCCTCTATCTCCAAGTCCCATTGTATATACTCTTCCAGATGCTTCAGCTATTCCTTTTACCAGTACAGCAGAATGAGAATAACCACAGCTGACTTGGAATACTTCCAATGCAGAGAAAAAGTTTACTCTCATGGGGAATTCAAATTCTCCATTTTCTATACCCTGCCCTAAAACATTATTTGTATTTATACCCCAAGAATAGAGCTGGCCTTTATTCTTGTACTTTGCTACTACAAAATAGTGATTCAGGCCTGAAGCTGCTCTCGTAAATGAATGACCACCTAATGAATCTCCCGCCTTAGTTTTAAATGCTTTCTTTTTAACTTCATTTTTGATGAAATCTGGGACATCTGGTAACTGACTTTGATCTTGTGTTGCGTACATTTCAATTATTTTTTACCTGTTTATTCTTATTTTTTTTCATCGAAACCAAAACTATAATTCCTTTTTATTAATTTTCCTGTTAGTTTCATAGGCTTGTTATTTTTATTTAAATGCTTTATTTACTTTAATAACCTTTAATAACTTTCCAATACCTTGCTTTTGTTGTATTATTTTACTATTTTTAATACTGCATTATTTACCCCTTCCTTTTATAACCTTCTCGTAATATCTATTTAATTCACTTATTTAGTACCTCACTATTCTATTGAATTCTATTGAAACTTATTTACTTTAATTTTTCTCAAAATTATTTTATGCTGTCCACATGCAGCTGTCCCCCCTGCATGCATTTATTGATCATTACATGCAAAAAAAATAGAGAATTAAAGTTGAAACAACGGTAATGAAATATCATTCAGTTTGATATCAATAACAAATTAAATTCACCAAAAATGATTAAATGTTATTTTAAATTTTAAAAACAAACAATTTATCTTATCTTGTTTATTGCTGAAATATAAATTTACTAATTCTCTATTTATTAAAGATTAAATGATTTCTCTTGTACTATATTTCTAGAATATTCAAAATAAGTGTTCTTTTGGCAACATCATGCATTATTTTATTTTAAATTAACAACAAGTCTGATCAAAATATGTACTCTTGATTGAGTTATATTAAGTCTACTTAAAATCTAGGTAAAATTATAGTATTAATAAGAGTTAGATAGAACCAAAATAATGAAAAAAAGGTATTTAGTGTGTGAGATAAGAAAACTGAGTTAATAAAAAAAGCTTATTATACTAGATGGGATTAAATTATAACCTTCAGTTTCTGCAATAATTTTTTAAAAAAAAAATCCCTCATACAAATAATCAATCCAGTTTTGACTGATAGAAAAGAATCTTATAAGCTCAAATTGAGTTTTATAAGAACTATTTTAAAAAACTAAACAGTATTTGGAGGGGAAATGTATATTTAATTTATTACTGAAAAAATTGTGTGCCGCCATGAATATATATTAATTAATATAATATTTGTAATATATAAATATTATTAAAAAAATAATTTAATTTTTCACGTCTATAACATAATTTATAAGAAATGAGGAGTCACGTTTTCTTCAAAGTATACCCAATAAGGTTGGTAAAAAATATAATTTAATTGAAATCTCAAATACAAAATTTATTGAGGCAAATCCTTAATATGACAGAAAGCACGAGTAATAACAGTAGTTGCAATTCCTCAAAAATTGCAGACTTTTTTGTAACTGAGTTTTACAGTCGTTTGAAAAAGGACCCCTCAACCCTATATGAGCTTTATCACGATTCTGGATACCTAACATGGGTCGGGAGTCGTTCTGAAATGATGGATGACTCTTTCAACTCACAGTCTGTGATCAGGGCAGAGACAAAGGAGAGAATTCGTTCTGCAATAAATCTCTTAGATTTGAGCAACTGTACAACGTATGTTGAAGTACTTGAATGTTCAAAATCTATCAACAATTCTTTGTGTATTACAGCTAAAGGAAGAATGTATATTGGAGAAGGAGAAAGCGTTGGAAGAGGTTTTGTTCAAAATTTCCTTTTGACTGAAATTCGTCCAAGGTGGTATTTTATTAGAAATGATTGTCTCATATTTATGGATTCTGAGCTACCTCTTAGACAGAGCCTCCAGACTACAGCTAAAATTGCAAGTAATGAATCTGGTATGGCTAAGAATAATGGAAAAAAATTACAAATTGATTCTGCTTTAGAAGCTAGTAAATCCCAGAAAGAACAATCCCATTTAATTAAGGCTCATTGTGTTGATGAACATAACAAAGAGGCTGAAAAACAGGCCACTAAACCCAGAGAGAATGATGAAAACAAAGATTCATCAGGAATAACAGTGGGTGCTCATGCGAATGCAAATTCCCATGATGATCCTCAGCAAAAGATATCCGGTTCTAATGCTGTTAATACTACTAATGCTAGTAAAACTCATGCTAATACTTCTGTTTCTACTTCCACCCCCACGAATAATAATGCTGCTACTAATAGTACATCGGCGTCATTATCCTCACCTTTGGATCAAGCAAATCATGCTGATTCTCTTAATGCAAAGAATAACGCTAATATTAACCGCTCCAGCCCACATAAATACGAAGTTACTAGTTATGCAGGGAAGCTTATGGTTGGGGCACTTAAGAATGGAAATAGAGTTAAGGGATATGCAATCCACGTTCCGACTGAAGATAAGAATAAGACTGCTTCACAAAATAGTTCATCAAAGAAACCAAGTACTCAAAAGGACCCAAAATCAATCAAGGATGCAAAAAATAAACGCAAAATCTTTGTGCACTCACTTCCTACAAATATATCTGATGATCAGATCAGAGAAGCTGTTTTGAATCAGCTCAAGGTACATGGAGGAGGATATGTAATTGACGTTGAGAGAGCCCGTGTTAGTGGAAAGCATTGGGGAATTATTGAGTTAGATTCAGAGTTCTCTTGTAAGACTCTTTTGAATAATGGTCTTTACCTTGGAGGGATGGAGATTTCTATTGAAAGGTGGAAACAAATCAATCAACCACAAAGTCAGGGCTTTGGGCAAAATTCTTCAAAGTTCAACAATAAGAATTCTAGCAGGCAAACAGGGAATAACTATCATCATAATTCTGGTAGCAATCCTAAACATTAGAAAAACCAAAAGAAAAAAAAAAGAAGGCAGCTTTTAATTAAAATCATATCTTACTATTCAAATTTTTATGTTACAGAGAAACTATATCATTAGCTATTAACATCTTTTATTGCATTATATTTCTTATTATTGAACTCAATGAAATCGTTTTTTTTTCTCTTCTCGCATTTTACCCACAATTTAATTGTTCTTCCGATTTTTTTCCCAAGAAGTGCGTTCCCGTAGGTACAAATCTAGGGATGTAATAAATAAGGTCAAGTTTGCGTGCAAATAGAGACAATTATTAAGGGGAAAAATTAAGTCTGATTACTTTTTTTTCTATTCAAAAACTGTCTTTCATTTACCTTTTTTTTTTCTCTATCTTTTGGAGGTCAGTAGACTCAATTCTGCATGCAGAGTTGCATGTGGTCATGTTGGGCGGGAAAAAAAAGGTCAAAATGCATTTTTTTTGCATAGCTTGTATGTAAAGCAATATAAATGCTTAATGGTTGAAAAAAAAGCAGTTAGGAAATTTTATAAATAAAGCTTGTTCATTTATTTAATTAATCAGAATTTTTAAATTGATGTAATAAAGGACAAAAAATAATAAATTAGAAATAAAAATGAAAGATTTAGATTTAAGTTTGATTGCTTCAAAATTAAGAAAGTTAAAAAATGAGTCAGAAAGCAAAGGAAATTTAAGCAAAGAATTACTCATTTCTATGAATGATGCAGTATTATTGAATTTTCTGAACGGTTATATGAATGAGGTAGAAGAAGATTCTGGAACTTACAGTAATAGAAAAAGTTTACTTTCTGTTAAATTGGTGAATGAGTTCTTGAATGCTGCAAAAAAGAGATTAACCATATCAGAGTATAGAATGGAAAAAGAGGATCCAAGATTTTTAATGAATGAGTTAAGACATGAAGTAGAGGAATGTCTAAAAATTACATCAAATTTTGTTTTCCGAGTTTCAAAAATTAATTATTATAGAGAATTGTTTTCGAGAGAGTTCCCCAATATATTAGGAGTTTTGATAAATATAGCAGGTTCAAGTTTACTAGATATTAAGTTGAGATGCCAAATTTTGCAAGCAACTCTGGAGTTAATGAAAAATCAAAGTGAAGATAAAATTTCTCAAAGTATTCACTTAAGAAAATGTTTATCCAAAGGTGAAGAGGATAAAATAATTAGAAGGTTATGGAAGTCTTTATGTCAACATAAGAAAATGTATTTCATTGATTTGTTTGATCAATCCAAGGAATTTGTTTTTTCGTCCTCTTTCAAACAAAACAAATATAATGACAACCCATCAATATTATTAATCACTTTAATACTTGAAATTTACTCAAATTTCTTGCATTTCCAGAGATATTTAACAGATAAGATATTAAAAAATATTTCCATTGAAATTTTATGTGGAAATTGTTTAGATGTAATATTTGATTTATCAATAACATCTAATCCAAAAATTGACTTTTTGAGTGGAATAATAATAAGATCATTGTTATTAGATTCAAATGAAAGACAATATGAATTAATCAATAAAAAAATTAAGAATAGTGGAGTTTTGTTGATATATTTGGCTCGGATTATATATGAAGGGTTCATTAAAAATGTGGGTCAAACAAATCTTGATAATTGTATATTATATGCTCAAATCATCTCAATATTATCACAATATGATTCAGAAATCTATGAATTTATTAAAAAGGTATTTCCTAAGAAATTTTTTAAGATATTTGATAATAGGTGGTTTAAGAAACAAGTTTTGATGGAAAATTATATCGAATCCGAAGGCCAGCTAAATGTGTTACCTTGGTTTCCAACAAGTTGTAGTTGGTATAATATAAGAACGAATGTATTAGCAAATGATTCACCAAGTTCTAGTCATAATTTTATCAATTTGAAGAATATCAAGTCTAAAATAATTAATTATAATTTTTCTGGCTTGGATAATATATTAAACCAGAACTTGCATCTTCTATTTAGTAGTATAATCCAAGAATCAAATACTAATGATATAATACAAATATGTTTGGAAAAATATCATCATATATATAATAATTCAAAGAATTTAATTAATAATTATTTTAATTTATTATTTAAAGATCAAAGCAGTTTCTATGATTTTGAGTATACAATAAGAAGGTATCCAGACTTTACCTGGTATATATTTTGGGATCTATGCCAAAATGATTATCAGGATCAACTTGATTTGATTTGGGATCAGACAGTTAAAAGTGAAATTATTTCAGTACTAATTAAAGAATATAACAAAACCATAATTGGAGGAAAACTTTCAAAATCTAGTGGATGGAATATTGTGCATTTTTTCCCTGAAATACCAAAGATTTCAAAAGAAATCCAAATTTCAGATTCAATATATTTTCGTTTACTAATTCCAACCCTGATTAAAATAAACCAAGTTTCTGGTTTATTTCATTTAGATATGGATAATAACAAACTATTTAGAGAAAATTCAAGTTTTTGTTTGAATCTACAGAGTCCAAAACTTATTAATATTGGAAATTTGTTTGGATACAACTTTTACTTGGCTTTTAAAAAGTTAAAATTTCAAAATAAAAGATATAAAATTGAGGATAATAAAATTAAAGAATCAAATGATTTTAAAGAAAAGTTTGGCAAATATTTTGAATTAATAAAAAATAAGGTAATTAATATTTTAAGTTATAATCAGAGTGAAATACGAAATGAGAATTATGGTGAATTAAATCTATATTCTCAGAAAACCGATGAAGGGATTACAATTCAAGATTTGGTAATAAACAACCATTTAAATGGCTGGGAAGTAATAGAATATAAATTTGGAAATTCCTTTGAGAAAAGTTACAATTATTTGAATGAAAAATTATTTAATAAAATCACATACTCTCAAATCCCATATTTAGAATGTATTGATAATGTTGAAAAAATAAGAGCATTAATAGAGAATTTATTTCAAAAATTGATTTCTGAAACATCATTAATATTAAAGAGTTATATGTTATATGGTTATATGTATTATATTGTAGTTTTTAACGAATATCTATTGGGAAGACAGATTGCTGGTCATTTACAATATTTAATATCACTATTAATATCAGGAAACCAGAGTGACCAATTTTACAGAAGTTTAGTAATATATATTTTACATATCATATTATCAATATATGATGAAGCAAGACAAGAATTTATAAAAGTTGGTGGATTTTTATTAATTAATGAGTTCCTGTTGTATTATCAAAAATCTTGGTCAGCATGTAAGCAATTAGGTATATATAATGATGAAAATATATTAAGAGAGATAAGAAAGGATTTAGAGAATAAAGAAAATATTGATTGGGAAAGATATGTTAATATATTTATTAATAGAGAAGGTCAGATAAGTAATTATAAGTTATTTGATGAAGAAATACAACAAGAATTATTAGTTGATGAAAATAGATTAATTGATAATGGGGATATAAATTTAGATCTTGATCATAAATATAAAGATCAAGAGTGTAAAGAGTTACAAGTTTTTATAATAGATATTCCAGAAATTAATGATTTTATTAAGGATGGAATGTTATTAAAGATTAACAAAAAATTGATTTTAGGAAAGATAAATTTAGAAGAAATGAGAAATATGAATCACAAACAATATATGAACATATGGATTACAATAATGAATGAGGATCAGTTGAGAATGTCAATAAGGGATTATTTGAATTTAAATGATCAGATAGAAAGTATTATATCGTATATACCAAGTGAGATTAATACAGATGAATGTTTTAATTCGATAAATTGTGCTACTCCTAACAATTATCAAAAAGTTGCAAAACAAATAGACGAGGATTTTAATTCAACTGGAAAAAAAATATCCATGAAAAGAAAAGAAGGATTGTTAAATAGGATGTATGATTACGATTTATTAAATTATCGAGAGTTGTTAATATGGTTGATAACTTTAAATAATTGTATAATACAATCAAAAATTTGGTTATCTAGAATTATTAAAGATGAATCATTTGAGGGGATAATTAAGATTATGATCAAGTTATTATTAAATAGAAATAAGATTCAAAGTTGTAATAATAATAGTAGATTTGAATTAAAGGAGAATTACCATATATATTGGATAAGTAAGATACTGATTCAAATATTAAAAGCAGACCTAGTATTAATATTAAAGATGATGGAACATAAAATTATTGAGATCTTAATTATGGTCATTTTTAGATTTGATAGTCATTATGAAACAAGTTTTGATTATATAAGAGATGAAGTAATTAAATTATTTAGATTATGTTTAATAGCATTGAATCAAATGAATAAAGATGATATATTTATTAAAGATCAAAGGATAAACAATAAAGAAAATAAGTTTAGATGTAATTCAAGTTGTAATGTAAAAGAAGGTTGTATTTATGGTGATATAATATGCTTGATATCTCATATCATGGAAGATTTGGGAGTAGAAAATAATATAGAGATTGAGGAATTTAGAATGATTCAAGTATTTGGAAATGGTATATATTATGCAAGTAAATACATTCCCGTGTCAATATTACAAATATTGAGAATAAATGATCATTTTGATTTAAAATTGGAGACAAATAATGATGGAATAGAACAGATTGATTATTTTAGAATATTAGAGTTTAAAAAATGTTTAGGATTATATAATATTAATCATGGAAATAAAGGTCAAATAGAAGGAATAAGAATAAAATGGGATCATTCAAGAAGAATTAATTTACTTATAAAGTTATCTAAAATTTTGTATTATCAAGCAATGGAAATAGATAACAATAATAATGATGATAATAATAATAATAATAATAATAATATTAACAATAATAATATTAATAATAATAATATTAATCATACTAAAAATTATCATGAATTTGTACCTATCATATCAGATGATTATATAGAGGATTTTATTAAAGCAAAAAATCAAAGCAAATTAATTAATAATGATTTGAATATATATGGGTATTATTTGAATAGTTTAAGTGAAAGATTGAGAGAAATTAAGAAAAAGAATTTTGATGATCAAATATCTATAATTGAAGTATCTAATGGTAATTATTGTGAAAATATAGAAAATTGGATACAAATTTCTAGAGAGAAATATTCTCAAGAATTAATAGAATTTATGGAATTTGATCAAGATAAAATGACTATAATATTTCAGAATCATTTTTATAATAAATTTAATCATAATTATGAAAATAATAATAAAATTAAGAATTTATTTATATATAAAAACTTATGGAATATATTACAATACCATTTATATATATATTTTAAATATTATTTATTATTGGAAACCAATTTTAATTACAGAGATAATCAAAATCATCATCTTGATTATATTTTACAAAATATAATCAAATTATTAGAATTACAAAGAGATTTATTTGTTATGGGAATATCATTTGTGAATGATAATAGAATAAGAATAATAAATCAAGAATTTAACATTAAAGAGAAACAGCAAAAGTTATTTAATCAATTAATTAATGTTTATTATCAGACAATAAATAATAATATAGAAGAAAATGTTATAATAATATTTTATTTGGATTTATGTAAAATAATAGGAGAGAAATATATATTAAACAACAATATTGATAATTATTGTAATTTTAGATATTATCAAATAAAAAAAATATATAATTTAAGTTTAAGTATTTTGAATTTGGTGGGAGAATACAATATATATTGTTTAAACAAATTAAAATTAAGTAATGATTTAATATTCAGATATGAAGATATAAATATTGAGAAAGAAATATTATTAAAAAATTTGATTAAAGAAGAAATAAAAGATTATTTAGAATTAAAAAATATGGATTTCATGAATAAAAATAATTTGATTTTGGAATTACTACTTAAATATGATAAAGTAATAGATTCATCAAATCAAGATAATTTAATGTTAAATTATCTATTATATAGATTATATCAAAAGATCAGGTACAATAATAGTAATAATAATAATAATAATAATAATAATAATATTGAAAATGCAATTAAAGATTTAGACATTTTTGATTTATTGGTGAAATATTTAATTAATATTGAAAAAGATTTGGATTTGGAAAAAGTAATAACTATAATCATCATTGAAATTATTAAAGAGTATATTAATTGTGATTTAAATTATATATTAAGAGGAATAAGGCTCGGATTAATGTCTAAATTATTAAATATATTATTAAGAAAACAAAGTATAAAAATTAATATGTATATAAAAAAACAAATATATGAAATCTTATTATTAATGTATAGAGGAAGGAATAATTGTATAAATAATACAAAAGATAATATTATTCAAGAAATATTTGAATCATTATTAACTCCACCAATATGTAAAATTATTGACATTGAAAATAATTATCAAGTATTTTTAACAATAATTAATAGTGAGATAATAACATATCAAATAATATGGACAAGAGGAATGTATAACCAATTATTAGAATGGACAAATAAAGATTTTATAATTAAAAATCAATCAGAAAATATGAGATTAATAGATTATAGAGAAAGATATTATAAGATTGTAAATAATGATTTAGGAGATCAAAGATATAATTTTTTAAAAGAAGATTATATTATGGGAATATATAAATCATTATATATATTAGGATATGAAAATAAAACTCATATTATTGATTTTAATATTATAATTAATATTGGAGAAATATTTGATAAAGTATTTAAAGATATATCAAAAATTATAGAATTTAATAAAGAAGAATTTTTTCAAATTCAAATTAATAATAATATTATTCATGATAATTTATATTTTCTATATAAATTAATAAAGAATTATGGATTTAAAAATTGTATAAATAATGAATTAAATATTATTCAAAAAATAAGAATAATGAATAATATAATGATTAAAAATCAGCAAAGTATAATATATTTTTTAGAAGAAATGAAAAATGATAATAAAGAAGAAGTTATTCAAGAAAATATAACAAGATATATTTGGGGAATATTAGAAGAGATCATGATTTATATAGAAAGAGGAATAATCAATCATCAAGATAAAAAAATAGAAAATACTATAAAGATTGAAATTAATAAAATTGTTATAAGAATGATAATATATATTCAAGAAAATTATTTATTAAAAAAACAAGAGAGAATATTAATAATTGAGGATTTAGATGAGGAGATTAAAGATGAAAAACAAAATAATTTGAAAATGGAAAAAGTTATTAAAATATTGAATAGATTAATTAAAATGTATAAATATAGAGGATTAAAAGATTTTATTGATTCAGAATATGAAGATTTGAGTATATTATTGGTAATTAATATAATGATTATAATATTTAAATATGAAAATATATTAAGTTATGATCATATTAATAATAATAACAATAATTTATTATTATTATTAAGAGAAATGATAAATAAATATGTTGATATTATGAAAGAGGAGATAATTAATTGTGGATATAATAATAAAAATAATGTGAAAGAATTAAAATTGGTGAATATAATAGAGATGATAATATATCCTTTGAGTAAACCTATTAGTAGAAAATTAAGGAGATTATTAACACAAGATAATCAAATGAATGGAGTTAATAGAATAATTACTCAAAAGATTGCATTGAAAATGATTAAAAATTTAATGAGTAAAGAAAAAAGTATTGTTGAAATAATTATGTCAACAAATAATGGGTTTACTTATAATAGTAATAATAATAATAATAATAATAATAATAATAATAATAGTAATAATAATAATTATCATCATCATCATCACCATAGAATTAATATTGGTAATAAATATAATTCATTATATTTTGAAAGATTAGAAGGAGAGAAAAAAATAGAAAATATTGATTTCTTAGAATGGTTTATAAGAGATCATAAAGAAATTATGTTTGAATGGAATGATTATATAAAAAATGGTATTTATATTAAAATGATTCAAATAAAAAATAGGATGAACAAATATTTGAAAAAATATGATATAAAATTAAATTATGAATTAATTAAAAGGATTATCAAGTATGAGAATTATATTAGTATGATAAGAGAATATAAGCAAGAATGTATTAATTTCAAAATTGGTAAAAAAATTAATCAAGAGATAGAAAAAAGAAAGATGAATTATAATCAAATAGATGATATTGAGCAAAATTATAAGGATTATATATTAAAATTGATATTAATTAGAGAAATTAATAATTTAACTATGTTATTATTAAAAGATCAATATAAGAAGATGATGATAGAGTTAATATTAATAAAAAAATTTAAAGATTTTTATAATTTAATAATGAAACAAAGTAATGATATTAATATTTATAATGATAATTATATTCATCTTAATAATAATAGATTGATAGAATATATTGGTATTTCAAATGAGGAATTTCAAGATAATCAAATAATGGATGAAAATTATCCAATATTAAATGAGGAAAAGAATGAAAGAATGGTAATAATGTTGAATAAATTTAAACAAAATGATAAGATTTATAGAATTGGAAATATGCATCCAAATTTGAGAGAATTATCATTGGTGGTAAGTAGTAATAATATTAATAATAAAAGTTTGTTATTATTCAAGAATGATTTAAATATTGATTTTAATAATAATGGTATAAGTAATAATAATAATAATAATAATAATAATAATAATAATAATAATGATTATTATTATTATATTTATAATAAGAGACAAGTATTAATGATAATAAAAGATATGATACAGATTCTTCTATTTAATGATACTAATACCAATACTAATACTAATACTAATATTGCTAATAATACCATCAACACCACTACTATTACTACTACTACTGTTGGTGGTGAACAGAGTAATAATAATATGATAATATTATCTAGATTAGTAGACAATATATTAACTAGATTGATATTATTTACAATAAAAAGTATTGGAAATAAGAGTAATATTATTCATGGAAAAATGACTGGTTATAATGGGATAAATTTGAGTATAGAATTAATTGGAGAGGTAATAATTGACATAATGTCATATGAGCAGACCAAAAATATTGGGAAATGTATAGATAAAGAGAGAAATAGTGTTATTGGTGAAGAAGAGGAAAAGAAGAAAGAGGAAGAAAAAGAAATATTTGAAAATATTGAATGGGTAATTAGTAAAATAAATGAAATAGAAGAAAAAGAATTAGTGGACGGTTTACTGTCATTATTTATATTAAAAATGAGTAGAAAGTATAAGATATTCATGTATGAGCAAATAGTAAAAGTGAAAGAAGAAAAAGAAAAAAACATTACTAATATCAGTAAGAAAGTTATTAAATACAATTCAAATGAATTGGTAATGTTTGAGAGTGAATTAAAGCAATTTTTAAAAGAGAGAATGAAAAATTTCAGAGGTGAAGAGTGGGGCGAGGAAGGGGAGGAGGAAGAGGAAGAGGAGGAAGAAGAAAAAGAAGAGGAAAAAGAGAAAGAAAAAGAAGAAGAGAAAAAAGAAGAAGAAAAAGAAGAAAAAGAAGAAGAGGAAAAAGAAGAAGAAAAAGAAGAAGAAGAAATGGTTGAAGTTGGAGTAGAAGTCACATTTGAAGAAGATTTAGACGGAGATGATCAGGGAATAGAAATAGTAATGGGGGAAGATCAGTACTATGATCCAATTACAAAGGCAATGATGATATGGGAGTATTAATTAGTAATAAGTAATAAAATATTTAAAAAACAAATTTTTGAGCCAATGAGATATATATATATATATATATATATAAAAGTTAAACAAAAATTAATAGAAAAATTTGGTTTATTTGCTTAATAACTGATTTAATTTGAGTTAAAATAAAGAGAAGTCATGAAGATGATATCTCTTGCAATATTTTCATGAATTAGGGAAAGTTTATCCTGAAGAATTTGGTCACCCATCACTTTGGATGCAATGATAAGTTTCCTAACAAGTTCATCAAGTCTTAGAATAGTTCTAACAATTGTACCTTCATGAAGATTCATTTCTGAATTATGTACAAATTCCATAATATCTTTAAGAGATTCTTTATTGGACCATTTATAAGCAATGAGCATAAATTTATCATTACATAAAGACCAAAAATGTTCAGTATCTAAATTGATTTGATGTTTATAATGAGTTTTTTCATAGTCAGTATGTATGTTAATAAGTTCATCATGAGCATTTAAAAGTTCAACTGAAGGAAGGGACGGTCTATCATTAAGAATGTTTAATTTTGGGTAATAATTATTGGTTCTTGATTCAATTCCTTTGTTTCCATTATTATTATTATTATTCATGTTATTATTACTATTAATAATATTATTACTACCACCACAACCATTATTATTATTAATATTTGAATTAGAAAAAGATTCCATTTTTTCTGGAAATACAAAACAAGATAAAATAGCAGTGATTTCATGAATATTTAATTTATGTAACATTCCATTAAGTAGTATTTCAATAAGAGTGAGTTCGTCACTTGTGAGTAATTCAGATGCAATTCTACCTTTAGTTGTAATTGTAAGATTATCATTTAGGAATCCTTTTTCAATAAGTAATTGTATTTTAAGCTTCATTTCTGGATAATCATCTAAACTTTCATCATTAATGAAATGTTTGTAAATGGATATTTCGTGATCTAGTTTGTTAAGTTCCACAATAAGAGGAATAATTGAGTTGTTATTATTATCAGATTGATTTTGATTTTCTTGTATAATAAAAGAGTAAGAACTTTTGAATACATTATTGTTGACAAACTCAGAAAATAAATCATTATATTTTTGCAAGAGGTCAAAGTATTCAATTTCAATAGATTTGAGTGTTTTAGATATGGGTAATAGTTTTGGCCAGTTTTCAAGGGAGCAGGAAGAAGAAGAGGAAGAGGAAGAGTAGCCTGTACTGTGTCCCTGGGGTATTTGTTTTTGTTGTTCTTGGTGGTTAATAAATTCAAAAAGATTAACCTTCATACTTTTTTTGTTTTTGTTCTTGGGTTTGGGAATTGGATTAGAATTATGGGATGTTTTACTGTCCCCACTAGTTTTTGTGAGATTATTGGAGGTATTAATACAATTAGAATTAGAGAAAAAGTCTTGGAGAGAATTTTTCAGTAATACCGCAATATTGTGTAGGATGGATTTGTCTTTAAAGTTGATGTTCTTGAGTAAAGTTTGGTCAGAAGAAGAAAATGAAGTAACAGCATTAAAATCAAATACAAACATGAAAAGTTCAGATGGGACGTTTTGGAAGATATAGTAATGGTTAATATTGTTAAATAGAGGATTGTTAGTCTTCCCAGAATTGATGAAATTGGGGTTGAATTGGCTCAGGCTCAGGTCTTGGGTATTAGAAAACAGTTCTTGGGAGCTAAAATTAGAGTGATGAATCAGCTTAACTATTGTTGAGGAGGAGGAGGATGAGGAGGATGAGGAGGATGAGGAGGATGAGGAGGAAGATGAGGATGAGGAAGATGAAGATGAAAAGGATGAAGATGAGGAGGATGAAGATGAGGAGGATGAAGATGAGTTCTTTTGGCCATGCTTGCTCGACCTATCAAAGTCTATGAGGCTCTGTACAACATTGATTTGCCTGTTCTTATTAGAATTTTGGTATTTCTGAATGCTTTCTTCCACCACATCGTAAAACTGGTAATTTGTATTTGACTTTTCTAGAGTATCAGAACTGTTGTTGTTATTGTTATCATTTTTTAAACTAAAGAAGGCCTGGTTTTGTGAGTTAGCCTCAAAGTCAGTAAACTGTGGAGAGTATACAATCACTGAAAAGAGGGTAGAACTTGGATTGTATTCCAGAATATTTGCAAACATTGGGAGAGAATTACCTGTTAGTGCAAAGGAGTTAAAAAGAATCAATCTCCCTGGGTTAAGAATCTTCTGAGTAAGAATGTTTTTATTAATTGAAGAATTAGAAAGCTTTTGAAAAAGATGGAATGAAATAGAGCTAGAAGCCTGAATTGTTGAAATAAGATTATTGATCATATCCAAGAGAGACTTTTGGCTTGGATGATCCTGAACCTGATCTTGATCTTGATCTTGATCTTGTGTATGCTTTTGGGTGAAATTTGAGATCACTAAATTACTATTAAAAGACTCGAAAATAGAATTGAGTTTTGAAACTATAATTTGATGTCTTTTGAGTTTTCTGTTTAAATTCCTGTGGAAAATTGGGAGGTTAATAGCCCTAAACATTTCTTTGAAAGATTTAGTCATCATATCCTCAATTGTAAGAGAATGTCTACAAGAAAGTTGGAGAATCATCTGGTAAGTCAACCTAAATTTACTTTGTACTGGTAAGTAAGTATTAAGCATCATCTTTACAATATCAATACATTCTGGTATAGTTTCATGAGATGAATTAAAAATAAATACATTACCAAAAGTATCGATACCTCTTCTACCAGCTCTTCCTGACATTTGTGTATACTCAGAAGAAAGAAGTATTCTGTTTTTTCTTCCATCATACTTTTTAATGCTTGTGAAAACTATTGATCTAGCTGGACAATTGATTCCCATAGATATTGTCTCAGTTGCAAACAATACTTTTATTAATCCTCTAGTAAATAATATCTCAGTCATTTCTTTAATTATTGGAAGCATACCACTATGATGAATCCCAATACCTCTCAAAGCTAACTCTTTACATTGCAAAAGTTGAGGAATTTTCTGATCCATCTCATTTAGCTTATTTGTAGATTCCTTGATAAAAGTTATGATATTACTCTTTTCATTGTGATTATACAAAAAGTTCAAATTTGGAAGACTAGTTGCTAATTGTTCTACCTTTCTTCTAGAAAATCCAAATAGAATAACAGGTAACTGTTCATTTTTCTCTAAAAGCTTCAAAAACACCTGTAACCTATAAACTTCAGTTTTAAACTTGGTTTCTGTGGTAGATGATATAATCCCTCCAGAGCCCTTAACGCCTCCTCCTCCTTTACCAGATGAAGAAATCTGTTTGTTAATTGCTGAAATTCTGAGCATTGCAATATTGTTGTCTACTTCTTGGTCTAAAATTTGGTCTTTTAGATCCTGGCTTTGATTATATGGATCTTTGTTTTGGTCTTTTGAATCTTGGATTTGATTATATGGATCTTTGCTTTGGTCCTTTGAATCCTGGTCTTGGTCTTGGTCTTGGTCTTGGTCTTGGTCTTGCTCTTGATCTTGGTTTTGGTCTTGATCTTGGTCTTGTGTTTGCTCATTTTCTATATCTGTATCCTCTTCTTGATTTTTGTCATATTCTAATGTATTTTGATTCTGATCTGGTACTTGAGGCAAAGAAGAAGAACTTTCTTTATTTATAGACGAACTAAGCTTATTAACTTTGTTCTTTAGACTACTAATGCTTTTTTTTGCCTTTGAAGTTTTGATAAAGTCCAACATCTCCTTGTAGCCATTTATATTAAACTTATTATTCTCATCCATAATCTGAAAGCATTTTTCATAAATGTAAAGATAATGTTTCAAAGGAACTGGCCTATGCAAAGTTCGAATACAATAAACAGTATTTTGTTTAATTCTTCCAATCCAATTGGCAAATTCCATGTAGTTAGGAATTGTTGCTGATAACAAAACTAATTGAACTTTAGGATCCAATAATATTAAAACTTCTTCCCAAACCACACCTCTTTCCAAATCATTAATATAATGAACCTCATCAAATATTACTGTCTGAATTTGCTCAATACATGGATCATTCCTATACAGCATTGTTCTCAATATCTCCGTAGTCATTATCACACATTGTGCATCAGGATTTATACTTACATCCCCCGTTATGATACCTATTCTGTTTCTTTGAGTAAATGATGAATGTGCTGGATAATCCCTAAATCTATTCAAAAACTCACGATATTTCTGACTACTTAAAGCTTTTATTGGAGATGTATATATTGCTTTTCTTCCATTCTTGTTTGCTAATTCTATTGCATACTCTGCAACTGCTGTCTTTCCTGCTGAAGTGTGGGCTGCCACCAAAACATGATCTCCTTTATGTATATTTATGATTGCTCTTTTCTGAAAATCATCCAATTCATAAGGATATTTTAGCACCACATTTTCGGAATTCTCTGAATACTCTGTATTATTTACTTTAATATCATTTAAAATACTCTCGAGAGGCTCATAACCTATAATTTCTCTGAAATCTGAAACATCTTGTTCATCCTCAATACTCCACTTTTTCCTTATCATACCCTTTTTAGAAACCTCCACTTTACTTTTTTCCTCCTTCTCCATTATATCAGAATCGTTTTCCTGCTCTTTCTCTTCCACTTCTTCTTCTTCAATTTTGTCAATTTCATCCAATTCATTGTCTTCATCTAATTCCTCCTCTTCCTCCTCCTCATCTGAAGTCCAAAAATCCTCTTGATTTGCAAACATTCTTCACTGCTTAAGTCTAAGTGTTCTTAAATAATAAAAAAAAAAAAATGAATATCTATGGTTTTAAGCTATTTCAATCTGCTTGACTGTATATTCCTATTTCTAATTGAAAAATATTTGTATTTCTTTTTTTTTAAATTAATTTACTTTTTAATTCTTTTAAATAATGGAGCCAAATTTATTTTGGGGATCACACCCCTTACTCTACCTATTATAGTTCATAAAAAATATATAACTTAGTTTTAATTGTAAAACACCAACATCTTTGCAAAGTGCATCATCTCTCATATTAGATTTCACACCCCACTCTCTATAGTCCAATTTCCTCTCTCTTTCTTTCTTTATATCTCTCAGTTTTGCCTCATACTCCGTTATAACAAACTTTTTGCATTTGTTGGTTTCCCGCCAGAACATTTGACATTTCGGCATTTTACCGCCAAAATGCCCTCCATATTGCATGTAATGAAAAATTAGTAATTTAATTGAATATCATAAACTAAAATAACAAAAGATATCCGAATTTATTTTAAAAAAGTACTTATTGCGAGAACTACTCAATAATATATTAAAGGCACGAATATAACATAAGGAAAAAACAACTTTTTTCGAATTATTAACTATAATATGTGAAAATCTCCTTCAATTCATTTAATCTTGATAGTGGACTGCACCAGCACTTATTTGTCAATACCACTAAAAGATGTTTTTATACTAAACTTCCTTAATTCTATTACTTTTTATATTATACTTTCTACAAATATATATACATATATATATATATATATATATTATATATACATACATACATACATACTGCAAATTTACGTATTTCTTGTTAACTTTTCCCATTTTTCATTATAATCTTTAAATAGTAAGACTAAGCATAAAAAAAATTCCACTCAAATCAATACATATAAGCAACAACCAGGTTACTAATACTATTAAATAAAAATTAAATCATTCATTATTATAAATATTGTGTATTTAAAGCTTTATATATATATATATATATATATATATATATATATATTTGCACTAATATATCTGTGCTACCTCAGCAAAACATACTCTTTTCATTGATGATAAGGTCTTTGGAGGAGCAGAATTATGCTTTGTCCAAAATGATGATATACTACCTATTTTTGAAAATGTTCCCTTATTTATATTCACATCTGATGATACTGTCCTTCGAAGTATTCCTGCTGTTGGAGGTTGTGCATTAACTATTGAACTTGTTGGACGAAGTCTTATCAATTCTAATAATTTCTGATCTACCTCCCAATATTCTTCATCATCCTCTTCTTCTTCCTCCTCCTCTTCAACGCCTCTCCTTCCCAGCCTATATCCTTCTCTTCTTCTTTCTCCGTCTCTAAAATTCATCATATTTCCTGGTTCCTCATCACTACTAGTTTCTATATCATCAAAATCATAACTATCATCTTCATCCTCACTACTGTAGTCACAACAATAGTTTGATGAAGGAGGAACTGTTTTTGATATCAAAATCCCTCCACAGTTAACTGAACCAGACATACCCCCACCCATTACTATTGCTGAGGAGGAAGAAGAAGAAGGAACTGATGAAGCTGACCCTCCTATCACGTCTGCCCTCAATGCTCCTCCTGAACCCGAATTTCCACTGTTATTGCTTCCCATGTTCTCGCTTCTGTTAAAGATTACCTGGGTAGTTTTTGATGATACTATTATATCACTAGATAACCCAGAAGCTATCCCAACACCTAATGACATGTTACTGCTACTATTCAAACCATTTACCATTCCTCCACCAACCCCTCCACCAGCAAAATTTACACTTATATAATTGTTACCTGAATTACCTATTTGTCCTGTTATCCATTTCTTGTTAATACCTGCAATCTCCAAAATCTTTGATCTACTCCAAAATGATGGATTTATTGTCTCCAAATCAACCTCATTTCCAAACTCTTTTAATCCTCCTCCTGTGCACAAATAAGAAGATAAATCAACTCCAGAATTACATATTCCACTTCCACTAGAGCTTGAGCTTTGTAATAACTTTGAACCTTCTGAAAAACTAACATTTGCTTCATTTCCTGTTCTATTTGAGATTTGTAATGATCCCACACTAGTTCTTGTCCTTTGATCTGACTTATCACATTTTTGGTTACCTGTTATCATTATATTGGTTCCTCCAACAACGCAAACATTCTTTGATTGGACATTATTTGCCTTGCAATTAACTCTCTGAGAAATCCCCATCTCACTACTCTGAGATGCAAGCCTTTGACATCTCCTTATTAAATCCAATAAGCATGATCCACACCAATCTCTAACTTTAACTAGAACTCTTATCACATAAAAAACCTGAGATGTATCACTCAGTATACACATTATATCAAACATAACCTGAAATGACACATTCCTCATCAATAATGCACACTTTCCCATTTCCCCTCCTGTAATCCCCCTATTACTTCCTCCTGTAATCCCCCTACAACTACCTCCTGTATTGGTATGGCCATCCAAATTTTTAGATCTTGAACACAATATTCCATTTAAATCATATAATGGTAGTATTACATCAATTAAGTTTATCAAAGTTGAAACCAGTCTTGAAATACCCACAATTCTTGGGCAACAACATAATACCCTATGTAAGCAACGTAATAAACTATAGCAATATTGTGGGGTCTCATAATATAATATTGATCTCGGGATCTCTTCATTACCTCCCGAAATTGAAACTACAAGCTCATCTATTATGAAGAATGGGTAATTATTCTGAAATAATCTTTGAAAATTCTCAGTATCTTTTCCTAAATTAGATGTTGTATTTATTGTATGGTATCTTAAAGCACATGTTAACAATGTTATCAGCTCTACGGTATAATCGGAATTTCCTCTACATATGCTCAAACAAATATCAGATGTTAATATATATGGATAATAATACAATGAATATAACTTATCATTTAAACTCTTAAATTTTAGTGGTAATATATTTATTCGATCTTGTACCTTGAATCTTTGAATCAACCCCAACTCATTACCATTAATACCGTTATTATTACATGAACTGCTTTGAGATGTTAGATTATTTTCAAATTCTGATGTTACTTTACCAGATATTGCATCAGAGTATTTTTGTTGTGTTGCTTTTTCTTCTTGGGATTCTTTTGAAAAAATTATACTTAAAGTCTCAATTGCATACAAAAACTTTATATATAAGCTCTCAATTAATTCATATGGGCTTGCTTTATCTCCCTGAAAAAATAAGTTATTATCTTGCCTGAAAATATTCATTGTATTGTATAATGATGTTCCAGGACCATTCTCATTCAAATAATACTTTACATTATGAAAAGATAATCCATAACTTAAAATAATCTTAGAATCTATTATGGATGCTAAACAAGGTATTACAGAATCAGAAATTAAATCCCCAGATTTCTCCTCAAATGCATTACCTTCTATCAAAAAACCAAGCAATATAATCTCCAATATAATTTCAATCTCTATCAAATCTCTGTTACATGGTTCATTTATTCTTAAACTCTGATCTTTAGTCAAACCATTCTGATGTTCCTTTAATCTTTCCTTTTCTTTTCCTTTCTTATTATCCAACCTAGTGTTTATGTTTAGCAAACATTTACACAACATTTCAACCAATTTATGACTTAATGTACACATTTTTATAGGTAGAGAGTTAACTGATAATCCTGTAAACTTTGATCCTAAGTTGTAATTCACACAAACTAAGTGAGTACCATCCCTCAAAACATCTAACTCTTCTTGGTAAAAGTGAATATTCCTTTCCAAACTTTTCTTCATATTCCCCAGTATTATCCACTTTCCGTAGTATTGTAATGTAGTATTGTCTTTTGAAAGCCATATCTCAGATTGATTTCTTATAAATCCTGTAACCCTTATATAATCAGCCCAGTGATCTTTATAACTCTCTAGTAATTTCAAAAATAAAAACATCCCATATTTTGCATAGTTCTCTCTCTCCTTTTTTATATCCCACTGTATAAAGTCTACCAGATATTTTAACACTGATATGTAATAATTATCCTTTCCCCCACTCACACTGCAACTTCCAATATTATTTGTTTCTTCATTGATACTATCTACTAATTTACTTGCATCCACATATTTCTTGTTCAATGGTAGCATCATTCTATCTAAATCCGGACCGAAGTTTCTATACCCATTTGGATATGAGCTTTTAATTAAACCTTTAATACCATTTTGGTTTCTCCCTGATATGATAAAATTTTTAATGTTACTCACTAATTTTGTTCCCATCTTTCTTTTATTAGTTTATTCCGGTATATAACTTGTTATAGTAATCTATTCTAAAATACGTAACCTTCATATACGGATTTATGTTGGTTTGTTATTCACTATAATATAATAGAGAAAGTAAATATATTTATACATATATATATATATACACAAATTATGTTTGCTTTGAGTTAATTTTTGCAAATAGGATCCGCTTCTTTACTAATAATATTTGTCTTATTTCTTGTTAACTAATACGGTCTGTGTTTTTTCATAAGGTATTGCTTTATTTTCCCATAATGAAGATGATTATAATATAGTTGTAATTGTCGTTTAAATTGAGAAAGAAAATTTACTCACCAAGATTTAATACCCACTAGCAAAGTTTAATCTCTTCCACTTTAACTTTAAAACATTGGGTATTTTTTTCTGTAAATAATTCTATTATATTGAACAATTTTCTATTCTTTTACAACCAAAACCACTTTTTTCTTAATATTTTAACTTACTTGTTACTCAACAAAAAAAAACTCAATTTCCCTAACCTCTCCAAAATTCCGCTAATTTTTTTTTCCTTGTCTTTTTGACTATTACATTTCTATTTAATTAACCTAAACACACAATTACACACAATATTACGTGTCTTGGCGCGCCTAATATATTTTCTTTTTTTTTTTGCATGGCTTTTAATATATTTTAAAAAGATATGAAAAAATTAGCACTATAAAAATTTTCATAGATGCCGGCACTTAATCACTCTACTTGGCACAAAACATGAACAAGAATTTATTAATTCTTCAAAATTCACACGAATCCTTTGCTAAGATTAGAGTTCAACTTAAAAAAACTATATAATGTTTAATGTTATTATGTGCACTAAACATATATCTAAACATATACACCAGTTAGAATCTGCAAAAATCTTTTTTTTCTTGTAGTGTAATTTTTCATCTAATTTTACTAATAATTTGTTTTAATTTTCCTTGGCCTCCCCCTATATCCCTCTAGCATGGCGCCAAGGCGGTACCGATTAAAAATGATTTAAAGGAAAAATAAAGCAAGAGAGAACTTAACAAATAGAGATACATATATTGTAACTTTTGGTTTTTTTGCTAAATTAAACCATTTTAAGTATGCTTATGTGGAGTAATTCGCTGTGTTAAACATATTTTCTGTGAGAATAACATGTATTTAAGTAGTTAACAAAGATAATATGCAGAACATTAAGGATGAAGAGGAAACCAATCATAAGATAGAGGTAGAAACTTTTGAAAACAGGCCCAGTAAAGACTCATCTGTGTTTGGACTCTCAAACCAGACGCCAAAACCTCCGATCAAAAGAGACTCATTTGTGGGGACCAGCTACCTTCCCATTCAAAATCATTACAAAATGGGAGAAAAAGTTGGAGAGGGGAGCTGGGGAGCAGTTTATGTAGTGGAAGAGCGATGTTCTGGAATACTTAGAGCAGCCAAGAAGATCCCGAAACAATTCACTGGTGAAATTTTCCGGTTTAGACAGGAAATGCAGCTTTTGAGTATTTTGGACCACCCAAACATTGCAAAACTGTTTGAATCATTCGAAGACTATAACTCAATTTACTTAATCATGGAGCTTTGCACTGGAGGAGAATTATTTGATCGGCTTTCCCATGTTGGAAGGTTTTCAGAAAGAGTAACAGCTCATTTAATTAAGCAGATGTTATCGGCTATCTCTTACTGTCATTCAAAGGGAATTGTTCATAGAGATCTTAAGCCAGAGAATTTCTTATTTCTACATTCAAAGTTCAACATAAACTGTAAACACTGTCTTTTTGAACAGAAAAGCAGTCAACTATTTCGAGATGAAGAGGCTGCTTTATCTGAGTACCTAAAACACGACAGATTTAGAATTTGCAGATCTTTACCATCCAGTATGAACAACAGCCAACTCCAATCTCTAATCAGCAATTTTAAAGATAAAACCATAGCACCAGGTGATGATATCTGCCTCGGTAATGATGTCTCTAATCATTCATTCTTTGCCTCAAATTCAGAAATTGGTAAGAAAGAGAGTAATATAGGAGAAAAACATGAAACTTATCACAAAAATAATGATGAAGAGGTTACCCAGAAGAATATACCTGTTCCTAACTCTGAACCATTTGGGTTTTCAAACTCAAATGAAAATTTCTGCCAGAAGAAAAGTTCTATTTCAAACTCTATTTTAAACTCGAACTCGTCTTCTATTAAATATCCAATAACATCCCACCCAGAAAAAGAATGCGTATGTAAATGCAATTGTTTTGAGTTAAACAGCCCTCTTAAACTAATAGATTTTGGGTTGGCTAAGAGAATTACCAGAACTGGAACTCTCAGAACCAGAGTTGGTACTTTATATTATATTGCTCCCGAGATCTTACTAGGTAAAGGTTACGATGACAAGTGCGACATCTGGTCAATTGGAGTAATGGCCCACATTCTCTTGTGTGGGGTACCTCCATTTTCGGGAAACACAGATACTGAAATAATTGAGAAAGTAAGAAGAGGAAGTGTTTCGTTCTCGGAATCTATTTGGAGCCAAATCTCCACTCAAGCTAAGGATTTTCTTCTCCAACTTTTGAATAAGAATCCTTCAGAGAGGATCTCAGCATTCCAGGCATTACAACATCCCTGGTTGAGATCTTGGGATACCCCGAATATTCCTCTTTGTGGTATTGGAATGATTAATAAGATTGTTGTCTGGCCATGGCATCAGCAAAGGATGAAAATTACAAAATCCAGAGCCTCTTCTGGGATTAGCAGTCTTAAAATAAAATCCAGTATTTCTTCACCTAGTTTATATTCTAACCATGGTCCATTAAATGACATTCTTTCTGAAGAAGACCTAAATAACTTGTCAAGTTATGATGGAAATACACCTGGAAACACCAGCTCTCCAGAAGCTGGAGGTTTCTTTAAAACACAAATAATAAATGCTCCTTCAAGGCTGGAATCAGGTTCAGGCGTAGTTTCTGGAACAGGATCCAAGGTGGGACTCTCAGAATCACATGGAATGTCAACTGGAGTCCAAAACAGAAATTTGAACCGAAATTCCTTGTTGAAGAGATCTTGCAGTACTCCACTCCTATATTCTATGAACAATGCCTATCCAAATACAGACACCAACCCAAGTCTTGCGAATATTCCAAATAGCTCTATTTACAATTCTGGTTTGGTCCAAATAACAGATCAGCAAATAGCTACCCCACGAACCAAAGCAACTATTAACGCTTTATTGAACCAAGAAGATTCAATTTTGTCTCCTCCTTGTGATCCAAGATTTCATTTTGGTTGTCATTGCGGAGGCCCTATAGTTCTTAATCATTCTTCCCAAGGTAACTCCAGTATTAATATAGTCGAACATGAAAGCCATAACGAATCAAAAAGCTACTCAGGAATTTCTATTCCTAACTCAATCTCATCTTCCTCATCTTCCTCTTCCACATTTACTACTTCTTATAGTATTTCAAGATCCTCAATTTCTTATTCCAATCTACCAATTGGTAATCATATAAAACAAGGAAATTTGTCCGAAGATCTCGAGCATCCAGACGAGAATTTGACTGATCAACCTATCTTGACCTTAAATAACATATCTATTCCTAATATCATCTCAAAGGTCTGCAACAAAGAACAACTTTTTCATTGTGTTATCTATAATAAGACATGTAATGCTTACAAACCACTCCTTAAGCTTATATCATCTTGGGAACGGTTTTGTAACTACACTCTTTTAAAAAGAGTCATTCTAGTCTCTATTGCTCTTCGAATTGGAGAAAACTGTGAATTTAATAGGCTCAGAGATCAATTCAATAAGTTCGATGTGGCAGCTGATGGGGTAGTTTCTCTTGCCGAACTCCAATGTGTTCTGTGTTTCATATTCCACATTGAAAGGATTTCATCCGATAACTTTAAGATTAAGCAATGCCACTCTAAAGCAACTTCCAACGATAACTTCCTATCTAACTCCTCTTACTCCTATCCGCCACACCCTCCTCTTCTAAAGTCTCCCAACCACTCAAGTTTTGAAGACTATATAGATAATGCTAGTGAAATTGAGGACGACCATTTTGGTGAGATTTACGATGAAAGAGGTGAGAACTCTGCTACTGAAAGCTTGGAAGGGAGGATTCCTAACTCAGATCATATTGATAACTTCAACTCAATGTCGATTGATGATTACTTAAAATCACTTTCAAATCAAAATACATTCAACAAAGAACAACTTCAGAAATATCTCTGCAGCTTCAAAATAGACGACATTATTAAACTTAATGAACTTTGTAATAGAATAGAGAGTATTTTTGGTATAATCGACCAAGATCAAAGTGGATCTTGGGAATACTCAGAATTTATTGCTGCATCAATGGAACCTGAGATGTACTTGAATAATACCAGTGCTTTGAAAACAGTTTTTCGAAACTTTGACAAGGATTCGGATGGAAAAGTCTCGGTCCAAGATATACTTGCGTCTTTTGGATGGGAAGATGATATCATTTTATGCTCAGAGACTATTTCGCCTCAACAATATGAACAATATTTAAAATTAGGAAGTTCCCAATCCTATGAACAACAAAGAGATGAGCGTTTCTTGGGTGTTGATCCAAATAGTTCCGTTCAATACTGTGCTCACATACATTGGACCGAGATCTTTCTAAATGAATGCTGTAAACCAGGTAAAAACTATTTAGATTTTTGTGATTTTTATGACTTTTTACGTAATTAATCAGCCTAGAGTTTTAAATTTGTTTCTACTATAAACTAAATTTTGTATTTATTTAGTAATACTATTTTCTGTAATATTGATCATGTTTACATCTATCTAATTATTAATTGTCTACAGAGATATTAATAAAAAAAGAACAGAGAAGTCCAAGAAGAAACTTTATGGTGGGTTGATGTTTATCATTTTAATTTAGCATTAAACAATTCTGAAATTCACCTAAAATTTTCATTTAATATTTTCCGTTTTTTTTCAAAATGATCTTATAATTTTTAAATTTATTACTATAATAATAAAAGAAGCGCCAAATCATGTAAATTTTTTAATCATTCATTATAATTATTAATTAAAAAAAAATTAAAAAGTTAGTAAAGCAAATTGAGAATCCAAATATTCTTCACTAAGATTTAAGGTACTTCTAATTTGCCTTTTTATTGTTCTCAGTTGCTGATATTTTTCCACCATAAACACTTCCAAGTGTGTTTTTATTAACTGTGGCCAATTATATAAGGACGTCAATTTCTATAATTATGAAGTTTCGCAATCAAAACTATTAAATCGAAATTTAATCGTTGAATTATTGGATAAAATTCAATTTGAAAACGTTAAATTTTACTATAATTAATTTTATAATGGCTCAGAAAGAACAAATGTTTGGGGATATCCCCACAGCAAGGTTTGGTCATTCAACCACCTTTGTTGGAAATTCTAAAGGTAAGTCTAATCTTAAAATCACATCAAACTACTCCATCTACTCTGCTTATTTTGGGTCTACAAATTTAAAAACAAATCAAAGATTCATAAATTTATTTATCATATATATTATTTCGCCATTATCCTATCCAAACTCGTATAGATTCTCCTTAACAAATTGACACGTAATAAACAAAATTTCATGTAAATACCGGTATTAAATTACTAGCAAATTATTAGAAGATTTTTTATATTGCATGTGGACAAAAAACCTTACTGCATGCGAAAAATTAGGTGAGAAAATATGTATAAATATAGTAGGCCAGATGGAGAGTAGTAGATGTTGATTTTTTGAAAATAAAATAGAAATATTTTAATCTTCTATAGTTGTACTGTTTGGAGGAGCTATTGGTGACAGTGGAAGATACACAATTACAGCAGATACATATATATTGGATTTTTCTGCAGGATTTCAATGGAAAAAGATTACAGCAGATAATCCACCTAGTGCGAGAGCAGCTCATGCATCAGCATGTGTAGATTTAATGCAGCTAGTAATATATGGAGGTGCTACAGGTAAGTCAAAGAACAAAAATTTAGTCTCTTTAATTCTAAATATTCATTATTTTAATTCGATAGGTGGAGGAAGTTTGAGTAGTGACGAATTATATCTGTTGGATTTAAGAAAAGATCCCCACTATGGCTGGATGAGTGTCCCAATATGCGGAGGAAGGACCCCTGGGAGAAGATATGGACATACAATGGTCTACAGTAAACCTAATTTAATAGTATTTGGAGGAAATGATGGGCAAAGGACTTTAAATGATGTTTGGTTTATGAATGTGGAAGAAAGCCCATTTGTATGGACGCAAGTATTGTTTGATAGAGATGAGAGAGTTCCATGTCCAAGGGTATATCACAGTGCTGCATTATGTATGGAGGGTCCAGCAGCGGGGATGACTGTTATACATGGAGGAAGAGCAAGTGATTCCAGATGCCTAAGAGACACTTGGGGTCTTAGACAGCATAGAGATGGAAGATGGGACTGGATAGAAGCACCATGCAGAAAGGGAGGACCTCCAGCTCAAAGGTTTCAACATGTTGTATTGTTTGTTGGATCCAAAATGTTAGCATTAGGAGGAAGGGGAGATGACGTTTCAAAGATACTACCGAGTATGCTTTATGATACTGAAAATTGTGAATGGAGAGATTTACCTGGTATTGAAAGGTTTAGACATTCAGCTTGGTCAATCAAATCAACTTTGTTCAGTTTTGCAGGATTTGACCACAAGACTCAAACGCATCCTACTGTAGATTTGCTTTCTATAGATTGTTCAGCAGAACCCAATTTTTATAATGAAAAAGAAAGGTCAACTAGAAAAAAAAGCTTAGCTGGGGTTCCATACAACACAATAGGAGTGCAACCAAAAGACCAAATGTTGCCCGGATCAGGAGGAAATACCAACAGTTCCACAAGAAGCAGCTCAATTAATGAGGAACTAGGTTCTTCAACCTCAAATGAGCAGCTTACTGGAGAAGAGCACAGCCCTCCAAAGACCAATGACATTTCTTTTACTGATGTTGAAAGAGCAATCGCTAGAGCAAATATTCAGCTAAAAAACGACTCAAAGAAATATATGCCTAAGATGGAATACAAGACTACTGCAGGACTAATTGGCCTAACTCCAGCTGTTACAAAAGTCAGCTCAAGAGTTCATATCACCGTTGACTCTATGAACAATGATTTCTCCACGCTTGTTCAAAAAATTTCAATTGACCAACTTGGAGAGGAGGGAAGGAAAATTGACAAAGTTGCAGCAAAGCACGCACTTGCAGATTCTCCTTGGATGTTGACTCCTAATTCAATGGGTGTCCCAGGAACTGGTTTAATCGAAAAATGCTTAAAGTTATTCCTTCATCCAACAATAACCCCAGTTGAGCTTTCTGCTAGGTTTAATCACATGGCAGAATTTTCACTTGCATGGCCAGAAGTGATACAACTTTGTGAAATGGCTTTCAGTATTGTAAAGCAGGAAGACATGGTACTTAATATAAGGACTCCTGTAAAGGTTTACGGAGATATTCACGGTCAGTATTATGACTTAATGAGACTTTTTCACAACTATAAAGCTCCTATTAGCGAAGAGTTGGAAGATGTTTTTGAAGCCAAAGGAGATATTGATTCTACTGACTATTTGTTTTTGGGAGATTATGTTGATAGAGGAACTCACAGCTTGGAAACTATTTGCTTGCTCTTTGCTTTAAAAATACGCTATCCAAGGCAAGTTCACTTGATTAGGGGAAATCATGAAGACCCAATAGTTAATTCACTTTATGGGTTCAAGGATGAATGTAGAAGAAGGTTAAGAGAGGATACTGATGACCCTGAATCATGCTGGAATTGCTTTAACCGTGTTTTTGAGTATCTTCCAGTAGGAGCAATTATTGAAGATAGAATACTGTGCATCCACGGAGGAATTGGAGGTTCAATCCACAAGGTGGAGCAAATTAAAGAGATTCAGCGTCCATTAAGACCTTCTCAGACTCCACAAACTGATTATGAACAGAGGATACTTGATCTTCTTTGGTCAGATCCTACTGATAATGATTCTCTTGAAGGGATTGTTCCTAACGATACCAGGGATCCAGATGGCTGTGGATTTATTGTTAAATTTGGTCCAGATAGAGTTATTCAGTTCTTATGTGAAAATAACCTGGATCTAATTATTAGGGCTCACGAATGTGTACAGGATGGTTTTGAGAGATTTGCTGGTGGAAAACTTATAACCCTATTTTCTGCCACCGACTATTGCGGAAAGCATCAGAATGCAGGAGCTTTACTATTTATCAAAAGAGATCTAACAGTTGTTCCTAAGATCTTACTCCCTTCAGCCTCAAAAGACTCCAGAATGATCCTTAATAGCAGTAATTATTGGGACCAAGACATCCTTTCTCAGAGACCTCCAACCCCTCCGAGATCTGCTACATACTTTGACAAAATTAATTCAGAATTCAATGATATCCCAGCCTAATGGAATCATCAATCATTACTTCAAGTTTAATACTTGGAAAATAGTTTTATGGTCTTTTTTTCTCATAATCACCTGAGTTAAAAAAAGTTACAAACTTCCTACTAATAGTGCAGTCAGATCAGAAGAAATAATAAGCAATCCCTTCAATTTTATATGAAAAAGGACCAGTAGTCAGAAACTATTTAATGTATATGTTAATGTATTTTATTAATTTTTACATAGATACATTAGTAGATGTAGATAGCTAGATTTTTTGCCTTTCATAATAAACTTTAAATAAAAAAAACTACTGATTATTATCTATTACTTTAATGATAATATGCTGGTACCGAGTATAATATTTTAATAATTAGCCGCACAAAAAGAGTACTTTTAAATAATAAATTAAGTAAAAACAAAGTTCTATCAAAAAGACCTATTTTTTTGTTTAAAACCAGCAACCAAACCCTAGAAACATATCTCAAAGCTAATGGCATGCAATTCTTAACTGCTCCTTTCAAATCCGTCCCAGTATAATTCACTTCTCTACCTTAAACACTTCTCTATCCCCCTTATTAATTTTTATCCCCAATCCATTACCATTTAATTTTTGAGGTCAATGGAACCACAGTCCATTCCCAAAGTTGCTCATGATACCAACAACCACCATTTTGAAAATCAATCAAATTTTTGCCAAGACCTTGATCATGATCATGATCACGATCACGATCACAATATAGGTACCAAAAACATTGAAACCGGTACCGATGAAGATAATAGTCAGTTAAAATATGAAAATCAGGATCTGGATTTAATAAATGATCTAAGAGTTGAGTCAAGGCCGGTTTTAGACTTTGATTATTATAGTTTGATTGAGAAAATATCAAAAGAAGGAGTGGATACATGTTTAAGTTTGAATTCGAATTTGAATACAAATTCAAATGCAAATGAAATAGAGTGGAAGGTCTTGAAAAAAGCTCTAAGGGAAGAAATTGTTCTGAAAAGTAACCAAATGTTTGAAAAGTACGGAGGATTGGACCAGTTCGACTACTTGCCATACAATTGTAGACTACATTCTGATATAGAAAATTCCCAAAGAGAGGAAGTTTCACCACTTGGTGTGATTGGAGAGTACTCATGTTCAGATTGTGGGAAGTCCATTTTGGAAAACTTTCTAGAAGATATTCTTGAAGCCTTTGACTGTCATACCGATTTTCCTCCAACAATTCAAAGAATTTGTGAATTACTATTATTTCCAGACTGCTATAACAACACAAAAAGCTTTCTTTATGCTCTTGATAAGGTAAGTCTATATCATCCATCTTTTTCCCCATCTATCTTAATTTGTTTGCCTATCCTGCTCCCTTTATCATCTAATAGCTTGTAAATGTTTCTTGTCCTATCACCATTGAAGATCCAGATCAATCTGAAACTGAGCTAAGTTGCTCAGAAACTATATCCACTATTACAGGAAATAAAAGACCACTTACTGAGTCATCCAATACCTTATTTAATCAAAATGTTGAAACTAATAACACCAGTTCTAAAAGACTCAGGACTGAATCTGATTTGGATATATAATTCTGAATTCTTTCTTTAATAAGAAATATCTCCAGAATTACCAAAATTTAATTCGGCCTAGAAAAATAATTCTTTATATATATTTCCGTATTAATATATAATTTTTAATCATGTATCTTGTTAATCCTTAATATTTATCTCAAGTTTTCTTGCTGTCCTTCCAATTCGAAAAGTAGTCCCTGTAATCTGTAGTATAGTAGATTAGTGAAATCAAAATATCAAGAGCCTTACTCCTGTAGCTTAAAGGAGAAGACTTTGTATAGTCTTTAATATTATCAGATTCAGTGTTTTCAGTGAAAAAAGCATTCTCCAAGTTCAACTTCATACCATCTATCTTTTTCCCCTCAGAATTCTCATTTAAATTCTTATCATAAATGACTGTATTCTTCTTCAATAATGAATTGTAAATAATTTTTGAGTCATTGCCAATCTGTTCAAACTCATCATCAAAAGTCGCCTTCCTTGAACTGTAAACCATTAGCTTAGACAATAAATTCTTTGATTCAGTATCTGTTGCAATCAAAGTCCCCTTGTAAATTGGAAAAGATATCGAAATACTTTCATCTGCTATGTTCGAAAGTTCAGATGATTCATTAATGTTCTTAACAAAAGTGCTTTTTTCAAGATCTAAATCCATGTGTTTAATTTCATTTGATCCATTATTATTTAAGATTTCATTGATCCTAGCTCTTGAAAGCCTACTTATTCTCTGTTCGTACTGAATCTTTGAGTTTATAAGACGTATCTTATCTAATTCCTCCTTCTTTATTGTCTTATAAAACTTTACTTGCTCTTTAATGCTCTTCCAAATAATTTTTATATCATCTTCAGCTTCTGTTATGAGATCTATAAAGAAGTTCTCTATCATTGTCATTTCAACACTCTCCTTAATCTGTGATACTAAATGCCTAGGATTTGTGCTAGATTTAGTCTCATCTACATTTATATTCAAATATTGAATCTGTCGATTCATTTCCTCTTCCCCAAAGTCATATTTACATTTTTCAAGATCACCCAAACTTCTCATCATATCTCCATAAGTTTGATCTTTTTCAGAAGAAAACCTTCCCAAGCTATCATTAGATCCATCAATTATCATCATCCCAGACATACAAAAATCCATTTCATTAAAGGAATTACCACCATTTGATCTTCTCATAGCTCTTTCTTGTATTCTATTATAATGTTTACTTCCGTTAATATTTTTGCCACTTGCATTTCTAGAAATACCAAATCCAGCACCTTTTAGTTCTGAGATTAATTTACCACTATTCTTGTAATTATTTTCATGAGTGCTTGTTATTGAGTCTTTAGAATAGTAATTGTTGTTATCACTTATCCTGGATCCTAGTATTGCCTCATTACTAACCATTCTCTTATTGTAAAGAATTGAAACTGGTCCTGAATACCCATCTCCACTAAATAATTGATTCCTTTCAATTTTAGTTGGATGATTTTCAATGAATGATGAAACCGCTAAATTAGTCTCTTCAGTTTCATAAAGCCAAGAATTAGCCTCATAAATTACACTAAAGAGCAATCCAGAGGCATTTTTTTCATTATGGCTGGAACCAAGCCTATCCTGATCTACGTACTTTGAATCTTTGTTTAGTGATAATATTGGTTCCCAATCTTTGAGATTTACCAGCTTATCTCCTCTTTTCAAATAAGAAGCTAATAGAAATAGTCTAAATAATCTTTTATGGTATTGATTCCCATTACAAACGTTCATAAACAAATAAACCATTCTTTCTTTGGTATAAAACAATAGTCGTATCACATTTCTTAAATTCCACTGAGAAGATTCTTTGTTCATGCTCTTTGCTGAAATAATAATCTGAGCTTGGTCAATTTCCTTATCATTAGTTTCAGTAAAACCATCAATAGGTGAGGTAGTAGTATTGGGAAACTCATTCTCAAGATACTTAGAATTAAAGCTTGGTTTTAAATTGGGATTGGACTTTGAAAATGAACCAAAATCCATCATTTCGGATTTACTTGTACTTTTTGATGTAAAATCCTCCTGAATATTCTCGTTCTCTTGAGTTTCTTCTTGGTTTATATCTGTATTAATAGAAATGTACTCTTTTATTATCACCTGATTCTGGTTTATATCAGGATCACTATCTTTACTGTTAAAATTTAAGGGAATGTTAAAATATTTATTTGGTGTACACCAACTAACAATACTAAACTCATTTAGTATTCTGTAATCATTATCATCAAAAGTACGAGATTTGATTGTTAACTGCTTCAAAACTATCCCCCAAACCTTGAGAGAATATTGGAAGAAATTTTGCTTTTCATATACAAGAGCCAATTGAACAAGATTTTCAATACATACGAAACTTGATGATAATAAAAGTGAGCTATTTACATCAAATGAAGCAATTAAAAGCTCACAAGATCTCTTCAAAAGCACACCAGACATCTGATCTTTGATTAAAGTATCGAGTAGAATGAGACCATAAGCCAGATCATAACAGCAGCTAGCAGCCTCTAGAGTTGTAGCTCCCAAGTAATAATCAAATATATCCAATGCCCACTGTGTTGAAAAACAAGAAAGCTCCAGAATAGATTCAGCTGAATCATCTAATAGAGCCAGTGTGCTGATTTCCTTTTTGCCAATATTATCATCTTGTGATTCTTCAGAATCAGTAACTGATTGACCGTCATTTCTCCATGCAATTCCTTGATCATTTTTATTATAGTAATATACATGCAATGCATAGATGAGTCTAACTCTCCCCAGTTGCTTCAATAGCCATCCAATTCTTAATTTGGGTGGAGTTCTTGGGATCTTGTTTGGATTTGGATTTTCAATAGTATCTAGTAGCCTTGGAATATAGTGTAGATTAGAATTGAGAAACTTTTGATACAACTCATATTCTAACTGTCCTTCATCTTGACTTTGAGTGCCTAATATATTTTGAATCATTGATTTATCATCACCTTTAGAGTTGATTACATACTTTATATTACTCAACAAAATTCTGTTCTTTAAAGAATTGTTAGAATCCAATAGATTATTTTCAAATTCCCAATTCGAGTTTCTTTTAGCCGATATTGTCTTGTTAAAATGTCTAATAATATCATTATTACTATCAAAACAACTGCTTATTATTAATGACTTAGTAATTGCTTTTTCCAAAATCTCTTCACAAGATTTCCAGTTTCCACGTAAAAAGTGTATTAAAGCTGTTGAAGTATATACATCAATGATTATAGGATGAATGACTGACCAATGTAGATCAATGATTTCAAAGATTAGTGTTGAGACACTGATTTCATGTGGTATCGACTTTTCTGAAATAGTAATCTCATCAAAATTATTATTATAATTATTAATATCAGAATTCTTAAAGATTTTAATGTTTCTTAACCTGGAATACGACCACATCTGCAAAATCCTCATTTGTACTGAAGCAACATGATCTTGAGGGAAAAGATTAATCACATTATTTAGAATTTGAATGCATTTCTTGTCGTATTCCAGATAGGAAAAATAGCCAAGAAGCTCAAGCCAGGATTCTTGTACAATCCAATCTTGTCTTACAAGATGTCTTTCTGCACCCTGAAATTGCTCTGAATGTGTCATATAATCCAAAAAGAATTGAATATTTGTAAAATAGCTTGCTGAAAGTTTTATACTTAGTGCAATTAGTTTTTGTGAAATAGTTGGGGTTGAAATCACAGAAAAGCTGTTATATCTTGGTAACTTAATCATTTCAGGAGTTTCTAATATACACCAAATTGGAAGACTCTCAGAAAAGTATTGTTCGCTTTTTCTCTTTGTTTTTGGCAAAATTGAGTCAAAATCATCATACTTGATAGGAAAAGTTGAATCATCCAAGAGATTCTCCTTTAATTTTTTAATGTCCAAGAATAACTTGACTCCTGTGTGATACTTAAGACTTTGGAATAAAGCTCCTATTGGTATTTTGTTTTTTGAAATGCTATTTTCAGCTATAGAAAACTCCCAGGAACATAATTTTGAGATACAAGTTGACCAGAATAACTGTGAATTTGGAGAATCCCCTAGAATCAAGTTGAATAGATTGATCAACATTACCTGCAAAATTGTGATTTGGTGAAACCTGTGTCTCCTAAGCATCATTAAACTGGTGTGGTTTAAGCTGAACAAACATTCCAATACCCAATATGGTAAACTCATTTTATTCATATGAATTAACTCATCAGAAAACCGTCGATTATCTGAGTTTTCCGATTTCATTTTACCACCATCCTTTTTTTTGCAATTGTAGGTCCTTTTATTTGTCTCACTACTTAGAATATTGTCATCTATTATGAAGAATTGAGACGCCCAGTCAATTAGAAGCTTGGATATTTCATTTATCTTTATTCCATGAACATTCAAAATATCCCAATTATTTTCATTCAATGATTTAAAAATCTCATTCCAATGGATTGGAGATTGAGTCATCAATGATGTACCATCGTTGGTATTGGTTTTTTCCTCATTCATCATTTCTCGATGAATCACTTTTTCTTGGTCTGTAACCACATCTGTGTTCAAAAATTGAGATGAAAATAATTGTGTTCTTGGATCTTTTGCTTTATTCTTCATCATATTAGACTCATCCCCAATTCTTCTTTTTATTGAGGTTACATGAATCTTGAAAACAGTATGAAGCATAAACAAACTCGGGCTTGAACTGTGACAATGACAATATCTTCCTAAATTACCACTTTCTTTTTTGATATATGTAATACCACCTGGTAAAAATAATGTTTTAATCAACTTTGGAACCAGATTCTTAATTGTTCTAGAAACTATTTCTATAGAAAATAGTTGCTTTAGCCAAGGAGATCTTGTGAAATTTAACATCCTGCCCAATAAGTTACAATTCATTCCTCTTGAATGGATAAAATTTTCCAAAGTCACAGAATCATAAGGTGCAAAAGCTGGAATACTTTCTAGTTGGTTTAAAACTATTTCTATCCAATTTGTATGCAGAGAATTAGACAAAAGTATGATTTCCTGACCAATATTAGACTCATCAAAAAATATCTTGACAGTACTTTGTCTCTTCGGCTCATCGAAAACATCAGCACCTTTCACAATCTTAAGCTTTTCTTCTCTGCCAAAATCAGAATTAGTTGAGAGCCTAATATTATCATCAAATGCAGTCAAAAGCAATTTTGCCTGAGATAACAAATATTTGATTGTATCCAACCCTGTTCCTAGCAAATTTCCGCCTCCCTTAATACATGACCTTGGAAGACAATATATTCCGGGTCTTCTCTCCCAGAAAATTTGGTCTCTTCTAAAGATGTCACCTTCACTAAAGCTCCACTCTGAAAAGTATTCACTAGATGATTGCATATAGGAAGTCATTAAATTAACTCTGTTCATCCTTATGGCAGCTCCTTCATCATAATGGCCAAGTGTTGGATATGGAATTTTGCCACCAATATATGATATCAATTCCAATTGGTTTTTAGAATTTGTTTGATCTTTGACTCTCATAGATTTCCCACACAAACTGCAATGAGTTCCGTCATCAATTTTTATCAAAAATTTAGTTTTAGTTTCTGTGAACTTGCTAATTGTTTTCATAGGCACTTGTTCAAATAACATCCTATCCTTTTTTATGTTAAAAAACCCGTAACTTCTTTGTTGTACATCCGCTGCACAAACTAAGCAAAATCCAGAAGGTTCTATCTCTCTTCTCCATAGTTCCTGCAAATCACTAGGAGTATAGTGAAATCTCCTCATCTTGTCATCTTTATCTTTATATTTGAGCATATCCTGAACTGCTCCAGCTTGTTTAATGAACAGAGGTCTAATTGTGCAGTATTTATTTCTACCTAAAAGCTTACTTCTTGAAGACATATCATAATTATAATAGTATTCATCAGTTGAAGAATTCCCCCAATTCAATCTTTCTCCCTTGACATCTGAAACCCAAGGATCTTTTGGAAAAATATTATATGTATGGTGAAAATTATAATATTTAAATATTCCAATAGAAGTCTCGAGCAAGATTGGTAAATGCCTAACCTCTGAAATTAGTTTTGTTGGGTGGAGAATATTAGTAATATTTAAGCATTTTTCAATATTGGATATCTCACTCCTCTCATTACTTTGTATCGGTAATGGCCAATCACAAATTGTGAATGGTAATATTGGTAGTGGGCGCACAACAATTCTGAATCCTGAATAATCTACGCATGTTATTAGTGATGGACTTACTGTTGTAAGTTTTACTGAAGGATGGAATATATCTGAACTTGACCTGACAAGCTTATCAATTCCTTTAAGTAGAATCAAGGCGATTTCGTAATTACTAAAGCTTTTATCTAAATTAGAATAAATGCAATCATCAATCCCAGCAACAGCTTTTGGATTTGGTATAAATTTCCTTGGGGGAATCTTTCCTCTGGAAATAGAGTTGTAGATTTTAATTGCTCTTTTTACCTTTGTTCTTAAGATTGCTTCGTTGATTGCCATATGGGCCGAAATTTCCCTAGTGTATACTTTTGACGCATCCTCTGCTGAAGTTTGGCTATCTCCAAGAACTAAGATCCCGAGCAGACCTCTGCCAATTGTATTCATATGGATGAATACACGGTCATTTTCAAATAGTCTTAAACTTGAGAATGGGTGGTCGTCAGGCAATGGAGTTATTTGGCCCCTTTCAATAGAATCTACCACCTTCCTCTTCAGAGAATTATATAAAGGAACTGTTTTTTTCTTTGAGTTTAAATCAATTTCTGAGGGAACTTCATCAACAACTTCTCCAGCTATATGTTCTTCAAAAGATGCAATTTCGGAAAATTCATCAAAATCATTTTCAAGTTTGCAAAATTTTTGTTCTTGTATTTTAATGTTATGGCTCTCATTGTCTGATATGTCACTCAGATTAACTATATCTACAACTTCCTCACCAACTTTGTTTTCTATCACTGAATCACCCATTTTTTCTTCGTTAGTTTTAATTTCATAATCCATTCCCAGCTCTTGGTAGCTTCTTTTAATAATGTAATCCCAGACTACAAACAGATTTTTGTAAGGAGTAAATTTCCGTACTTGGTTTCTACCTCTGAAAATCACATCATCTATAATGTCTCTTGAGAACTCAGTTGCTGCTGCTCCAAAAATTGTGTTAATTAAAAGAACGTCCATATTAGACTCCATACTTTTCATGAAATATTCAAAGTAATAGGTTGAAATCTTATTTCCAACATAATTATCATTTGACTTTTTGTTCATATTGCACTTTCCAGCCTTATATTTGCCAGTAGATGGAAATAAGGTTGACTTGCTATAAGCTTCAACGCTCTGCATAATTGCAATATCGACAGTTTTGCAGAACCAAGTATTCCAATCCAGAGAATCTTTCATAATGTTTTCAATTGAAGATGGAACTTTTATTGGAAGAGATATTCCACTCCTATACTTTGAACCAAAATCATCTCCAATTAAAACAACCTTGGCATTTTTATTCCTTTTTTGTAATAAGAGTATTTGCTTGTTAATCTTTTGATTATATAATGGCATTAAATGAAAAATTTTTTGTAATGTTGGGTACTTTGATAAAATGTCCTTAAACCGTATAAAAGGAAAAGGTATCTTTTCATCTAATGATTCAATTGAAGACTCTAAATAACATCCTTTTATTTTGGAACTATAGTACCCATTAAATAGATTTTCTTTTTCTTCATCGTATTCAGTAGAAGATAAATCCTTCTCTGAAAAGCTATATTCAGAGGAGGAATCATCGTACTGTTCTGCCAATGAATTTCTGGAATTATTCTCTCCACAATTTACTGAAAAACACAACACATCATGAAGGTCTGGTGTCCCAATCCTGTCTTGTAGTACTCTTCTGGTTAGAATTTGAATTGATCCAACAACTAAGTGTCTTTTCATTAACTTTTCTTTCCCTGGTTCCCCAATTATATCAAAATCATCCATATTATCAACTGTGTCCACTCCTGTAAAACCATTATATTTAACTAGCGGGAACCATCTCATTGCAGTAGTTGGGTCTCGTGTACTACTCAATCTTATCATTGACCTACAAATCGGAACCAGTGACCTGTCATTCATGACTAAAAAAATAGCAACACGAACTGTTGTCGCCTTGTTATCTAGGCAAAATGGAATCGGAATTCCAAAGTTATGTTGGATTCGGTGCTCGATCTGATCTATTTCAACATTACTCTCTGTATGATATCTAGTCAAGGTTGCAAAAACTCTTCTTTTTGGGATACAAGACACATCCTTGATTGGTTCATGCCTTAAACCCACGCATAATGCAATTTTGAATGTATTTGGTAGGAGTTTCAGTATTTTTGAATATAACTTTAAATTCCCCACAGACACTACCAGCATAGAGGCAGAGCTGCTTTCCAAATCATCAAAAATATTCCTTTTCAAAGGCATTATTAAGATATCCTATTGGATTATTTTTTATTAAATGCCTTTTAGTTCTTGTCTAACTCTTTATTGTTACTTTGTTTATATTCTTTGCATACCGACATTATTGCACAAGTGGATTAGCACTTATTTTTCCTTGCATGCGCCATTTTTCTTTGCATGCATGTACCCGCCTAGCACGTGTCGGTTTGCCTTTAATACAGAAATTTTTGCTGTTAAAAACATAAAATACATTTAAAAACTATTGATAGGAAATTAACTCGGTGTTAAAAGTAAAACTTGAAAGTTGTTCATAAAGATGAATTTCTAAACAATTTTTTTAATTTAAAAACTCTTTCGAACATCAAATAAGAACATTCTTTCTCTAAATAGTAAAAAGCATAACATTCAATAACCCATAACTCAATTGATGGGTTTTATTAGATACAATATTTGGTGTTCTACGCAAGATTTAATTATTGAGATTCAAAGGAGATTAAATAATTAAAAACGCGTGTTTTAACTATTAAATAAATAATAGGAGTTTAATAAACTAATAATTTGAATAGAATCAATATCTAAATATAATTTAAATAACCTCGAAAAAGAGTAAACTTCTCAAGTATACAGAGCGATCTAATATGTTGGCGCCACAACAAGATACTAAATTTATTGGCATCTTTGCATATTTGGTTGCAAAGAATATTTCAAGCTAGTAAAAAGAAAGTGTAAATATTATCCAAACCTGATATATTAGAAAAATATAATTTAAGTAAATCGGAGAAATGTCAAAGTTAACAACTTCAACAGTAACACAGGGAGCACAGACTTTTAATCAAGGCACTAGTACCCAAACTCAGGGCTCACCAACACCCACACAGAGAAACATCTCAAAGAAAACAATGTACCCTAAGCCACAGTTACAACAGAGTTCAATCTCAGGGTATGAACAGGCTGGTTCAGGAGTTTCCAGTCCATACAATGGATCGGTTGGATCGATTCCCGTATTGTTGCAACCACCATCAACTTCAGTCTCGCCTAGCAATTATTATGCAGTACCCCCAACTCAGTATGTTCTGGATACTTCACTTTATTCATCTGCAAATCCTTATGTTGCAGTTCCTGCAACAATGCTTTCTCCAACGGTTGTGACTACAAGCCCTCAGATGAATGCTACCTACACAAGCTATGGTCTTGTCCCAAGCACAAATTTAGGATACACAGTAATAGGAGCCTCCCCTACGAACACTTCAAGACCGTCAAAGTATTCCCCAGGATGTTGTTAAAGATTCAGTCCTAACAACTTTTCTTGAAAACAGCGGAAAGAATTTTAAGAATAATTATATATTGCTACATTGGGAATTTATGATTTTTTCTCTATCATTTATTAATTCTTTATTTAATAGATTCTGAAGTAAAGAAACACTGATCTTAAAGATTCTTTAAACAGCTAAATGTTATTTATCGTTAAAACTCTCAATCTACGGAATATATTAGGCATTTAACTCTTATTCTTCATTCCATTTATTTTAATTTCTCTTTTTGTTGTATTTGCACTCATAATAATATTGAAATCTAATGAGCGGGAATTGTTGCCAGCATTTTTTTTAGGTAGGTAACTAAAAAGATTAAAGAGAGGGGTAAAGAAGATGGTGAAAAGTGAGGGGTTGGAGCCGAATAAAGTTATATGTATTGTAATAATACAGGAACAAATCGAGATTTTCCATTTACAATGTGAAAATTGCCATTTACTATTTAAGGTTTTTAAAGGCTTTAAATCCATAGTAATATGTCGGAGTATTCCGAGGAATATTTATTTTATTGATACAACTTTAATAATTGAATGGATTAAGGACGGTTTTTTCAGTTGTGAGAATCTAAAAATATCTAAATACAATCTTTTAAATCTGTAGAGATGTCAACTTTCAACATTCCGAAGTTTAAAATCGTAATTTTGAGTGTATTTTGTGATGGAATAGTTGAAACGCCAAAACAAGCACATCATTCAAGTTCTGGGTCAGCAATATCCAACAGTGGATGGTTTCAACTATATGCAGCCTCTACGAAGCAAAACTTGGAAAGAGATCTTGATACTGGAGATCAATATGATTCAGGGGAGGAAAGGTTGGAAAGAATCGTTGATTGTATTACAGCATCAATTAAGGGGTTGTTTCCAAATATACCAAATGAATTAATCCTGAAGTATGGGGATTTATCTGCACTAATAAGCCATCTAGATGTAGATGTTATCTATATCAGTGATACTACATTTTCCACAAAAGGTGAGTTTGAAGAGATTAACTCAAATTCTTTTCTAAATCAAAAAGAAGCTTTCGAGAATCCCTTGGTAAATGTTGTTTTATGCAACTTTGACAGAGCTCCACCGATATCGTCTTCTCCTAATTCATTCTCTCATATCTTTAAGCTTTGCGAACTATCAAATAATTACCATGAAATTGAATTTCTACTTGTTGGCTTTTCTGCGAGTAAGTACCCAGAAACTGAAAGATTTTCTAAAAAAAATTTCGAGAAATTTAGAACCGAAGTGCAAAGACTATTTGGAAATAATGCCAAAGATAAATGTATCTGGGTTTCAGAATCAAATCAACTGGATACCCCAGATTACATTTTGCATGTGGGCGCGCGCCGAATACACACAAGACTATTGGAAGAGGCGGCAAATGCGATAAATGCAAGAATTAAAACAGTTATCGACTACATATTAGATTCGAGGAATGAAGGTCCAAAGCTGTCTCATTCCTTGAAGTTAACAGAAGGTTTGGCAACTCCAGAAATCTTGGAAACTCCAGAACTTTTGACTTCAGGAATGAATTCTCCTGTTAGTAGTAGGGTTGGAGGAACACAATGTAGAAAATTACAAATATCGGATATGTGGTATCAGTGGATTTTGGATATAATCAATAAATCAGACCTTTTAGGTTTGGTTTTTTTTAGATTGGGATTGGCAAATGAAGCATTGCTAATATATGAACAGCTTCTGGATGATTTTAGAGAGCAGAATAATCCATTTATAAAAGAGCTTCAGAACCAAACAATAGGATTTGCTGGTATTGTTGCCACAAAAGACCCTCTTCTTTTGGCGTCTGATTGTTGCTTTGGAGACTGTAGAACTCATTTGATCGAAAACAACACACTGATTCACAGAGATAAGTTAATATTGCCATTAAATTTTAATAAATTGATCTTAAGTAAGAGATCCACATATTTCGATATTTTTCAAATGGTGTTTTTGAGACAGATATTCATTTTACTTTCAGTCAAGGATTTCCAAAAAGTATGTAACAGAGTTCACATATTTTCCAGAAAGTTTTCTAAAGAGATTCTTTCCAAAATTGATCATTTGAAATATAAATTTGCTTGCCATCTTTGGATTTTTAGATTTATTATGACTGTAGCTGCAATTGGATTTCCAGGAGTCCCCTCCAATCCTAAATATAGTCCAGGTCCTCGTCAGAGTACTGCAATTTCATCACTGAAGATTATTATTGTTTCGTCCATTTTACCGAGATTAATACATTTTTTGGGAGCTTCTGAATCCATTGATGTTTGGAAACACAAGCCATCCACACCAAAGCTCCCTCCAGATTCAAATGTCTCATCTATGGAAATTCAGACTGCATTAATTAAGTGGGCCACTCAGTGTATTTCTTCAATTTTACTAAATTGTATTTGTGACTTTGAGGAGTTTAGTAGACTTGAAGAAGAATTAGAAATAAATAGTCACAAAAGCAGCAATTCTATGTTCACAGTCTCCAACAAATCCTCTCATTTTTCATTATATAGTAAAACTTCTCATGAAGAAAAGAATAATAGCTCTTTGAACTATGATCCTAGCTCAAAACAAAACTCTGATACAGGAGTGGACACAAAAATCAGCTTTAATCATAAAAATTCCAAATTGGAGCATGCATCATCCTTTAATTCTCCTAGTTTCTCTCTATTTCACCTAGCATCTAAGCATTTTTCTTTGGTTTGTGAATTACTCTCCTCAGAAATATGGAATAAAAGCTCTTCTAAATTTGATGAAAATAAGCCTTCTGAGGAACTAATAGATAACCAATTTTTGCAAGATATGACTTACAATTTAAGTGGTGATGCAGAACAACATTATAATTTGAAGGAACTTTATTGTTCCTTAAATTCTCCCTCAAAAGTTTACAGAATACTATGCGAAGTTGTTGGTATGGCAGCTATGGATTACATTTCTTCTGGACAGCTTAAAACAGCAATTTCACTACCATGGGGAATCATTTTTGAGAATAAAGATTTCCTGAAGTGGATGTTAGAAGAGTTAAATAATGAGACATCAACTTTTGTTAATTATGAGACATCCAAGATATCCGATATTTGCTTTTGTTATAGGTTTGTTCGAATTTGGCTTGATTTCCCCACAATTCTACTTCCTATTCCTCTTCAATGGACAAGTTTGAGTAATATTTCTCAGAAACTTCTCCTTAAACTATTTGCCAAGAAGGTAAACCCAGTATCTTTAAGCTATATAAATAATAATGATTCCTATTTATTACAAGCTGAAATTGGTATCAGACAATTCCTAAGTATTTTGAATTCAAATAATCCAAATTTTTCTCAAGAAGATGGTTCAGGCAAGGATTTTAAGGAAAACATATGTTTGGAAGATCAGTTAATACTTGAAACTTATATTAGCAAATGTTTAGAGAACTCTAACATTGACAAAGTAAATTCTTTACAGTGGGAGTTTCCTTCCCATCCTAATTTGTGGGCTCATTTATATATTTCGGACTCTAGTTCAGAAAAATTGAAAGATGTTCCAAAGCTTAAAATGAAGGCCTATATTAATTTGGGTGGACAAACAACAGAAAAGAATGAGACATTGGACTCTTATGATTCCCAGACAAAATCATTTAAAGGGGTTACATTAAAAATTGTTGAGAGACAAATTCTGATGGCTCTTTTAGGAGGGGGGAAGCTAATTAGATTGCCTGCTAAGGCTTTACCTTGTTGTGGTTTATTAGATCCACTAAAACCAGTACAAGGGTATTTTTATGTTTTTCATGAAATTCTGAGACCAAGTGGAAGACTATTTTTAAAGTCTCCAAATGTGCTTTCCCCACTACTAAGCCCTCTTGGGTCTTCTGGACAACAAACTAAGGTCTCTGATCCTGGAAATGTTTGCTCAAAAATTAGACAAGTAGAAGGAGAAATGGGACAAATGATGGAATCACAGAAAGTAGAGCAGCAAGAAGCAGGTGACACTTCGAACAGCCAAAGAATGAAGAATTCTGGTAGATCTGGATCAAATAACAGTTATAATAGTTGGTTTCAAAAGAAAAGTTCTCGACATGAGAGATCTTCTTCATTTTCCAACTCAGAGCTTGAACATGTTAGAGAAGGAAGAGGCAATATTACAAATTCACTGGTTTCAAATAAAAAGAAGGATGGTTCACCAAGACAGTGGATGTGGGAAATTGTTGCAGGGTTTAAATGGGGAGGAAGTTCCTATGGAAGTAATTCCAAAAGTAAAGTCAAGGCTAGTTCATTTAATGGTAGCTTATATTCGGAAAAAAGAAATGAGGTATTGGAGGTAGATGGTTTGGACAATCAAGAAAAAGTAATTAATAACTCCAGTATTCACGAAAGTTCATTGAAAAATGTTGGAGGACTTCATATCCCATCTTCCACCTTGGAAAACACAGTAAAAGTTGAGGAAAATTTGTCTCCTTCTAAGATAATTACCGTACCTACTCCTGGGCCATCTAACTGGGTGATAACGGAGGCAAGCAAATCAAATTCAAAGAAATCAGTTCCACTGAGTCCAAAATTGACTCTCAGTCCAAAGAATGAAGAGCCTACTCAGTGTTTGGTTACACCTCCAAATTTGTGGGTACACAAGTTGGCTGTTCCTGGAATTCCATCACGCTTTATATTATTGGTTTATCTTGGACTTTCTTCTCCTGTTTATTTTGGCTCAGTTTGGTTGAGATTTAATGGTATAAAATGGGTACTTCTTGAAAACACCATTATGGATTCTTCAAAGAAAAACAAAATACTTTTGGAACCCGGGTTAAACAGTATAGAACTAGATATTTTTTGTGAAGGAGATGGGGAATCTAGTTTTTTTATAGATTCTATTGGATTTTCTGATAGAACAAGCTTCAGCATTCCAATTAACTTTTTGTGGGTGATTCCCTTGGGTACTTTACCTTCTCCTCATATATTACCAAGAGTTATCTCAGAGTTTCAAATATATGAAAGAGGTTTAGAAATTTCTTTTGGGAAAAAGCCTTTAAATTCAAGTATAATTTCAAAAACGAACAAGGATGAATTAGAATGCAACCGAGATAATGCTTGGAATCCACTAAAGAAGTGGACTACTTTGTATTCTTTTGGGATCAGAAATTTGTCAGAAATGTTCAGTATGACAATTCAGTTTGGAGAAATTACACAATATTCTAACTCTTCCGAATCTGTCTCAAACAATTTGTTAAAAACATACACAGGGGAGAAGAAATCTTATAGAATTTCAGTGAAAATAGAAGAAGATTGGATACAGATATATAATGTTGATATGGAAGTAACTCTGAGTTTTCAACAATCTAAAACTAAATCAATAAAAATTTTTTCTGAAGAAATGGAATTGGTACAGATAGATGGTTTAGAATTGAAAAAAACATTAAAACTAGAAATAAATCAAAATTTAATTAAGCTTCCGTCATTTTCGAATGAATGTATTATTCAAATACCAATAATGTTTGATATGTCACCTATGAAAAAATCAACTCAGGTAACTTTTGGTTTGGATTTCAATGCAAAAATTAAATACCAAGAGACAGAAGCTTGTACAAGACACAATTTCGTGTTCCAAGTAGAGCCACAGATGGATTTGATCAATATTCAACCAGTTCCAAACCTAGACTATCACAGTTTGCCCTTTTATTACTTTGAATTGCTTTTTGAAACGGCATGCAAAAGGGTTTTGGTGGATAAGATTATTACTATGTTTCCTAATGATTTAGAAAATTTAAATTTATTTGGAATTATGGCCCCAGTAGAATTAAAACCAAGAGAAATTGAAAGCTATAAAGATTTGGGGGAATTATGTTCGACTATTGAGTATTCACTTTCTCATCCAATGACTATTGAATCTAAATCAAAGCCTCTAAAGTTAATATGGATAGTCCCAAAATCGGAGCTTCAAAAGAGTTTTACTCCTCAAATCTTAATTTCCACTGTTAGCCTGCCACAAACAGAAAAAACGGAGTTATCTGTTTCAGGGCCTTTCCAAATTCCGATGGAAACTTTATACAATTTTATTTCACTGAGAAAGTCCATACAATCTACGAACGGATTATTGGAAACAAGCCTGGATGGATTAAGTCTAGATCATGTTGAACACCCTTCATATTCAAAAGTTGACTCAGAGTTTTCACTAGTTATATACCTAAATTACACATTTGGGAGAGAAGAAATATTTTCATATTGCTTAAACTACTTTGGAGATGCAGATGAAGACTTAGACAATAAGGGATGCTGGTGGTTTATTGGAGCTAGAAATGGTCATGTGCAGGCTAAACCTGGCTCCAAAATTAGGCTTGAATTCAGAATAGTTCCTTTAATTAACGGGTTGTTGAAGCTCCCAAGTATTAATTTTGGTTGCTCAAACTCCCGTCCATATTCTTATCCATATTTTACATTGTCTGACAATAGTAGAAAATTTTACCTTGGGAAACAGGTAGTAATTTAGCCTTAAAATTTGTACAGTTAGAAAGCCCGCTCAAAGTAAGTTAGAGACAGTATGGCTATTATTTTTAGGACTTCGTTTATTTAGGAAAATATAAATAAGATTAAAAATAATTTGGGTTAAAGTTGAGAGGATTTTTGTTTACTTTACTTTTTGGGAATCTATTAATTTGAATTGATATATTTTAGGTAGGTTTGAATGGAAAAGAGTCAACTTTCGAGGAAAATTTCTTCTGGTGTCGGCTCTAGGGCTCAGGTTATTTATCTTCTTAAATTGTGAATTTCAATTGGCAGATTGGATCATAATTAGTAAAAAAGCAGCTGTTTGGCACTTAAGCCTTGTGCTTCCTGACTAGAAATTACAAGTTAGGATATCTAAACTAAGAAATGAGAGGCCGTTGGAAGGGAGGCAAAAGTGGACATGGCGGCTCCTCCAGCGGAGGAAGCAATGCAAAAGTCTCGGAAATTTGCCGACATTTTGTTCAACAAGGTAATTGTAAATTTGGTCAGAATTGCAACTACTCACATATTTTAAGACAAGTTGCGCAGATTCAAAAGGCTCACTTTGGTGGGATAAGATGCGCAATTTCTTCTCCATTACCCACAGGAGAGCTTGAATTATTCACTGGAGGTTGTGATGGTCAGTTGAAAAGGTGGATAATTAGACCTGCTGATAAGGATATTATGAATAATGAGCCGGAAAGAGGAGGGAATAATCGTCGAAGAAATTACCAAAACAAGTTTCAAAATGATATTAGTGGGGCAACTCAGCTTTCAGTTAAGATGGATTCAGCAATTAATTGTAGTGCGGAAGTTTGTAGTTGCTTGATTTATGGGGATGTCCTATTTTGTGGACTAATTAATGGTACTATTAGGGCATTTCACAAGCCTACGGGGAATTTCACGGATTTAATTGGGCACAACCAAGAAATACATCAACTTTTAATAATTGACAATATATTGGTTTCTGCTTGCTGGGGTGGGAAGATAGTTTTTTGGAAGTTTGACCAGGCTTCTGGAACCTTTGTTATTTCTGCGCAAATTCAGGCTAAAGAACATATAAAATGCCTTAAATATTTTCCATATAAAAGTAATTCGGCTGGTGTAATGAACCAGCAACCCCAGTGCCAAATTCAGGATGCATGCCCTCATCTTTGGGTTTGTGGAGGTGGTATTGTTCAAATTGTAGACCTCATCACTCTTCAGGTAGTTAGAGAGATTATATTTGATGGAGGGCCTATAATGTCAGTACTGGAATACGAAAATCATCTTGTTCTATGCAGTTTACAAGGTGTGATTCGCGTTATTTCACCAACAGGTGAGGAAACTTTTAGAAAATCCTTAGGTTCTCCCACACTTTGCATGGATGGGACAATTACTGCAGACGCTAAGCATATACTAATGATGGGCCAGAATAATGGACATCTTAGGTGTATCACCCTTCCTCTATTTGACAGTGTACTTGAATTTCATACTCCTGATACCAGATCAGAAATCAGATTAGTTTCGAATCTTGGAGGATCTCCTGGAATCATTCTCACTGCTCAATGGGATGGTGCTTTGAATTTTTATCAATGGTGTCTTCCAAAGAGTTCCTAAAAATTCAACTAATTATATTACTCAACGTCAATATTGTTATATAAAAGTATGATTAAAGAATTATAAGTTTGTTTAATTATTATTTTTCATTGAATCATCGTACTTAACAGTATTTCTGTTTACAGAAAAGCGATTAATTAAAATATATTCATATATATTTTTATTCACATATACATATGTATTTTAATGTTAATTTATTTACTTATAAACTATTAAAATTAATATAACTTTCAAATTTAACCTTTTATAGCTTGACTAATTTCATTAGATGTTTTCCGAAATTAAGTTTTTTTTAAATTAAGGATTTTTCTAGTTCTGATTCGGCTTGAAACAATCTATTTTTCCACATGGAGAATTATAAAATTTATGATTTGGTAAATCAAATATTTGCATGTATGCAATGTACATGTAATTTTTGACACGTAATTATTTCTAATTGGTAAAAAAAGTCATCCACATGCGAAACGGTATATAAAAAAACAAAAAAAATTTAAATTGCATGAAAGATAAATTATTATTTCAAATAAAAAAACAGAAAAAAAAGATAGTTGATTTTTTAACGGTTCTTAATGTTTGAACTTTTAAATAGAAAATTTCTTTTCCCAATAGGTCTTCTATTGATCAATTTAATAATTATTCTTGCCTCTGATGTTGACCAACAAGAGACATGGGTTTCACCAGAAAATCAGTATGATTATGATGAGGTTAATAATGCAATAGCGACAGATGAAGGTACGTCAAATATAAATCGAAAGGTGGCAGAATCTCAGAATCATAATCACAGGCATAATTACCACCATAAAAGCCACCATAATTATAGATATTATAACACTTATTATAACCAATACGCCCCTAAACATATAGGTACAACTGATGATGAAGGAAATTATATTAGTGATCATTTTACTTATGTACCGGAGAGTAGTCACCATTATCATTACAATAATCATCATAAAAATGTTTATCAAATGGGATGGAGTAGCCACAAGTATGATTATGTTTTAAATTTGACGTCAACAACGACGAATTATCCAGTATACCCAATTCCAACAACCAC